TTTGTAGACCTGTCATAACGTTGAGATACAATGCTTATTGCTTAGTACAGAAATTACCTTGTATGGTGGGATATGTGTTATCTAGTTCATTTCGGAAACAAAGTGTACGAAAGGCTCTCGTGTGTTTGATTTTTAAGTGCTGTTTCAGATTCGTTACAGTCGTTTTATAAGAAAACAACTTTTTGCATATATTACACTCGGCGAGTTTGTCGGCTCCGGGGCTCTTTGTGAAATGTTTCCACAGCGGACAATTTCCTTGTCTTCGCCTCATTGCAAAATATTCAAACGTAAACACAAGTCACAACACTATATTACGCTTATTTGCTAATGGAACAGCGTTACACTTATTCGCCGAGTAGGAATTACATGCTTTCACTATGCTATTTTAAGCAATAGGAACGTTACGTTTTACGCGTTACGTGACAAATGTCATCAGTCATCAATTTTTTTGGTTATCTATGAAAATATATTATTTATTTAGTTGTCAGGCTCAGGACAATCAAGCAAAACAATATATTTGTCTAAATTTCGGAAATGACACCCACAGACAGCAGAATTGAGTACAAACTATTGTAGTGGTTTAGCAGTATTCGTTACTAAATAATACGAACCCTTACACTTAATGTTACTGGGTACAAGCAATGGTTTTCCCGAGATTTCTATTGCATCGGACGTCATTTGTGAGATACTTTCGTACGTTGACTTGTGCTTTTTCGCGAGATGTTTCTTTAAATTCGACGTGGATCCACCTTTAACGGAGTACAAGGTTTGGCAAATATCACACCTGGCCTTATCTTCGTTAATTGGTGTGAACAGGGTCCACATTTTACTTCTTTTCTTTTCCATTGTTTATTTGAACTGTGAAGTAAATATAAGGAAAATGAGTATAATTTTGAGTAACAAGAAAAGTCGGAAAATACGTAAAATAAGTGCTTCTTTAAAGAAAGATTTGATAAATTGACCTGATTATATGAACTCACCTTAAACAATTAAACAATTTGATACACTAATCACAATCACACAACTAGAATACCGCAGACCGGGTTATAATTTTGTTATTAAATACTGTAATTTTCGCGCGCACGCGTACTTACATAAAAACAAATACTAGTACCGAAATAAATTTATCGTCTTACGAAACAGTTACTTGTAATATAGTTACTTTCAATCAGGTACTCAGTACCGAATACGTGCGATGTAACTTTCCTTTACAAAATAGTGAATACAGTTCAAAATTATTGTGTACACATATTTACGGATATTCGAGCTCTACTTTGTATCACAGCCCTCCAATTTTATCGTGTAGTGCAAATGTTATTACAAAATGGCCGCCGCAGTGCTACTTCCGTCCCTTTCTCACTCGTGCAATTTCGCGTGTCACACGACAGCTGCGTCGCGTCGATCGCGATGTTGCCGTATATACTATAATGCGACTAAAACTAGCTTCCAATATTACACGTCATAATAATACAAAAATTATGCTTTGAAATTAGTGTTATACATATATTTTCAAGAATGTTCTTTTAGTTAGATACATTTATATACATTTTTTATTTAATTCTTCAAGAGCTTCGAATGTCACTTTCGGATGTCGCAATATAATATTTTAATAGGCATGTGCAAGATATGATATTACTAATACTACCCGGCTACGGTTGGGTGGACTAGGTACACGTAGTCTTACCTGCTTTTACCGCCGCTGCAGTTACATTCTTCTTACCTAAATAAATAGGATGTTTCTTTTTAAGATGTTTTGTTAAATTCGACACTGAACTTTTAAAACTTAGTGTGCTTTTACAAATAATACATTCGGCCATACGTTGTCCCTTATTTACAAAAAAGTTCCAAGCCAAACTCTTTGCTAGCGGAGCCATTATTAATATAATCTAACCTGTTATTGTTTATAAGTATTAGAAAACGTTAAGATATATTAAATACGCTATCCGCTGTCATATCAATCACAATGGTAGACGTACTAACATTAGTAATTCGGTGTTACCAATTAAGCAAGCGATACTCTTATGTCAAAAAGATATTTAAAAACTGGATTATGAAATTACACTTAGTTAAATCAAACCTAGTATTCTTGATATGTACTAGAGTACCTGGAGTAATTATTAGGATGTAAATTTAAATGTTATAGAACTTATTATTTATGCTTTAAAGAGAGATATGTCTGTGTCTAAATTTAAAATACGTATGTGTTATAATTTGGATACATAATGTTTGATTATGCGCTGTTTAGGCTCGAATTTGAATGGAATCAATATGGTCGATCCGGTTCAGAACATTCGACCCAAAAACGATCCGTAATTAATATAAACGTTCTCACGCAATGGATTCTCCTTCTTGTTCCCCTGATCAATCTTCTCGTTCCCGGATAAGTCTATAGAATGCCTCCTCAAATGGCGAAAGAGGTTTCCCGTCGATTTGTGTTTTATCGACACCACACGATGACAATGTTTGCATTTCACCAAAGACTTGTCTTCTGTAATCTCGTAATGTTCCCAGACTATGCTCCTTCGGCCGGTGGGTTTAGGTGTCATTTTTATTAATATAACGCGGATCTGTTTATGCGTTAGTAACGAGTCAAAACACGTTCGCGAATGACCGGATCGGAACCAACTGAGCTATTCGTTCAAACTTGAAACACACAAGATTCGGTCGCGCTTTTAACGACTAGTTGTTCGCGCGGCTTCGCTTGCGTGCTGAATGACTTCAGGCAATATGTTTGAACGGTTAACTTCTGTTTAATATAGACAGTAAAACAAAACTTACTTTTATTTAGAGAAATATATAAAGCATACATTTTCTGTTTCTTTTTTTATTTTAAACACAATATGTGATAAACTTTTAGAGGACATCAATATAATTTAAGCGTAAAAACTGCCTTTTATTTTTATTAACAAATAAAATTATTCTTCTTAGTTTGTTTGACCTACCAACTACCAAGATAATACCAAGATAATTCTCCAGTATTGAATTTGAGTGTGATATAAATACATTTCATGTCTTAACTGTGCCTTCGTATGTTGAGGAAGAATTTAAAAAATGCTTTATTCTAAGCCAATAAGAACTATATTCCTTTCAATTCAACAGTGTTGATGCCGGTTGAAGTCCTGCTCCAGTCGAAAATGAAATAATATTAATATAAATCTTTAAGTATCAATTATAAATATTTGCCCAATAGCTATTGAGAAAATTATTAAGAAAGAACCTCAAACTGGTTAGGAACTTGAAATATTAATCAAAGCAGTTTGATTAACCAATTCTTCCATAAGGTCTACAGGACCAAATCAAATTTCCTATCTTCCCACCCAAATGTAAGGCCAAACACAAGGTCTGTCCGGCTTTTTGTTTCGGAGCTTGGAAACCCTAATTATATACATATATTTTGCTGCATGTTTCTGTCAAGTATATTTTTTTACACAGTTTTGTAATTTATACCAATTCACTAGATCAACTCAATGATGTAAACCTACCAATAAGTATATGGTGATATGCAGTATGATATTGCATATGATCTAATAGATATATTTACATTTTAATTGTTACTCCCTATCATGTTAGAATTAATATTCTGTAAAGATGTGTGATTGTTTTTTAATAAATCAAATGCATGTTTTTAAATGTTGTTAGTAATGAGTCAACAATAGTCTTGTATGAAAAATGTCTCAAAAATACTTGTAACTAGTAAAGTATTACCAAATAGCTTTATGTATAAAGGGAATCAGTTACTTACCTGCGGAGCATATAAGAAGACATACATTTTAGCTTTTGGTATGAATATGATATAATTGCACTTAAGTATAATGAAGACAATTGCCTTAGAATACCTAACCTTATGCTACAGAACAATGTTTTCAAACCATTACTTACACTTAGGCTCTAAGTGATGTGTTAAGGCTGTTTCTTGTCAAATTTATTCTACATTGAGGGTACTAGTCTTATACCAGTAGTTTACCAAAAAAAGCTAAGATTTGGGCGCTTAATTTTCAAATAGATAATGAATGGGACATAAGACGTTTTTAAATGCCATTCGCAAATATAGTGCCTATAGACTATATATTTTTTATTCAGTCTATCGTGGTGTTGCCATAAAATTGTTATTAAACAGATAATATTATAGAATTTCTCTAGTGTTAAAATGCACTTACCATAATTTTTGTTCCCTGTAATAAATGCTTTGAATTTGACTATTTAGATTCAATAGTGTGGTTTTGTAAGAAAGAACGAAGTTTTTAATAACAGGTCGCTTTTTTTTCTTTTCCTCGTCCACCACAGTAAAATAAACCCAAATATGTCCTCGCCGTGGCATTTAAGTTGTTCAATTAAACTTTATATAAAAATTACCTAATCTATGTAAAATAAATATATTGAGGAATCCTACAAACAAATTTGACTGTAATACCTCTATTTTTTTGTTATTATTTTTATCTCCCTATTTATCTACAGTACTGCGTCATACGATAACAAACTGCACCGATTGAATATAACGTAACGACTAACAAGCAGAAACAAATTATAAATCGTGTGTAATATGAATAATCCTAATATATATTAGTTGGCTACAGTTAAAAAATCGAAAATATTTTGAATAAAAAATCGACTCGGGTAGGACTTGAACCAGCATCGTCAGCGTTCCGTGCTGTTGCTCTACACTCTGGATACAGTTGTTTCTCGGAATTGAAAGAAATATAGTTCTCGTAAGTTATAAATCATTATTTGACATGTAATAAATATATTATAACAAAGTGAAATAGACCTGGAATAGGCCGTTCCAATTCCTAGAATTTGGATATAACAACTCTCTCGACATAAATAACGCTCATTTGTAATATATAATAGGTCGTATGATATACGCTATGTAGCTATCTAATATAACGAAGAACCCTATAAGAATAATATAGAAGAATTATATATTTATCATTGTAACTAGTTAAGTACATCTAGCAAAGTACATTTTCAATTTCAAGATAGTAAGTTTTTAGCAGCGTTAGAGTTTCAGATTCAGACTTCAAAGCCCAGTTTTTCAAATGTCTTTTGCAAATGGCGTGTTTGTCTAAAACTTGCTTTTCAGCGGTTATAGATTTATTGCATATTTTACAACGAGCTTTATAAGAATTGTCGGGGTCTGGCGCAATCCACCAAGCAAACGTTCTATCGTATTCCCAAGCAACTCTGTACTTCTGGGAGCGGTGTTTGCTCTTCCTTCGAGCTATGTGAAATTTTTCTTCACCGTCGATCATATCAATAGGTACGAGCTATTTACCAAACACGATCTTCCATTAATTATAGTATCTCTTCAAAATATATCACTGACATCACTCGACAATAACAAATACCATAGAGTATGTCGTAGACTGACTTGATTGTCAGTTTATGAAGTGTCAAGATTTGTTATTAATTTTAGGCATAGGCCACAGACTAAAATTAAGCAGATTTTGTTAATAATATTATCTGTACTTTACGCGAGTAGTAGATATTTAAATAAAACACTAACGGATTCAAACGCAAAACAAAATTGTAACAAACTAATTTTAACTAACGCGCGTTTTAAACCGTTAAAGTGTTTTATTTAAGAGTGTTAAAGTGAAAACTTAGAAGGGTATACAAGTTTTATTAAGAGTTATACCAGAAAAAGTTTGAGATAATTCATTTCTAATTTGTATAGATAATACTTAAAGCATCTTGATGTTAAAATGTTTATTGAATCAATTATACTAACTTATTGAAATATTCAGATATTTTAAATACTATAAAAATTCCGTATCAGGTAAAACAGATATTTTCAGCTTATAACCAGGCCAGGATAGTGTAAAGGGGATCGTTGGCGCCGTGGTTGTGTCCTGGCTTCCTTCTTCGTCAGTTTCCGAGTCGATCTCCGCTAAATTCGCGAGTGGTGCTACTTTTTTCGACATATCTTCAGCTAATTCCTTTGGTATCAGTATCTGTAAAAATATAGAGTTCGAAAGAAGTAAAATAAACCAAGCAAAGTATTTGTAACGATTGTAAAAGCGATATAAGGTAATCGAAAGTTCTTTTACAACCTCTATAAAATTATTTAGTATAATTCTATAGAGAATAAAACAGTTTTAACACTAGGCAGTCCGGTGGTTTATAGCACTGTTACAAGCAAGTGACGTCGTCATAAACCCGACCAATCAGTCTGCGTCACGTGACATATGTTTAAAACAGTTAATTGTTGGCGGTTTTTAATTTTAAACATTCATTATTTTTAACGTATGTAACTGATAACAGTAATTGACGCTTTATTTTTCGCATTGTCAAATAGCCCATTGTGTCCGCCTAGTACCTCATATAGAGGATCAGCGATCTTACATAGATACGTACTTGCAGCCAAGTCCCAGTGAGGGCGAAGGGACGGCGTGTGGTGGCGAAGGCTCCGCTAACTGAGGGAGGCAATAGGGTCACAGTACGGGCGCCCTGACGCCACGTAAAGTGCGATGAATGAAGGACCCGACCGCTGAAAATGTATGTGACAGTACTATAAAATATGGCAGGCTTGTTTGGTCTAATGGTAGCAGTGGCCGATAATCATCGGGTCGTAGGTTTGATCCAAACTAATCAAACAATCAGTTTATAATTTTTCTGAAACATGTTGATGTAGACTTCGTCTTGATATAAAATGGGTGACACGAATATCGAAAATTTTGTCCGAAAGAACCAGCAGTAACGGATGAATAGCCATCAGTTCGCATTTCGGTCACTTTTTATGGTTTTCCAAACATCGAAAACCAAAATAGGTCGACATCCCATCTTCAAGTGTACCCCATACTTTGCTGTTGGAGCATTCACATGCTCCACAGTAAATCCTGCTATGGGGCATGGGGCAAACACATGTGTCCAGTCCCATTTGAGCCCTGCTCGATTGAAAATGCTTATCGCTTCTTTATGATTCAAACCCTGGACCTTACACACCGAATTATGCATGACCTTTAAACTTTCAGCTTAAGAAGCTGCAAGTACGTGTAATTAAAAGTAATACAAACTTACTTGATAGCTAGAGGAAGAAGGCTAGCACCTTCACGGTTCAACATCAGATGAACACCTTCCAAGTACTCTATACTGTCCTCTCTCCATGACTCCTATATAGACACAAAAATTGTCTAAAAGTACTGCTTCTTTGAAAGATAATTTTGAATTTGATAGAAAGAGATATAACATCTACGTTAGAAAGAGACCCGTAGAGATTTTGACGTTAAATTAACTTTTTGCATCATATTGAGATTATAATATAATTTCTGTAGTATACGAGAATAGTACACGTTAAATAAATGAGTTTTAACGGTGTTAAACGCAAAATGTATTAGCTAACTTATTTTCAATTCTTTTTGACGTGGACCCGACGTTATGGCTGCTGCATTTTTAACGCGTTGTAAACCGTTAATAGGTTTTATTGAATACTGAGATAAATAAAAATGTTTTACACACCTCTCTCTCTTTATCTTCATATTGTGTAGGAAATATTATAAGGTGATATTTCATACACATTTTATAATATATAATAACTGTCTGTGACTAATTCTACTTAAAATACATTTTCTTAAACAAAATATTTAAACGGTTGCACGTACATACGACTGCCGTAACGTTAAAAGTACTTTATTACTTGCAAGAACTACAGAAATAATATACGATATAATATCATACCAAATACGTAGTTAAAGTACGATATATGTAGTAGATAGTAAAATGATTCAAGATAAAATATAGTACGTTTTCGTAGTACCTACTCACCTGTACCATATCTGGTAACTGTGGTAAAGCACGCTCCATACTTGACATTTCAAAGCTGTCTGTTGACATGTTGTGACCTGATGACAGATTTTTTTAAAATAAATTTGTCAATATTCTTATCTTCTATTTTACCTATCTTATCTATACTAATATTATAAAGCTTAAGAGATTCTTGGAATGTGCGAATGTCAGGTACTGATTAGAATTGATTCTTTTTTTGTTGGAAAGACTATTTACCGAGAAAGGCTTTAGGTTATCAGTAATAACATCAAGCTGCGACCAATTGAAGCCAAGAAACATTGGGAAATGAAAGCTCGATAAATTCAAACGTCATTTTAAAAAATCCAATATTCCAATAAAATAACGGTAATGTCACGTAGCATAAAATAAAATTCGACGACACGAGCTGGACTTGAATTGGCATTCACAGCGTTCTGTTACGCTAACCAATTGAATTTTCAAAATTACCTCTTAATATTCAAGCTTAAGACGAAATTACATTGCGTCGGACCTATTTTTATTTAAGAATGATTATATCTCAATAACCCATCACTAAATCTGTCTATGTTTAGGAGTTGTACACATTTAAATAAAACACTTTAACGGTTTAAAACGCGATATATTAGTTAAACTTATTTGGACTTATCATCATTTCCTAATAAGTTTAACTAATCTATCGCGTTTTAAACCGTTAAAGTGTTTTATTTAAACCCATCATTAATTTATCATTAAATAAAAATACATATTTAAGTATTTTCATAGTCTAAAATGTTAATCTACAAGAGCACAGTGACCGAAAATTGTTAACATAATTCTTACGCAAATGATAATTTTTTTTTTCGCCCAAGTTAATAGCGCTTTTTTATTTTCCCCCTTATTGAAAGTCGTGTTTGCTGTTAATAAGCAAATTGTCTCTAGCGACCTCATTTATTTATAGACAATATATTTATTATATTTTAATGATATAAACTAACCTTCAGAGCCCCGATCCGTCATAGAGGTAAGTCCTCGCTGTAACGTCTCCTTGATTTGTCTTTCCAGGCTGGGTGACAGAGAGCACTGTTCTTCTTCACTCTGAAGCATATTAAATATGTGTTTAATAATTGTCCGTAATTTACGCGAGTAGTATAAATTAAATGAAACACTTTGAACTGTTTAAACTGGAAATGTTTTAGTTAACAGTGGGAAACCCTGATCACGGCTGCTACATCCGAAACTCAGTTATAAATTTCACGTTTAAAGCCGTTAAAATTGTTTTTTTCGAATCTCCTGTCCATCCAACCTTTAAAGATTTTTTTATGTTCGAATCAGTAGTTGCTGAGATGACGCGTTCAAAAAAAACAACAAACAAATCCATACGTGTCAGTTAGTTATATATATATACTAATATATAAAGTTGAAGAGTTTGTTTCGCGCTGTGACTAATAGGAGCGAAGAAGCAGTGGGAAATACGAAAGAAACGGATAATGATTGTGGGTGATGATGGATGAATGATGATTCAGCTCTTTTAAGATTAACTTGTAAGAATAACGGGACACGGTCGGCGACGTGGGTAACAGTCTATATTTATAAAGATAAGGGGTTGTCCATTAATCACGGGAGGCTTGAAAGGGGGGGGGGGGGTGTGATAAAAATCACGAAAATAACACAAAGTGGAGGGGGGGTGTAGTAAGATATCTCGTGTATTTATTTTTTCGTCAATCGCGCGATTTTTGGTGTAGACATTTTTATTATGGTCCTTAATTTCAGAATCAAATAAGATTATAGTTTATACCTGTATTTAAATTAAGATAATATTCAGAAAATTTTAAGATTCTCTGTGGGTACTAAAAATACACGTGATGTGATTTTAAGACGGGGGGAGGGGGGTGGTCTTAAACCTCACTACGTATCACCAATGGGGAAGGGGGAGTTAAAAAATGCAAAAAAAACGTGATTAATGGACAACCCCTAAAGAGAAGGTTTGTAAAAACAAATATGATGCCTAAAACAACTATTTACGCGGACGAAGCCGCTGACACAGCTAGTTCTATATAAATGAACAATACAAGGATATGCTTCATTACTCACCGCACAGTATTTCTGCCAGTTGACCCTAGCAGACACTCCAGCCAGGTGGACCAGCTGTCTGGTCTTCGTCGTCAGACATCGTGCGGATCGACGCCGGGAGACGCTCGTCACCAGCCACTTTCCACCACATCTAGAACCCAATTATGACGAAGTTTGAAAACTTTAATATTTTTCACATGTTATTTATTGGACATGATGGCACTATAAAAACTAAAAATTGATTTTATGTTGAAAAAATATACGAATCGGGCAGGTCTTGAACCGGTGTTCTCAGCGTTCCGCGCTGTTGCTCTAAGCAAATGAAGTACCGAGTCTTACACGTCATTGCCGAAAATTTCAACCTATTGATATATGCACCTCTCGCGTTTAGTCGAGTAGTACATAATTAAATAAAACACTTTTAACGGTTTAAAACGAGAATTATATTAGTTAACTTATGAGCAATTTGTTTTAACTACGGCCCAACGGTCCGGATGCTTTGCAGCAGCCGTGGATAAGAGAAACGTAACGTAAATTAACTGATATATTCAGCGTTTTGAACCGTTAAAAGTGTATATTTACACACATGTGACAGTTGTAGTGCTTGCATTAAAAAGAAATAGTTATGTAAAAAAAGTTTTGTTTTACTCAAAATCTCGTATTTTTTTAAATGATAAAGCACAGACAAGCATGTGGGTTACTAAATGGTAGTTGAAACACTCCCACCTTACAACATCTCAACAAGCTGTCGAGCTATTTCTATCATTCATTTAATATTCAGATTTCGAGACGAAGTCCAACATTAAAAAAAAAATTTGATTAAAAAATGTTAGATCCCGGTGTGGATCGACCCACGACTCATAACATACTATAGCTTTATGTCATCTTAATATAGATTTTTTGAAGAACTTACTTAGGGTCTTCACTGATTAGTTTCAAGACTTCAAACCCTGATCCTCGCTGTGCTGCTCTCAGCTCTCTTGTGGTACAACCCACCATCTGAAACCACAATGACACCGTGCAGTATTTTGGAAATATACACTAAAACAAAACATATGTATATTTATACATACATAGTTTTTTCAAAAGATACATATAACATAACATTTACACACTAATTTACTCATAATATTATAAAGCTGAAGACTGTTTGAATGCACTAATCTCCGAAACTACTGGTTTGAATGGAATATTAATTTTTGTTAGTTAGAGTATTTAACGAGAAAAGCTTTAGCTATGAAACATAACAATGCGCCCAATAGGAGCAAAGAAACAGGGGAAAATGTGGAGAAAACGGGGAAAATTATTCATCTTAAAGGGTCTCCAATGCGTACGCTGCAAAAACTGTCCAAGATACCTAGAAAATAAGTATGTTGGATGCTTTGCAGTAGCCGTGGTCACCGGGAGTTTCCCAGTAAACAATTATCTATACTAATATATAAAGCTGAAGAGTTTGTTTGTTTGTTTGATCGTTTGAACGCGCTAATCTCAGAAACTACTGGTTGGAATTGAAAAAAATTTTTTTTTTGTTTGTAGAGTATTTATCGCCGAAGCAGGAAGGAACAAAGAAAGAGCGGGAAATGTAGAAAAAAACGGGAAAATTATTTATCTTTGTGAGTTTACGCATCGGAAAAACGGTCCGAGAAACCCAGAAAATGAGAATGAAAAAATCAAAGAAATAAAAAACATAGGAAGGTTGCAAAATAACTATTTTATGCGGACGAAGTCGCTGGCACAGCTAGTATATAATATGTTTGTGTTGGGAAGCAAATCGCCACTTTCGTGAGATGGAGCATCACTAAAACTTGTATAAAATGATTTATACCTGTAAAAAAGTCACAGAACCGTGCGGTGTGTCAACTGTGTGTAATTGCGGATCTTCTGCGACGAGCAGGTGGCGAACCCGGGACCCGGAACCGTCCAGGGCCGCGTGCCAAGATATATGGTCGCCAGCGCAGAATTTATTGCCTGAAATCACATTATATTATCTTTATTTCGTATTTGCTGTGGTTTGGATTGTGGATTCAAATCATAAGGAGATTTGAAGCTGCTAGAGGCAGAGTGGCCTAATAACAAAGACAAATGGTATTCTATAAGGAGGAAAATAGGCTACTCTGTCTCTAGCGGCCTAATTTCACAAGAGTTTTAGTCAAGTAAAGCACATATGCTTACCTATTTACATCCAATCAATCAAATAAAATGGATATTGAATACTGTTCCATGCCCCACATTGGGAATTTATTTACAAAATTACAAACCTGTTGCAAAAATATATCTAGCAAGTGCCTGTAACAGTGCAGCTGGCCACACTGGGGGGCTCTGCCCTCGATCTGCTGCTAGTCTCAGTGTCAGTTCTAGTCCGTAACCAGAACAGTGATCTCCGGCTTCTGGTAGTGGGTGTACCCTACCATCTCCATGTAGATCTGATACACCAAAACTACAAAAGAAACAGTTAATTACCATTATTATTATTGGTATTTGGTATCGCCAAATTACTCTTTACTTTGGATCCTAGAATTATTTTTGCATTTATATACTTTGAATGGTTTAAAACACGAAATAATATACTAATTTAATTTGTATCTATGACCTGATATTTTACATCTAAGTTCAAGTGTTTGTTCATACTAAACCTCTTTTTTTTTCAAATCAATCAGTGTCTTATTTGATTTAAGTAGTTTGCTGATAATCTTGACCAAAATTATTGATTGATTTTCACCAGGATTAGAACCCACGCCCTCTCACATTTAAAAGAATATGTTCCATGTCCACTGATTCACCAAGGCCAGCGATTAAACTAACTAAGGAGTGAAGAGTCAACTCAGACTTTTTTCTTACCTAACATAATGCCAGTGCGGTGGAATATGTTCTTCAGGTATACCAGGGTTCCAGTACATGCTGATGTAGTCCAAGGGATCTTGACCTCCCAGCCTGAAGATAGTAAAGTATGTTACCTATCATACATTTTTCAACACATAAAGTACTGTACAGATATTAATAAAATAGTTACATATAACTTTGTAATAATAAAGCAATGTTAATTTATACAATAAATGAAAAGACACCAGAGTACAATATCTATGCTAATTTTTTAACTAAACCAAAGATAAACCTATGGAGGATATAAATTCACCATAACACTCTTTTAAGAAATCTCTCAGCAACATTCCTTCATTTCACTGATTAATTTTTATTACAAGTCGATCAGACTTCTCAGCCCTACCTGATTAATACATTTTATTGATTCCAGAGGTTTAGAACTCAGGATCACCAAGAAAAAGATGTCGACGGAAGGATTCTCATATAACTTACCAATATTTAAGTCTAGTGGTAACTTGTAATGGATTTGGTTGACCTGCATACACTTTGGAACAGGTATCATACAGTGCTTTCAAACCAGCTGGCATTAGCCGTTCTAAAACAATAAATTCTTATATAATACAGAACTAAATAAAACTAGTTAGGTTTACAAAAAAAATGTTTCATTTTATATTTCTTACTTTGAATACACACTACTTAATGAATTTTTTGTAAACTTTAAAAGTTTCGTATCAAATGCAAAGTTCTAAATATACCAAAACATGGGTCATGGGTCTCTTAGTTTTATTGTAATCAAAGCATCAAGTGGTTCACCTGACTGATCCATCTGTTCCTGTGATCCTTGCGAGCTTTGAGAATTCGTTGCAGGCTGCGCAGGCGCAACGAAAGAAAGCGCACTGTTCCTTACTACCCCACTTCCGCTAGCACCGGTTTCATGAGACATTTTTGATCAAACTTATCCTAAGTGTATGAAACGAAGATATGTACAAAACAATTAAAGTAAAGTACCACATTCCACGAATAGGGCACGGTAAAATATCGATGCTTCGAAGTATGAAATACATTTATCGATACCAATACTTTGGAATCGATGCTTTTACTCGACTATCGAGTACTTTTTAGTGTTAATTTTTTAGGCTGGTATTACTGTCAGCGAAAGATTTATTTTATTTAAATACAAACCACGTTTATGGTAATATAACCGCATGTGGTGTTTTAACTTATAATAGTCGAAACGTAAAGTTTTTCATCCTTGAAAATAAATTACTACGTAATGTAAATAGTCGTTAAATGGCGGTTTTCTTATGTTAGTAAAAGGAAGACTTTGAAATTATAACCGAATAAAAACAGATTTATCTCCAACAGCACGTTATGTGTGTAGAAATTGAATCGTAGATAAGATAAATTAACATTTAATTATATTATATCTGTAATTGGGATTTATATTTCGATTCTAAAATCAATCGATCCTTTGGATATCGATTAATTTTATGATTACAAACCCAAAAGTCTGAAATTAAAAAAAACTGTTTAATTTAAATAGGAAATGTGTAATTGAATGGTTTTTAAGTGATAATTTTTGCGATTAATGTTTATTTAAGTAAATTGTACCCCTTTAAATAAAACACTTTAACGATATATATTAATTTAAAAAGTTTTTAATCTCCCAGGGACCACGGCTGCTGCTAAGCGTCAGAAACGTCGGGCCGTAGTTAACATTAAGTTTAACTAATATAACTCGCGTTTTAAACCGTTAAAATGTTTTATTTAAACGTTCATTAGGTTAATCAAAGTCAGCATGTGAATGTGTCAATGTCAACTTGACACTATGTCTTATTTCAAATTTTACGAGGAATTCTCATTTTATAGTAATTTTGTATTTACCATCGGAAGTGGGTGGCGGACTTTCAGTCTCTATAATTTGCTATTTATAAACATAACACGCCATTTAATCGTATAAATAACGATCTCCATCATAATTCTGTCGGTTTTAATTCGACATTCTGTTATAACCGCTGCAGAATCCGTTTAAAATGCGTTACATTTTCTTGACTACGATTTTTAGTGTTGTGTTTGCGTACGAGAAGGATATGACTTTTACGGTTCAAGCTGGGAAGTCGGACTGTTTTTATCAAAGAGTTCTGCCAAATGAAGTTATAGATATAGAATACCAGGTAATTACTAGCATAAGCGGTATGTTTCAAAACATAACCTAAGGTTTTGTTGTGACTAGGCTACGGTGGGGCTGACATGGTCTTAGTGACCAGAGAAACACAAAAAATATATTTAATATACATATAAAATTTGAAGTACTTTTTGATTGAAAAATTAACTTAGATTTCAGTTACACCCCAGGCATTATAATTATACTATATTTATATATAATTATACTATATATATATAAATAAATATTATAAATTATATTAGGGCATATTAAGGCATACTGCGTATATAAATTATGAACTTATTTCCATGCTCTTGGCTTCTATAACAAGAATATATTCTGCATAAACCCCCACTCTCACATGATGGCACGATATGATTTAAAAACCAAGAATAAATTGTAAAATACTTTCGACTCGGGCGATATTGTGCAAGAGGTATATGTAATTAAATAAAAAAATAACTAAATATTGCATGTATCAATAAATTGAAAAAATTCCACGATGACGTGTGGGACTTAGTGGCTTAATTGGTTAGAGTAACAGTACGGAACACTGATCATGCTCGTTGAAGTCCTGCAGAATAACAATTTTATTTCAATTTTTAAATCATATACCCCCTACTCTTTTCATTATTGCCAAGTCTTAGTTTGAGCTGTGAACTAAGTTCTCGCCTCTGAGACTAGAAAACGCAAGCATTATATATATACAAGTAAAGGAATAACTGAGTGGTAATTACTTAAGTAATGGTTTTTACATGCTTGTGCATTAAATGATAATGTCTAAGTTTCATAAATAAAGTCAAGTCTATATTAGCTATGAAGTCTATAGTCATGATCACGTAAGAAATAAGGATAAAGTAGCTATCCCCAAATATGGGCTCCATAAAATAACTAAATCATTTGCGGGGAATTGTATTCGTATGTCTGCCAGTTGAGGTTGCAAATTTATCAATAAATAAGTTTTAAAAAGTCATAAAATTTAGATTGTCTCATAAGACATATTAATGTTTAAAAGATTTCTCTAATGACAAGGCTGTCTGGCAGTGATATGAATTGCTCCATAGGTTAGTAAATTCACAAAAATGAATTAGTTTATAAGACTTGTAGGAAAAAGCAAGACTTAGTTTCTTGGGTGTACTTCTCGGTTATGTTGTAGACTCTGTAGAATCACAACAAACAGAAACACAAACATAATATTTATTTTTTGTTATCATGTAATCTGAAAGAAAACAATTTCTTTGTCATTTCAATTCTACCTTTCAAGTACACATAAATACAAAAATATAGAATCTACCTACAAGTACAAAATTAATTGCATAGGTATTACGCAATTATTTCTTTGACATACCTCTTATCAACGAGATAAGAAGTATATAGGTTTGCTTAACATGTATCTATTAAACAAGTTAATTACTTTTTAAATTTCTATAAGCTGTCATGCGTTTTAATTACTATTTGAAATGTAATGAAGTGATAATTACTGTTACTAAGTAATAGATACATCAACTAAGAACATTACAAAGATATTTTTTACAATAATAAATTAAAAACTTAAAGTTAGTTTATTAGGTAGTAAGTAGTTATGTTTCATAATTGATGGCTTTTATTATAAACTAGCTGTGTCCACGACTTTGTCCGCGTGGATTAGTGACTTGGGGTAGAATTTTTAATTATTTAGGCTGTTAATCAATTTATGTAAGGGCGCATTTGACGCAGGCAATCTATGGTAAATGTTACTTTGCCGCAACACTCTCACCTCACATCACTCCTACTCCAACTCCCACTCTCATTTCCACACTCACTCCGACTATTCCGAAAAAGCCAAAGAAGAAAGTTTCATTATTCTAGCTTCAAAAGCCACGAATTTCCATACAAACTTTAATCCCCTATGGCATTAAAAAGTCCTGTCCTTTCTCTAAAATATCTGTGTACCAAATTTTATTTAAATCAGTTCAGTAGTTTCGGAGTTAAAGCGGGACAGACAGACAGAGTTGCTTTCTCTCTATATTAGTATAGAAAAAAAAATTACGACAAGGGCAGGACTTGAATTAGTATCCATTACCACCGATTTCGAAACAGTAGCTTCAGTTAGAGCAACAGCACGGAACTAATTTTTAAAAATCTAAAATCAATTCAGTTATATAGTGCCAGCATGTGCAATCACATGTGAAATATATTAAAGTTTTCAATGCCTATATAATACTAGCTGTGTCAGCGACTTTGTCTGCGTAGAATAGTTATTTGGGGCGTGAAAATTATTTTTTGCAAATAACCTCCTGTCATTTAAAAAAACACTTTAACGGTTTAAAACGCGATATATTAGTTAAACTTATTTGAAAATTATTTTTAACTTCGGCCCGACGTTTCTGTAAGTGTGCAAAGCATCCGAAATATATCCATCCCAAAGTTGGTGTCGCGAACTAAACAGTTCGATCATTTTTATTTATAGCTGTTGTCTACGACGTCCGCGACCTGTCTTCCTGCAAGTTAATCTTAAAAGAGATATATACATCGTGGAATTTTTTAGATCATTGAAGAAGAGAAATTATTCATACATACATATTTTTTGGGTATCTCTTCTCCACATTTCTCTCTGTCTCTTTGCTCTTATTTGGCGCCTGATGTTTCATAGCCTTCCACGATAAATGCTCTAACACACCATAAATAATTTTTGAATTTAAACCAGTAGTTTCTGAGCGCTCAAATAAAGAAAGAAACAAACAAACTCTTCATTTTTACGTTAGATAATATAGGTTATTCTTGCAGGTGATAGATGCCTCGCAGGGGGAGTTAGATATATCTTTCCAGCTGTCAGATCCTGTCGGCATGATGATAGTTGCTGATTATAAGAAACCGGAGAATGCACACCGGCACACAGCAGTATTGGAGGGGGACTATAGATTTTGCTTCGACAACACATTTAGTACCTTCAGTCAGAAAACAGTGGGTATAATTAAGTCATACACACCTACTGACATTTTTTTATTACAGTTAAGGATAGATGACATTGTGATGGTGGAAGGTTAAATATCCCAGCCATGTAATATCTAACGAGATGTGCTGTCGACCTTTTTTTTAATGATAGATGAGGACAGATAATCATGGGGTTTCACTTGACGGTAGGTGAAATACCCTATCCTACAGCATCCAAACAAGATGTGTCGACCTATTTTGTCTTTGGATATTCGGAATCCGAAACGCTGATTCCTAAACTTCAAAACTTGGCTTGGACTTGGACCATTGCAATATGGATGGAATCTTTAAAAGCTGGATGGTATTTCAATATCCTACTTCTAGTTTATATTCAGACTTTCCAAAGGATGTCCAAAATGTTGCAAAAAAATATATAAATCGTTTGGAAGTATTATAATTTTGCATATCATTGTTTATCGGACTGTTCGGCCGAGTTCCGGTTCTCGCCATTACGAGTGTACGGTAAAATCAGGAGATGTTAGCTCCTCGAATGCTCGAAGAATTACACAATTGTTTTCTACTAGCGATCGCCCCGACTTCGTTCGACAGTACTGATACTAAATACAATACGGAAAACTGAACGATATATATATAAAACCTTTCTCTTGAATTCTATCTATTAAAAAACCGCATCAAAATCGTTGCGTGTTTAAAAAAACGCAAAACGACATACAAAGGTAGTTTTTGTAGTAAATTGTTTTTTAGGTGTTCTTCGATCTGATGATAGACAACGAAGATTCCCAGGGTAAAGACTATGATGATGAGAAGGAAATGGAATTAGGTAAAGTGTTACCAGACTCATTAAAGCTCATAAAATAGTTAGACTTAAACCAATAAAAAAACCATGGTCTAAGTCAATCGAAGTTAGTATATAGTAGTAGTACAACGTTAAACTTTCGTTTTGTAATAAGGATTTCAAATAAACCAGGCTTTAAGGTTTATTAGTCTTTTTTAATTATGTGAATGTTTTAAGTTTTGCAACCTGTGTCTACCATGCTCCAGAAATATTTTTTTTAATAAAGGAGAAAGGACAGACGACCGTCGGGTTTCACATAATGATAGGTAAAATTCTCCAGCCCTATAACATCTAAACAAGATGAGCTACCGACCTATTTCGTCTGTGGTTATTCGGAAATCAACAGACACCTGGAGTTACTCCTGGTTTGGTGGGGATATCGAAAATTCCGTCCAGGTCACCAACCACAGATGAAAAAGGAATAAAGTTCAATCGCTTTGTTTGAGTGGATTTCAATATTAAACGATCTTGTGTAGATGTTATGTTGCTGGGATGTTGCACCTTCCATTAAGTGAACCCTATACTTGTCTGTCCTCTTCTATATAAATAAAATACTTTGACAGTTTAAAACGCGATATATATTGGTTAAACGTATTTAAAAACTAGCTGTGCCCGCGACTTCGTTCACGTGGAATGGTGACTTTCGGTAGAATATTTAATTATTTAGGCTCGCTTTTTTATTTATTTTATAAATTTAATAAGACACATTTGTAAATATAGTGTTAGAGTGTTTCAGAGTCATTTTCGCATTTATAATTTTATTAAGTTGTATAAAAATTAATTACGATACATCCACACAACGTTTCATCCCTTTTTTTTAATTTTAATTATTTTTAATTCATTTGTCCACAACACTTCCACTCCCACCTTACATTACTCTTACTCTAACTCCCACTCTCACTCTACACTCACTCCGACTCTCACTTCCATCCCCAAAAAAAGCAAAGTAGTAAGTTTCATTTGTACTAGCTTCAAAAATCACGAATTTCCATACAAACTCTTATCCCCCTTTTCAACTCTTAACATCCTCTTTTTTGGTATTAAAAAGTAGCCTATGTTCCTTTCTCGGACTCTAGAATATCTGTGTACCAAATTTTATTTTCGTTAAAGCCAGACAGACAGAGTTACTTTCGCATTTATAATATTAGTATAGATAATTTAAACTACGGCCCGTCGTTTCGGATGCTTCGCAGCAGCCGTGGTCACGGGGAGATCAATAGTTATCGCGTTTTAAACCGTTAAAGTGTTTCATTTCAACGTTGCAGGAAACGCAGCGGAGACGTACGTCATGAGAGTGCGAGACATCTCGGAGTCTGTGACTCGGGTGAAGGATAATGTTTCAGCAGCTCGGCGGCTTCAAGAGCTGTTGTCTGCGCATGAGGCGAGAGACAGGAACCTCGCTGAGGATATGTGCGATCGGTGAGGTGGACTTATGTTTCTTTTTTGTAGCTGTGCCAGCGACTATGTCCGCGATGATTAGTTCTTTTGTGCATCCAAATTTGTTTTTGCAAACCTCATCATCTTTATAAATCTAATCTATTACCTACAACGACGGCCGCGGCCCGTCGTTCTTGCGATTCAATCTTAAAAAATAGACATAGTGTCGCGGACATGTTTTTAATGATTTAAAAAGTAATCTTAGAGGTATCTTAAACAGTTTTTGCAGCGTACGCCTCGAAAACCCATAATGATGAATAATTTTTCCAATTTTCACATTTAGCGCCGTATCTTCGCTTATATTAGTCACAGGGAGATGATTTATAGTCGAGCCTTCCTCGATAAATGCTCAAATTGAAATCGTTTTTTTAATTCGAAGCAATAGTTCCTGAGATTAGCGCGTTCAAACATACAAACAAACAATCCCTTCGGCTTTATATATTTGTATAGATTATGTTTCAAACAACAAATCAATGTTGATCAGCTAGTAATAACTAAATCTCTCATTTCAGAGTGCTAAAGTGGTCATTAGTACAAATTGTGTTGATGTCAGTTATTGGAGTTTTTCAGGTAAGTAATTCTTTCAGCCAGTCACACATAATTCCTACCAATAAAAGAACAAAATATTATAAAGTGGTTTTTTCTAACTTGGCACAAAGATCACAACAAATATGGCCGATTTCGAACCACAGAGATTTAGTGATGCCCTAGAGATGCATAGAGTATAGTCGTTGCCACAGATGATACAGGGCTAAGAAATATCGATTATAAATGGACCAAACGACCTCAATATTCCAAATCACATATCTGACATCTAACTTTTTTTTTTGACATTATTATATATAACTCGATGTGTGTGAGGCATTTTAGCGATCGTGTTTGATGGAGACTTCTACCTTCTATTTTCGTTGACTTTGCTTACATCCCAGCCTTATGAAAATGTCGACCTAAAAAAATATTAATCTGTGCATTTACATAAATTCATTTTTACGATTTTTTATCAATGAAATTGTGGTTTGTACTAAGTAAATTGGAGGTAGTTTATTAGTTTAATATTCCAGTGTCTCACAGTTTTTTAGTGTAAATCAATGTGAATTTTGTGCGAAATTCACGAATTGTGTATGTTTACCAAAAATGCCAAGTTAGAAAAAATACACCTAAAAACACATACTATATTTTTTTAATACTCGTGTTTATATATTTTTTAATTTTAGTCTTCATTAATTTACAGGTGTACTTCGTAAGAAGCCTATTTGAGGATCCAAGCAATAGAAGCTTTAAGAAACTAGTTCCTAATCTAATATCGCAATGATACCAAAGATCAGAAGTTATAATAAGTCAATACAAATCCGAAAGTCAGTCTTGGAGTGTGTAAAAGGGGGGGGATAGTCACTCCCCTGGCCTTGACTAGATGGACGTTAAAAATATATATATAAAATTATAAGTACAGTGAAGACTCTTTCAATTAGTCTTATTAATAATACAGAAAATAGTTTTAAGGTTTATAATCTAAAATAATTGCCTTCTTTTCATCACAATAGAATAAAATGGACAGTTAAAATAAAAAAAATTTCTCGTTGTAACTTTAAAGTTATAATAGAAAAAAGTTCACAATGCGGTTGAGCTTAAAAGTTAAAACCTTTATTCATATCAATTTTCCATAAGAGCAACTTACAACAATCCAACTTTCATTCCCTTAATTTTGTTTACCCAGAGTTTGCACTGCATTTATAATTTTAGCAGCTGAGAACAACAAGAACTGGCAAGAAACTCGCCGTCACTCTTCGTATCGACAAGTTTTATTATAAAAAGACTTGGATCTATAAAAAACGGATGATGAATAACTCCTTCATTGATTTATACCGGATTACTTGAAAATGTATAGACTTTTTTTATAGTCCAAATGTGGCCTGAAATGGGCATTATAGAGTTTTGCCTTCTCGTTGTCCCGCGCATCTTGGTAGATGAAAAGTTTGTGGTTTGAAAGTAGTATTCTTGAAATTTCTCCCACGAATGTATTTTTTGCGTCTACTAGCAGGCGCGGTCCGCCGATAAGAAGCAAGAGGCTATTGTAGAAGTATTTAAAAACACTTTTCACGGTTCAAAATGTGAAATAATTCTCTTACAGTTAACGGTTACAGTTAACGTAATAAAAAAAATACATTAATATATTTCGCGTTTTACACAGACAATATTTTAGATGTAAACAAAACAGAATGTCTTCATGCTTCCCACAGCTCTTGGGCAAAACTAAAAGATGTGAAGTTATAAATACTCTATACAAATGCACAAAATTTTTTATTTTTTTCTAGAGCACAGGATAGCACAAATGAGCACAACTTTTTTTTTTTTTAAGTAGTGCTAAGTATCTGGAAATCAGAACAACTTAAAAATTATAGTCCACTATAAGACTAAAAAAACAAATATGTACCAATTTAAATATAAAACTAACGGTTTAAAACGCAATATATCGCGTTTTAATCCGTTAAAGTGTTTTATTTAAATGTGTACTACTCACATAAACGATAGACAGTATTTAAATATGTACCAATTCAAATTATATATTTTTTTTAATTATGTGTAACTTATCATGGAAACATTATTAATTATTTATAATTGTAGCTTTGAATCTGTTAAATATTGGATTTCCTAAAAACATTTTGCCCGTCAAAAGAACTTAAATATATTGCTCTAATGTCCTGGAATGTAAGTTCCGTTTAACGTAAAACAACTTTCAAACCAAAAACTTGCCATTCTTTCGTACTTGGCGAATATATTTTTGAAACTTTAAGAATCTCTTACAAATGATTATAGTCACAAGTTTAATTTTAATTCAGCGCGTGATCAAATTCTTGTCATTTTTATTTTTTTAGGTTAAAGGTGTTGCCATCCTCAAATTTCTAATGTGCCAGTATAGCAATAATAGTAGAATATTAATAGAAATAAAACTATATATTAATAATAAATTCTGAAACAAATTGATACAAAAAATATTTTTGTGAGAAATCAGTTCAAAATAACATATGGGTTTTAATTGAGGCCATACAGAAATGTTTAGATATACTAAGAAAAAGGGTTTCCAACTTCCAAAAGAACAGGGGAGAATAAAAAAAATATCGAATTTATAAGATTAACAAAAGAGAGTATAATAAATATTTTACAAACAAAACACTTTTAACTTTTTAAAACGCGATATATTTAGTTACTTCACTTTAACTTTACAATGTGGTCGCGGGGGTTGAGATGGAGTTTATTAAAGTAATTCAATATGGTTTTTTTTTGTTTTGAGCCTTTAATATTTGACGGATTTTTAAAAATCCCTAGTTGTTTTCGTTAGGACAAAACCTTGTGTAGTGATTGCATACTAAGGCCAAAAGTTGTACAATTATTGCCCCAATCTCCCGGGCGATCCGGGGAGTTGGGAACCCTACCAGTTTGTCAGATATTAACGTTAACTAAATTTTTGTCCGGGCCGGCGATACTAACTGGACGCTTTGTTGGCTAGACCGATGGTGTGCCAAGTGGGGCACCGCAATGCTTGAAGGACACCTACATATAATAACTATTACTTTAATAATATTATTAAACTTCTTGATGAAATTGTATTTAGATCAAATTGATACGTAATTCTATGTACAAACCATTCTAGAAATATATTTATAGTCTATTTTTGATTTTAAGCACAAAGACTTACTGCTTTCTGTAAATAAAAGTTATTATATATTATGTGTGTGAAATTATTAATATTTAATACCCCTGGTTGTAGTAGGGCGATCTGACGGCGTTAACTTGCAGTCTTTTTAGGCATATAAGGTGGATAGGCAAGCATAGGGTTCACACAATAAGCCCCGCCCCCCAAGCGGTGGCGTAAGGCCAGGTGGTGCAGTGCAACAGGGCCCCGGAACTTAGGGGCCCTCTAACCTTATCTTTGAGAAAATATAGGCAGAAAAAAATTTAAAGTTCTTGTTATTTTTATAATTTTGGAAATTTAATTCAAGCTATGTTAAAAGAGGGGATGCGGACCCGATTCTTTCCTGAGCCTTAGGATTAGACCGGGGCCCTTGTCCACCTAGCTACGCGACTGCCCCCAGCCCTAAAAATTTAACAAGATGGTGCATTATCAACCTATTTTGCTTTGGATATTGGAAAACCTTATATAAGGACTAGGAATTACGGATAACACTGAAGTAACGTTAGTTACTTTGGAATAATTGTGATACAATTACAATGCAACGCTGTACCTGTTTGTTAAAAAAAACAAATGTAGGAAAAACATTTTTATTTTAAAACAACATCAACGGTTATTTGATTCGAGGACTTAACTACAGTAGTTGTGGTCCTCGGTATGATTGGTAGGCAATATACTGTGTTGCCAACTATTAGTAGTTTTAAATGTTGCCAGCCTTTTGGTTTTCAGAGTTTGTACTTGGCCACCATTAAACACTAGTAATCCCTTGATTTGAATTGATCTTTTTGGCTCCATTCACGTGTTCTGTAGCAGTAATGTGTTGCCACCCTTTCTTGTGATGAATTCATTTCGTGACTGTAGATATGTATACCTTCTGGTATATATTTTCTTTTTTGAAATTGAAAAAAAATTCACGACGTTCCGCGTTCCGTGCTGTTACTCTGACCAATTGAGCTACACGTCATCGTCGAATTTTTTCAACCTACGCACCTCGCATCATCAATTCAAACGTTATATTTGTGTATTTTCAAACCGTTTCATCCGGTATTAAAAGTGTTAATCCTGACTATGGTCCCCAATTCTTCGTCGGCGACATTATGAACTGATCTCGCATGATGCCGCACCTTCGATGGCTTCTCAAATTGTCTATCGCACAGCGGGCATATATATCTATATCGTCTACCCGAATGGACCTTATTTTTGTGCGATAGAAGGAACTGTTTCGACTTTAATATGGTGGGGCATAGGTCGCACTGAAAAAAAAAAACTTAAATGAAAGATCTCTACGCCTGAGAAAAACAAGCCCGGTAGCTTCAATCTACTGAGAGCAAGGTGCTCCGTTTGGACTATCACAATGTGGATAGGTTACCCGAGGGGTAAACGAAACCAAGGACCCCACCAAACTATCGGCGCCTGCGCCGACAGATCGCGTCGTAACGGTTTTTTGTAAGTTGTGGGGGAAAGTTATATATTTTGTAATACAGAATTAATGAATATTCGTTAAATTCGTGAGGGTAGTTGAAGGCGTTTTTCGCCTTAAGCGGAGGTTAGCGTCCCGGGCCACCAGTGGGTTTGGATACGGCGTTTCTGAAGTAGCGATTGAACCCAGGAATCATTTATATTGTTGAAATTCATAGATATGTTGGTACAAGAGCTCAACTCACGCTTGGCCCCTTTTTTCCTATCTAATATTGGTGTGTTTAAATTCTGATGATATTGGTTCTCACCTGGACGGAATAGGGTTCGTGAACACCCAAGTGCTGAACGAACGTTGATCTGCGGAAGAAACTTTTGCCACAGTGGTCACAAATGTAAGGCCGCTCGCCGGTGTGTCGTCGTTCGTGTACCTGTAATAATGCACATTTAAATAAAACACTTTAACGTTTTAAAACGCGATATATTAGGTTAACTTATTTAAAAATGATTTTTAGCTGCGGCCCGACGTTTCGGATGCATTGCAGCAGCCGTGGTCACGGGGAGACTAAAGATGGAGGATGTCTCATAAATTTATTTGAACCAACAGATATGTAGCGATAAAACGGAAAATAAACAGACAGTTTGAATTATTTAAATTTAAATAAAACTCTTTTAACCGATTAGGACGCGACATATTAGAACACTCATTTTTTAGCCTTAGCAGCAGCCGAAATCAATCATAAGTTGATCAACATATTTTGCGTTTTAAACCGTTAAAAGTGTTTTATTGACATGTTTACCCGCGTAAATTACAGATAATGAGCCTCTTATGTTACAGTTAAAAACGAAGAAAATACCTTAAGTGCTTCGTTATACGCGAACGTAGCTTTACAATGTGAACATTTGAACATCTTCTCGTCACCATGCTTTGCTTGTTTGTGGCAGACATATGCCCAATTGGACACAAAACCCCTCCCACAATGCTGAAATAAAACAAAAATCAATGTCTATAACATACTGTCCGCGAGTAGTACACATTTAAATAAAACACTTTAACGGTTTAAAACGCGATACATGGTCTCCCCGTGAGCACGGCTGATGCAAAGCCTCCGAAACGTCGGGCCGAAGTTAAAAATAATTTTCAAGTAAGTTTAAGTAATATATCACGCGTTTTAAACCGTTAAAGTGTTTGATTTAAATCATTGTCTATAGTTACGAGTTACAATTTAAATAAAACTCTGAACGATTTTAAACGGGGCATAAGTTATTCTAGACCAAAGATGTACAGACCGTGGCCCGCCGACAGTAACAAGTAATACTCTAATCAATAAATTCTCTTTAAATTATAAAACACTAGCTGTGCCCGCGACTTCGTCTGAATGGAATAATGACTTGGGGTAGAATTTTTAATTATTTAGGCTGTCTATTTATTTATGTAAAGCATTTAAGACAGTCAATCTATGGTAAGTGCACTCGCCCACATCAATCCTACTCTAACTCCTACACTTACTCCCACTCTCACTTCCACCCCCACTCCTACTTCTTTTTCCAAAAAGCCAAAGAATAATGTTTCATTGTTTTAGCTTCAAAAACCACGAATTTCCACACTTTCATCCCTTATCAACCCTTTTTTGGCATTAAAAATTAAAATGCTAAATTAAAGTAGCGTACGTCCTTTCTCTGGTTCTAAAATATCTGTGCACCAAATTTCATTTAATTCAGTTCGGTAGTTTCGGAGTTAAAGTCGGACAGACAAACAGATAGAGTTACTTTCGCATTTATAATATTAGTAAAGATTATAATCAATTCTTTATTTTCTTTAATTACACCTAGGCTTCTGATGGTTCACCATGAGTTCCTGATTTGACCAAGTGGCCCCAGGTCTTTGTGCATCCCTGATCTGGTCATATTTAATAAATAGTTAATTGCGCGTTGTAAACCATTTTAAATGTTCTATTTAAAGATTTCACTTCAGTTTGATTGTTGATGATGATTTTGTCTGAATGAAACAATTTCTTTTTATGATTCGAACCTACAATCTCCTATCTTAGATTCCGGTCTAATTTCAAAACATAGAAGTTATAGGGGTTGTTGGTAGATAAAATGCCCCAGCTTTTAGCATCTAAGCAAGAAGCAGTCTCGGTCTATTTGGCATTGGATATCCGGAAATCCATAGACTGAAATCTACACATACCTCACATATAATTGCCTTATTGTGTATCTTCAAATGTGCCTTGTATTGAAGGTGCTTTTCAAACGCCTTGTTGCATATCTTACAAGTATAAGATGAAAGTTCCGGAACATCAGAGATTGTATGCTGTTCCTCAGGAGCTGGTAGTGTCTGTAAATATTATACATTTGACAGATAGGAAATAAACTAAAGACATTACTGTCTTCAATTGTAAACTAAATCTAAACAAAGTCGTAATCTAACTGATTGGCTAAGGCACAAACTGACAAGTATTATAAAATGGAACTAGAAACCAATGAACCTCTATTCTGAATATTTACCTCTTCTTGTATCGTTGAAACATAATCCGATTCATCCGAAGAACTGTCCTTGATGTCATCAAGTTTGAATACTGAATCCTTATTCTCTTGCATTTCAATATTCAAATTGTTCTCGAGTTTTACGCTACACTGTACGTAGCCTTCTGGTATATATGCGCTCCCACACCGTTTCATGAAGAGATATTTTTGCGCTTCAAAACTTTTTTGCTGGAACTCCAATACCTTGTCAATCATTTTCAGACATTTGCAACAAATTTTCTGTGATAGTCCATCGTTATATTTAATCTGGAATGTAAAGTTTTTTTACATTAAATTTTGATTTTGAATAATTATAAAAAGTCAATGTCAGAGCTGTAAGAACCTTACTAAAGCATTAAAGGCTAGTTCTCCTTAGACACTCAAGTAACACTGCACGTGAAACTGTGATACTTAGGAAATGGTAAACTATATGTTTTATAGTATCCAAGACAAACTAGGCACTTTAGTAACACATTTTTTTTCCAACTGTATTAAGGTGTTATGGAAGTCGCATTTAATATTTATATTATTTTTTGTTATAACAGCACGACATACAGTCTGGTGACATACAGACAGACACAAAAATAAGTTCAAACTACTAATAAACAGTATAATCACCTCCAAACCAGTTGTTATTCTCATTTCTTCACAACGCTGGTCCATGTTTCCTTCCCTTTTAAATATATCTGTTAAATTTTTAGTTCCTAGACATGTCCTACAACAATCTAATTCAGTCGACTTTATTTTATTATTCCTAACTACTCGCCGTTTTCGACTGCTCACATAATTCATCATCACGAAAAATGGTAACATACCCTGAGAACCCAGAAACAATGTAGCTCGAGGTCTACATAGATTCCTTAATTAAAGATAAATAAGGTACACTTCTACACGACTAAATATAATTTAATGGCTTCTTTTGTTAAAGCAATAGTATAATAAAATTACAAAACAAATTGACCAAAATCATAAACATTGTAAAATACAGATAATCGTGTATTGCCAGCCATCAGACAAATGCTACAGACTAGAAAACGTAATATTTTTCACATACTGGCACTATCTATTGTTATAAATACTCCTTTATAAGTCACTCAATATTTTTAAGAAGATATGTAGTTGCTTTGTTAAAAACCATGAATACAATAAAAGCCATATATATTTTATTTCTTTTACTGATTAAAAATTTCAATATTAAAAATCGATTATGTTCAATAATCAATTGGTTAACCGTTAAAGCATCAGCACGAACTATGGATGCTGGTTTAAGTGCTGTTATAATATTTTTTGGGTCACAGACTATCAAAGATAAAATATTTGACAGCTTCTGACACTGACAATATAAACACGATGATACTCTGTGTTTCAACTGGCGATGCAAGCGATTTTGAAGCTAACTTTTATATTATTATTTAATAAATCATTTTTAATGTTATTTTTCCTGTGATGAACGTGTTTTTTAATAGTTAAGAATATTTGATCAAGCGTATTAAAAAAAACAAGTGACTTTAGTGTATATTCTTTCATTATAAGATACAAATAAAATGATCAACGAAGTAGAGTTATAATTTATCGAGACACACCGACGAGACTATTTATTTTCACCGGAAAAGCTTAACATGAATGGAATACCGGGATTAAATATGTGCAATACTGCTAATAAGAGCACCCTAATGTTTGGAATATAAAATGGTGCCAATCCTTTTTATTATGAATAGCATAGCAAGACGTAGTGCAGCGAAATTACAGAACGAAATGAAATCAAATGGGACCGAATTATGCAGGACTTGCTTGAGGAGTACGGATTTGATCGACATATTTGATGATAAGAGGTCTGTGAAGAAACGGACAGAGGAGTTAAAATTAACTACAGGTTTAGAGGTATAACTTAGCCTTTGAGTTGTAACATTTTAATGCATATAATCTACCAATCTATCTGTATTTACTTTAATTCTTAGCTTAGCTTCTCCAACTTTATATTTCATGCTATGCATTTAAAATTGAAGCTACGGTGTTACTAAATTACAGTTACTTTTCTGTTCTTATGTATGCTTAAATCTTTAAAACTATGCAGTACATTTTGATACAGCTTTGTTAATAGATAGAGTAATTCAAGAGCAAGGTTTTTTTAATACAACGTTTACAGAGCGAAGCCGGGGCATGTCGTTATTAGTATATATAATACAAAAATAGTAATAAACAAGATTCCCTCTTTACAATAAAAAGGTAAATTAACTATTCTTTCTCCTTTTAATTTTCAGATTAATTATAACGATGGACTATCACAAAAAATATGCAGTCAATGTGTAAAACTAATGAAAATGGCGTTGAAATTTAGATTTTCAAGTCGTAAAGCACAGAGGTCTCTCTTGAAAATGAAAAAGGAAAACTGTGTTAAACTAGAGAAGAATAATATAAGTAAAGATGGTGGAGACAACGAGGGAGTCGATGATTATGGGTATAATTGCTTTGAAGATGACTTTCAAAATGATTATGAGTATAAGCACATAACAACAAATAGAGTGAAAAAAGTGAGTGTTCTGGTCTGGTTGTTTTTTTTTTTGGATAACTGCTATCTATTATGCTATATACTATTCTTATCAACTTTTTGTAACTCCATACCTTCAAGATTTTAACTCAACTGTTTCTAGGCCTTACAGAAAACGAAAATACTGAAGAAGAAGCGTATCAAACTACCACTATCAACATCATACAAATGTAACACTTGTAACAAGGAGTTCCTAATGAAAGCTACTTACCGGGCCCACATGAGGTTTCATACGAATTACTGTGTTTGTGAGGTTCGTTGAGTTTTCCATTATTTATTCACTATTAAAACTTTTTATGTAAGTCTTCGATTTGAAGGTTTTTATTTCAAAAAGATTTTAAAGTCTTTTAAATAAAACACTTTTACGGGGTGACAAATAAAAACTGTTAAGGGGGAGGTTTGTTTTCTGTGTTTTGGGTTTTTTTGGGGTTTTCGAAACAAGATTGTTGGGGTCTCCTGTGACCAGGGCTGCTGCAAAGCATCCGAAACGTCGGGCCGAAGTTAATTAAATACATTTTTAAAAGTTTAACTAATATATCGCATTTTAAACCGTTAAAGTGTTTTATTTAAATTGTACTACTATGCGTATTTAACACTGGTGGTTGTTATAGGATATTCTCTCTTAAACACTGTGCGTAGTTTACGCGAGTAGTACACATAAAAATAAACACTTGAACGGTTTAAAACGCGATATATATTAGTTAAACTTATTTGAACGGAGGGACACGTGAGTTTTATTTTGTAACATTGTGGTGAAAATAAAGTATTTTTTGTTTGTTTGTTGTTAATATCAGCTGTTATACTTATTTGAAAATTACTTTTATCTACGAAGTTTCGGATGCTTTGCAGCAGCCGTGTCTCTCCGTTGAAATAAGTTTAACTTTTAACGGTTTAAAACGTTAAAGTGTTTTATTTAGATATTCTCTCTTGTCTATGAATAACTGCTAGTTAAATTTCGCTTTTTAATACAAGTTTGTGCCTACTGTGTCCAATTTTTTAAGTTCGTTTTTTTATTGGTTACTTTAGTGTTTGGGATAAAGAGAATTCAAACATTTGCTTAATTTATATTAATCTGTTTAAATAAAATACTTTAACGGTTTAAAACGCGATATATTAGTTAAACTTTAAACCCGACGTTTCGGATGCTTTCCAGCAGCCTCGGTCACGGCGTCACGTCGGGCCGAAGTTAAGAATCATTTTCAAATAAGTTTAACTAATATATCGCGTTTTAATCCGTTAAAATGTTTTATTCAAATGTGTACTACTCGCGTAAATTATAGACGGTATTTATGTTAATCTGGACTTCTTTCCAGTCTTGTGGCAAGCGATGCAGGAACCACAATCAGCTCCAGGAGCACAAACGAGCGAGACATGGTCTGGGCAAGATCCACAAATGTGCATACTGTGAATATAGTTCAGCCACTAAGGAGGCACTGACGGTCAGTGTTGCAAGTTACAAGGTTCCCCAGCTTTTTAGGCAACATTTCTTTAGCTAAAACGCTTTACGCGAGTAGTACACATTTAAATAAAACAACTTTAACGGTTTAAAACGCGATATATTAAGAAAACTTATTTGATTCTATTTGCAGCGTGGTCACGGAGGGACCCGTCTCCCCGTTATCACGGCTGCTGCAAGGCATTCGAAACGACGTTAAAAATAATTTTCAAATAACTTTAACTAATATATCGCGTTTTAAACCGTTAAAGTTGTTTTATTTAAATGTGTACTACTCGCGTAAAAAAAAGTTAGTGTTTTTTTAAACGCTTAATTTGGTCAATAAGTTCCTTATAACCTAAATTTGTCTGTACTTAAAGTGAGTAGTACAAATTTAAATAAAACAACTTTAACGGTTTAACACGCGATATATTAGTTTAAGCTTATTTGAAAATGATTTTTAACTTCGGCCCGACGTTCCGGATGCTTTGCAGCAGCTGTGGTCACCGAGTCTCTCTGTGACCACGGCTTATTTATATATCGCGTTTTAAACCAATAAGTTCTTAATAAGCTAAATTTGTCTGTACTTAAAGTGAGTAGTGCTCATTTGAATAAAATTATTTTGACGATTTAAAACGCGAAATGTATTAGTTAAAGGGATCCGGGACACCATCCGTCTTTACTCTTCCGTTATCATGGCTGCTGCAAAGCATTCGAAACATCTGGCCGTAGTTAACATTATTTGTACATAACTTCAGTAGATAACATAATATTTCGCGTTTTAAACCGTTAAAAGTGTTTTATTTAAAAGTTAAATAAAATAATTGGAAAAAAATTAACGATTCGGGAAGGTCTTGAAACTTCATATGCACACTTAATATCATATTATCATTTGAGACTGCTAGAGGCAGATCGGCCTAACTTAGCCGAAAATGAATTTGTACTATTATTTGTGTATTGAAAACTTTATTTTTTTTACATAAAGGCACTATATAATTTAAAACTGGAAAATAAATTGAAAAAATATTCGACTCGGGTTGCTGCTACAACAGCACGGAACGCTGTCGATGCCGGTTCAAGTCCTGCCCGGGTCGAAAGTCTTTTCAATTTATTTTCGATTTTAAAGAAATATGTTGACAAATTTTCAGTCACTGTGCCCTTGTAGATTCACATTTTTACATATGAAAATATAAATAACTCGAGTCATAAAATTGCAGTTAGGCCACTCTGTCTCTAGCGTTCTCATTTATCATCTTTTCATCATAGATCCACGAAAGACGACACACTGGCGAACGGCCATACATCTGTGACCATTGTGGAGCCAGTTTCCACAGACGGTCCACGCTCGTGCAACATATAGCCATACATCTCCCAGAGAAAAACTTCCAAGTAAGTTTTCTGTCCCACGGCGGTGAGAATGGTGGATGAAATTTAGAGTCTTTAGTTCAACGACGAAAATACTGTCTGTATTACGCAAGTAGTACACATTCAAATAAAACAACTTTAACGGTTTAAAACGCGATATATGTTAGTTAAACTTGATGAAAATGTTTTTTTTTAACTTCGGCCCGTCGTTTCGGATGCTTTGCAGCAGCCGTGGTCGCGGCGGAGAAATAAAGTTCAACTAATATATCGCGTTTTAAACCGTTGAAGTGTTTTATTTGAATGTGTCGCGTAAACTATAGACAGTATTTAGCGAAGATACCGTGGTCAGTTCTGCAAGAACGGAACAGATGGCGCTTAGCAGAGATCCTCCATCTTTAGTCTCGCCTTATGTTTTATGTAAATGACGTGACGTTCATAAGTGTACCTAGTTACCTGTGTGAATAAATGTTTTTGGATTTGACTAAACAAATGTGTTTGAAATCCCTGGTCCTCCTCCCCCCCCCGGGGGGCGTGGGGGCGAACATATTTCTGCATCCGTTTCACTGACTTTCTTAAACAGGCAAGAAGATGATCAGACGTCTGTACCGCATCGGTTTATCGTCTCCTGGGATATCTTTTTTAAATTGGTAGATAGATGGATAGATAAGCAGAGTGTTTACTTGATGGTTGGTGAAATACCCCAGCGGTATAGCATCTAAACAAGATGCGCTGTCGGCCTATTTTTGGCTTTGAAACGTAAAGCCGCACATGAATTGAAGCGATCAAACTTATTTTTCATCTGTGGACGGTGTTTTGTGACCGTGAATATACTGTCTATAGTTTACGCGAGTAGTACACATTTAGATAAAACACTTTAACGGTTTCAAACGCGATATATTAGTCCACGTATTTGAAAATGTTTTTAACTGTGCTCCCCGTGATTACGGCTGCTGAAAAGCATTCGAAACGTCGGGCCGAAGTTAAAAATTATTTTCAAATAAGTTTAACTAATATACCGTGTTTTGAACCGTTAAAGTGTTTTATTTAAATGGCCGTGAACATGTTTCTGATTTCTTTTAATCGATTAAAAACATGTCGATCCTTCGGGCGTTGAACGGGCCCGACAGATCCTTGGTCTTTATTTGGCTTTTAATTTTTTTTTCAGTGTGACATGTGCCCCAAACGACTGAAATCGAAGAAGTTCCTCCAAATACATAAGCATAACGCACACACGGGAAAACGTTACGCGTACCTGTGTCCGATATGTGAACATCGCTTCGAGAAACCGAATAAGGTGCGCGCACACACGCGAAGGGTACACGGTGTGCCAGACGAGCAGCACGGAGCTATAATACGGATTCAGCTCTGAGATAATCTGTAGTTTACGCGAAATTTAAAACACTTAATTTGAAACGCGTTTTAGTAAGGAAACCTTTTTAGATTTTCACGTGTTGCATTGCGCTGCCCATGATCAAACATCAACTGTTTGTAATTTACGCGAAATTTAAAATACTTAACGGTTTAAAACGCGATATTTATTCGTAGGAAACATTTTTATAATTTTCACGTGTTGCATTGCGCTGCCCATGATCAAACATCGACTGTCTGTAGTTTACGCGAAATTTAAAACACTTAACGTTTACGCGAATTAAAAAATACGCATTAAACCGTTCAAAACGCGAAATATATTAGTTAAAATAAATTTCACATTTGCGTTGCACATCATGGCACTACATAAATTAAAAATCTATTTCAGATTGAAAATAATCTATGATCGATCGATTACACAATGGATGCCGGTTCGAGTCCTGTCCAAATCGTAAATGTTTTTCGATCGAAAATAGATTTTTAATTTATATTTTTTACATATTTTAACTACCCGCCTATCGAGAGCACGAGGAACGTCGGGCCGTCAAAAATAAAGTTAAATGATACATTTCGCGTTCTAAACCGTGAAAAGTGTTTTATTTAAATCAATTGCTGTTTAATGAATAAGGTTTTCGGCCATTTTGTAAAGCTTCCATTTCCACAGTTCTAATAAAGATGAATACTTTTTTAATTATCGAGGAATCCAGACTTCAATGGTTCACTTGATAGTGGTAAAATAGCCCAGCCTATAGCATAAACAAGATGCGCTGTCGTCCTATTTCGGCTTTGGATATTCGGAAACCCGCAGACTGAAACCGAAATGCGATTAAACTTGACAGTTCTCTCATCTGTGGACGGGGTTTCGTAATTCGGAAGGAATTTGGATACCGCGTGTTAAATATCCAGATTTCCAAAAGTCCGACGTGTTTCAGAGAAATGATAAATTGACTATCTTGGAACCGGTGGCGATCGAAGCCACGGCCCGTTGATTATTAGCCATACATTGTTATAACAACGGGTCTGTCATAAAATAATCATTTGAATGTGGGTAGTACACATTTAAATAAAACACTTTAACGGTTTAAAACGCGATACATAGTCACCCCGTGAGCGCGGCTGATGCAAAGCCTCCGAAAGGTCGGGCCGAAGTTAAAAATAATTTTCAAATAAGTTCACCTAAATATCGCGTTTTAAACCGTTAAACTGGTTTTATTTAAACGTAAATCTCATCCCACCAATGTTATTTACTATAGTAATTTGAGGGAAGTCCTAATTTGCTTTGTACTCAATGAAGTATTATTATATAAAATGAAGCTGTTAGAGGCAGAGTGGCCTAATAACAAAATCATGATTCTATAAGGAGGAAAATTTAAATGCGCTATTAACTTAGGCCAAAATGAATTTGTACTATTATTTGTGTAAGAATTATGTTAACAATTTTCGATCATTGTGCTTTTGTAGATTAACATATGAAAATATAAGTAATAAAATTGCAGTTAGGCTACTCTGCCTCTAGCGGTCTATATACTTCTCTATATAAAGCGGTTTATATTTGTACAGTGTATCTAGTCGTTTTTAATCTGTATTTGTAAAAAAATAAATAAATATGATATTTCAAATCCTTATTTTATTTTAAAAAAAAAAAAAAAAAAAAAAAAAAAAAAAAAAAAAAAAAAAAAAAAAAAAAAAAAAAAAAAAAAAAAAAAAAAAAAAAAAAAAAAAAAAAAAAAAAAAAAAGGGGGGGGGGGGGCCGCCCCCCCCCCCCCCGGGGGGGGGGGGCCCCCCCCCCCCCCCCCCGGGGGGGGGGGGCCCCCCCCCCCCGGGGGGGGGGGGGGGGGGGGGGGGGGGAAGGGAAAAAAAAAAAAAAAAAAAGGGGGGGGGAAAACCCCCCCCCCCCCAAAAAAAAAAAAAAAAAAAAAAAAACCAAAAATTGTGGCCCCCCCCCCCCCCCAGGGGGGCCCGTTTAAACCCCCCCCTGGACCGGGGGGAGGGCCCCCCCCTAAGGGCTGCCCCAAAGGGGGGGGGGCAGAACGTTCCAAATTTTTGAAGCGGCATATTTGAATTTTATAAATAAAGTTCCTGCACTACAGACGGTCGGTCTGCTCTAGCTTTTAAAAGGATGTAACCGAAACGCGACAGACAGAGATAACCTATCTATACTAATATATAAAGCTGAAGAGTTTGTTTGTTTGAACGCGCTAATCTCAGGAAGTACTGGTTCGAATTGTACCAACAGATCCTTTACTTTAATTAAAAATTATTCGGTTGTTTAAAAAAATCAAAATGTCAATGGAAATCGACTCTGGTGCGGGCCCCTCATCTTTTAGCAGAAAGAGGGACGACACTATTGTGGATCCTGACACAAAACAAGAGATCCAGGACCGCAAAAGACCTAAAGTTGCCCTGGACAATAGCAAAAAAGTAAAATGTTTAACTGTTTTGTCCGTGGCGTAATGTATCCTCCCACAAAAGCTGAAGACTTTGCAAGAAGGAAAAAGAAGATAGAAGAGCAGAAAACAGAAGTCATATTGGCATCCCAAAATTACCAGCATCATATTCACTGCCCACAATGTAAACAGGCAGAAGGAAAGAAGACTTTTGGTATGTCATATGAGACGTACAACTATTCGAGGCACCATCTTTTGTTTCAGTATTATTTTCTAATAGACAAGCTTTTGTTGTTAGAAAAGTTTTAACAAAGTCTTTGGTCCTAGCTTTATAAGTTTTCTTTTTATTTTATGTGTCATCTAGTTTTTGTTTTTCCTTCTGTCAATAAATATTTCGGATACCTCAATATGGTAGCAGAGCGTGAACTATTAAAAATAATATTAATAAATCTTCCGTTATATTTTTAATGAGTAAAAATTATATATTTTAACACATAACTGTGTTAAATAGAGTTAATGTGAATTAGGTAGCAAACATTTTCAAAACAAAATCTTGTCAAAATGTCAACTCCATCGACGAGCTGCAAAATTGATATTGGTCCTTTGAAAGGTTAATAAAAATGGGCTACATGGCGCTTCAAAGTCCTGTTACTCCTCAGAGGCAAGCCTGGCGGGTTTGGCGCTATAAACGGAAACCTTAAGCCACCGACGTATCCCGAAGCAGATGGTACATCTGTAGATTAAACAAATATCACAAAGCTCTACAAGACTTCAACCAGAAAGATAGTGCCGCTATGCTGTTATTGACTAACATGTCAGATAACAACACTACAGAAAGTAATGCGCGACCAGTGCCAAAAAAATTAGGGACGAACTAAAAGCCATCTGTGCTACAGCTTGCAGATGTTCGTGGTCGACAAGGCCATTATTACCTTATGCGATGTTTGGTATGTTCCCGCAATAGGACGCAACCAGACAAACTCTTTGGTCGTAGCTTTGTATGTTTTCTTTTTATTTTACATGTCATCTCGTTTTTGTTTTTCCTTGTGTCAATAACTATTTCGAATACCTCAACAACTTTTTCGTTGCAATATACACCCTTATGCTCTTAATTATTGTTATTTTTGTTGAAGTTCTTGCTTCGTCTTACATTCATGAGCAGTATTACCTCTTTTCTCGCATTTGTAGTATTCAACAAATCTTCTATTCTTATTTTTATTTCTCGCTTCTTCTCGCTTCGGCCTCTTCAATAATCTTTATTTTTAATGTTTGTGGATCTGTAATGCATTCCGACTCTCTATGGCAATGCGAATTTCAAATGATTGAGGTAGGCTATAGAGTAGAATTATACTCAATAGATCATTAGTTATTTCTATTCCCATGTCACCTAGTTTATCGAAGTCATTCATAAATTTGTTAAAGCGATCAATTATATTATCGCCATCCAACATCTTTCGCAAAACTAATTCTTCTAGTAAAGTCGCTTTTCTTGCCGGTCCTTTACTTTCGTAAATATTTTCGAGAGTTTTCCATAGCTCGTTACTTGTTTTACAGTTCTTCACTTGTTTTCGTTCTGAAGGAGCTATTATTAGTAATAATTCGGACAAAGCCAGACTGTCCTTTTCATTACATTTAATAATTTCTTCAGGACTTACTTGCGTAGGGTTTTTCTTACATACATGATCCCATAGTCCGCATTTGGTGAGCAAGGCTTGTGCATGAATCTTCAACGTATCGTAGTTTTTTATTAGTTGCCATTACGTATATATTCTAATTTTTATTTATTCTAGCCCACTGGGCCCATAACCTGTTATTATTAAGTTAAAGAAATAAAATGTATATGGCTTTGCTTAACGAACTGTATTCATTTATTTTTAGACTAAATTATAATGTAACTAGAATGGTAACTATGGCAACTACATATCTTCTTAAGAACATTAAGTGGTATACAAAGGAGTATTTATAACAATTATTGGCTGGCAACACTTGATTTGGAAAGATGTTCGATAATCGATTCTCTATTTGAAATACACAAAATGTTGTTTTATGAGCGAAACGCCTCAGGGTTTTTGTGTGGAGTCATGTATATTATACCAAATTATGTTAAAAGTGAAACAATGCAAATATATATATGCAAAAGTTTGAAGTCGTTTTTAATAAAGTGTTTTTAATAAATATATATATCCCTCATCCTCCCTCCCTAAGCCGAGATTCCATACGGAATAATAATATTTCAACAGGGTTTTTTTTTTTTTTTTCATTTGTGGCAAGAAGAACTAACTATTTGCCAGTGTCAAGTTTACGACCCAAAAGAAGCTTGGGGAACTCTGTGGGAAGTCTGTCAAGTTTGGATCCTTACTACATCTGTGCACGAAAGGCGAAACTATTATAATCTGTGGATCTCCAGTTTCTCATTTGTAAAGTGTATTTTATTTTCGCTAAATATAACTATTATTTTTTTCTTTTAGTAGTAATCTAAGTAATTAAAAATTACAAAATGTTAAATAACATGAAACGCTTAAGAATTTTATGATTTAAGGAAAGTGTATGAGTGATATAACTTAAAATGCACCCGCTAAAGTGTTGCAGATTTTGTTTACAAACAAACAGTTTATACCCAATATTTTTATATCTTGAACACTTCGAAAAGTACACAAATATAATTTTAACGACTGCTGGTATAACGGTGAGTGGCATTTGATAGACATTTAATATAGAGAGTCAAGTTTTATTATAAAAATATTACTAATATGTCGCCAAGAACTTGTATAAGTAAGTTAGGTACTTGAGTTATTTCGGTGTTTGAGTTCTCGTTGCCGTCCCTTAGGTAAACTAAATTAACTATCTAATAGACGTACATTTTAGTGTGCTTTAGTTATTCTTGATAAAATTCATTTTTAATAAAAAATCTACAAAGAATTTATGCTTAATAGGATAACACATCCATCCAATTTAAAGACTCCTTTATATTATTACAAAAAATAAAATCCAGTTTCCTCCAGTGGGGCAAGGTGTGAACCCATTGCTATATCCATGATAATTATCAGTTTTATTAAAAGACAAGAATTGTTCAGACTCTTGTGTCCTGCCTAACCACAACAGTCAATTTTCGGAATTCGAATCCAGGACATCTGGCCAATGCCAGATAACATATTTAACCACTTATCTTTTTTAGGGCAACCCTATATATAAAAAAGTGTTATTTTCTGTCGGGTACACTGATCCCAGTTTTGAATAGTTTACCAGAATTAAGAGTTATTATGCCTCTTTGCGAAAGATATTGGTAATATTCAACTATCATGATTTACTTCTTTCAGGTAGAACACAGCGACACATTGCCTCAAGAAATTTGCTCAAATTGCATTAGATTTATCAACAAATCAATTCAGTTTCGTAAGAACTGTGAAGAAGCACAGATCATACTACAAAACTACACACTCGGAGACAAAGTACCTCACCCATTTACTAATAACACAGATGAAAGCTCTAAGATAAATATTGCACATACAAATAATGAAGATTTTGATGATTTCGATGACAACATCCCCCTGGATACTTTAAAAGTCGAGGGGACATGTGTGGAAAAGCCGCTAGAATGCCTGGAGATATGCATGGATACTAAAACAGCACATACACCAGATTTAGTATTTAACAAAAAGAGGTGTGTGGTTCGGAAGGAAAATGCTATACGGAGTTTGAAAGGTAAATATTAAATACTGTTTATAGTTTACGTGAGTAGTACACATTTAAATAAAACAAGGATGCTTTGCAGCAGCCATGCATCCGAAACGGTGGCCATATTTAAAATCATTTTCAAATAAGTTTAACTAATATATCGCGTTTTAAACCGTTAAAGTGTTTTATTTAAAGGTAAATATTACATCACGAAGAGAAGTATTTGAGGAGACTTTTGCTGTGTGTATAAGAGCTAGGGGACTAAGTACTACAGTTTACACAAGTAGTGCATATCTAAATGAAACATTTTAACGGTTTAAAACGCGAAATATATTACCTAAACTTGTATACAAATTATTTTTAACTATGCCCAACGTTTGGGATGCCTTGCAGCAGCCGTGGTCACGGGAAGACGTCTGGCCGTAGTCAAAAATACTTTGTAAACAAGTTTTACCAATATATATCGCGTTTAAAACCGTTAAAGTGTTTTATTTAAGTAGCAAGTAGTTTACTTTGCGAGACATTGTTGCAATGCGCAAGCAATTTTCAACATCTTTTAAAGTTCTTTGCATTGTGGCCTTGGTGGGATGAATCTAGTCGCATTATTCATTCAAGTGTTAAACCTGTCTATAGTTTAAGCGAGTAGTATACATTTAAATAAAACACTTTAACGGTTTAAAACGGGGAGAAACCCCCGTGACCACTGGCTGCTGCTAAGCATTCGAAACGTTGGGCCGAAGTTAAAATCATTTTCAAATAAGTTTTTATTAATATATCGCCTTTTTTAAAACACTTTTTTAAATATGTTTTAAACCGTTAAAATGCAATTTATGATTGTATATTTTTTACCAGATAACAGAGAAACTAAAAGCACGGAAGAAATTGAATGTGAATATTGTCACAAGGTCTTAACTTCCAAATTATCTTTACGGAATCATTACAAGATACACACTGGGTTCGATGTGGTGTGTGAGGTAAGACTGAATTAATAAGTGTCTTCTTTGTGTCATAGTAACATGATGTAGAATTGTCAGGCTAGTTGGTATAGTGGTAGCGATGTATGGCTGATAATCAACGTGGTAAATAATTCTAGTCAAGAGACAACTAAATGATATGCAGCCATATGATTGCTACGATAAATGCTCAATTACAAATTAATAAACGCCTAAATAATTAAAAATTCTACCCCAGCCTATTCAGATCGAACTTGCGGCATAGTTTTATATAATTTCCATAATGGGACCTTATCGGAAATCAGTTTTTTTAATATAAAGGGGGGAAAAGACAAGTGTAGGGTTCACTACATGGGAGGTAAAATACCCCTGTCTATAACATAAAGCGAAGCGCTATCGGCCTATTTTTGCTTAAGATTCATTAACACAATTATAAGCAAATTTAAAACAAGTAAACATAAACGAAAAAAAAAAAAAAAAGGAGTCGGGTAGAGGCAGAGAGCAGCCTGACTGCAATTTTATGACTTGTATCTATCTTTTCATAGCCTAAAAATTTAATCTAAAAGAATATGAAAATTTTAAAATAATTCTTTACAAAGAATAGTATAATTATGTGCTACTTGCGCATTTTTATTTTTCTCCTTATCGAAAATCATGTTTTTTAAATACTTAAGTTTACGCGAGTATTACACATTGAAATAAAACACTTTAACGGTTTTAAACGCGATTTCTTTTAGTACGAACCTGTTCGAAGTTAGACGGAAAAGTTAAACTGTTCCGTCTAACTTCGAACAGGTAGCGCTAGTAGTTATTACTTTGACGTCAAAGACACCATCTATCTCTAGTCCCGTGACCACGGCTGCTGCAAAGCTTCCGAAACGTCGAGCCGAAGTTAAAATTTAAGAGTGAAAGAGTTTTATTTAAAAATCAGGTCCCATCCTGTCTCTAGCCTTATTTACCCAATTGAAAACCTACATTTTTGAAGTGGTTTTAAAATACACTGCAATTTTCAGCATTGTGGTAAGAAGTTCATAACACGCAGGTTGCTGCTGATGCACTGTCGAGCCAAACACGGTTACGAGAAGACAGATAAATGTTCGTTTTGCGAGTACAAGGCTTCAAATGCTGAACAGGTAAAGGTGAGTTTTGCAGGGTTAGCTCAAAAGTATTTATATAGAGAACTGGAAACCCACAAGAATAAATAATTTCTCCGGATTTTTTAAATTTCTGTATCTTTATCTTCGCTTCTAAAAGTCGCAGCGATATGTTTAATAGCCTCAGTAAAGGTTCTAACCAACAGAAAAATGTTTTTTCCATTCGAACCAGTAGTTCCTGAGATTACCGCATTCAAACAAACAAACAAACTCAGCTTTATATATTAGTATAGATTTGATAGTTTCCCAAAAAATCATGACATTACATGTGGTAACTCTATCATAATTAAAACGAAGGTAGGCTAGTACATTTCGGGTTTTCAACCGTCAAAAGTGTTTTATTTAACATTGCTGAAGAGTAGACAGGTTTTCCGTAATTCAGACATGTTACATGTAGATTTGACCTATCCAAGACTTGGTTTTAAATAGATAAACCGATTTTGATGATGTAACTTTTTATTACAGATACACGAGCGCTTGCATACAGGTGAAAAGCCATACGTGTGTAAGGAATGTAATGCTGGTTTCCACAGAAAGAGTAGCTATCTGCAACATATAGCTATACATTTGCCGGAGAAGACAGTGCAGGTACTAAATCAGCTGCAAGAATCTACCCTCATTTATTTAGTTTACTTGAAGTATCTTAACAATTACTTATAATTTTTTTATGCCATTGGAAACCAGACAAGCACGAGGTTCAATTGACGGAAGGTGAAATACCCTAGCCATATAACAATTAAACACGATGCGCTGTTGGCCTATTTTCGCGTTGAATATTCGTAGATTCACAGACTGAAATCGAAATCGTTTTTCGGAACTAACGACCATTCTAAACTTAACCTTAGATCCAAAATATATTGATAGAAAGACCTGTGTCTTGTGTAATAAATGTGTATTGCCTCTTACAACAAGAGCGATGGGATTGCTTCGCCCAGACCCACGTGCTCTTCTTAACCACTTGTCTGTAAAAATCCATAGAACAGACACAGACATGTGCTTATCCCATGCCCCACAGAGTATTTCTCATTATTAGCAACAAATTAAAACAATAAACAACAAATGCTCTTACAACCTTGTAATTGATCAAGTTACTGATCATTCCTGATTATTTTAAATTATAGAGGAGCATAGATAGACGCGCTGTCGAGCTATTTTGGTTTTGAATATCGATCGGACCATCTTAAGAAGCCTTACCTTCCAGTGTGACCAGTGTCCAGCGCGCTTCAAGTCGGTAACACTCATGCGCATACACAAGAACAGGCACCGTGCACCGCAATACAGGTACAAGTGTGGTGTGTGCGATAACAGCTTCGCGAGACGACGGAATGCGGCCAGACATTTGCAACGAGTACACGGTGTTAGCCCAGACCATCATATACACAGGCATAACATACATTGACAGAGGGGCTTAACAGTATAGAAGTACTTGAAGAAGCTAATGATCCCGGTTATCATCGTTGGCTTATACATATTTGCTGAAATTAATCAAACTAGCGACCCGCCCCGTCTTCGCTCGGGTGCAATGCTGATACTTAATACACTACGGAACACTGAACGTTGTATATAAAACCTTTTCGCTTAAATTTATTAAAAAACGCACTAAAATCTGTGGCGTAGTTTTAAAGATTTAAGCGTACGTAGGGACTGAAAAGCGAGTTTATTTTATACTATGTAGTGGCTATTAATCCACCATTTAAATTGCGCGCCTAAAGGCTAATTTTGTAAAATAACGCCCCAATATGGCAAGTGACGTCACGATCTTATGGCTATTGGTGTATATCGATCATATTATCTACAATCTATATGCATTTGTAACAAACTTTTACATTTTTACTGTGCATGAAGTAATTTAATCAGTTACAAGTTTAGTTATTTAATAATGCAGAGAAGAAAACAGTTTTAACACTAGGAAGCAAGTGACGTCGTAAAAAATGTGAGCCGTCACGGGACGCCTGGCAGATGTGAAACATCGCCATTATTTTGTAAACGTAATGTGCAGAAAAGAACATATTGTGATAGGAACTAAATATGTCATAATGATAAAATAAAATATTACGATTTTTTCCAGATAACGATGACTATTTATTGAATAAACATTTATTTTCATTAAATACAAAAATTTACGAATTTATTTCAAATCGTGACTACTTAATTCGTTTAATCAGTGACTTCGGTAATAGTTATATTCGATGTTGCGCATGGCGACGCGTCGCCACACCGTACACACTACTGCATATAGACTGTATATATATACCATCGTATAGCGTGGCGACGCTCCGCCACGGCATGCGTCGTCACGCCAGAAATCGGTTTTACGTACGGCTATAGATGTTTCACATCAAAAAGCCCACCGAGCGTTTTGTGTCTCGTGTTTAAAAAAGTTATTTCCATTTGCGGCTTTTTATATAAATCAATAATTACTTTTAACATTTGCTGCTGCCTGCTTTATACTTATACTAAATACTGATTTAATTAAATTTAATTTAATTGTCGCTATATCTTTCGCATTGTCAATTAGCTCATTGACACGTGGCGGTAGTCATTAAATACATCTACCCGCATTGGACCAGCGTTGTGCGCTTAAGATCAATAATCCCTATCCGATAATTCTCCACAAAGGAGAGATGGCTAGTAGATAATGTGGACTGAATCTGGCATTATAATAATGAGTAGGATTTGTGCATATCAGTAGGTTATTAATGGTCTGAAACAGTTGGGTCAGATATAAAGGTACTTTTCATGTCCAAAATGTTAACGCAGCGACATTAAAGAAACACACTCATTGTGTTCCTACAATTATAAGTGACAGTATTGAAGGTATTCTAAAAGATTTAAAAATTAGTCTTGTCGTTCTAAAGGTTTTGGTGTACATAGAAAATATATTGAAACAAACAAATAAACTGTCATAAGTTAAATATTGTCTGTAATTAGCGCGATTAGTGCACTTTTAAATAAAACACATAATGGTTTAATATGCTTTGATTAGTGAACCAATTTTAATTTATTTCAACTACGGGCCAACTTTATTTCTTGACATTCCTACTCCACCATCCTGATATGTTTTTTTGGGTCCTAATGATTTTACTTAATTACAGCAAAAAAACCTTTGGTTTTTATTGTTATAATATTATAACATACTACGTCAGTATTAATTTACAGATGGTATTATTGCATTTAGAAATTATTTTAATAAAGTATTTTTATTGAATCTGGTTTTATTACAAAAGTAAGTATTACAACAAAAGTAATACTTGCTGTTAAGACTTCATCTGTAACATCTAGAAGTTTAACCGGTGGTGAACTTCTAGATGTTCTAAACAAATAAAAGAAACTTAAAATTTTCAAACCCTTGAATAATCAAAGCCAAAATATGTCGACAGCCTATCTAGGTCCAATATTAAATTGTTGGGATATTTTACCTTTCAAGTAAACCCCAATCTTGTGTAGTGTGTACCCTCTTTCATAAAAAAAGATTTGGACGAATTTAAAAGGCATACAAAAGACAATAATTATTTTAATCACCTATATTTCATAAATACAACATAATTACAAAGTTGGAATAATGTTGTCAACACATTATAAGACGCTGCAACAATGTCCGCACTCACTGTTTCCTTATACTAATAGTTTAATCTTTTTTGTTTACCATTTCCTCCAAATTCTTCAATTCGGCTGAAAAAAAAATAACAAATTAATCACACACATAAAAAGGCTTTGCTATAAAAGAAGTGACAGCGAGATTCTTGTCAATTCTTTTCGTTCTATTTACATCCTTGATTTAAGAAGTAAATGTAGAGCCTTTGTAGGTTGGAGCATGATCCAGCGTCAATATAGTACTCTTTATAAGCTTTGTATAACACAATTTTTGTAAGTCCATTGCAATAGACCATCTTAAGCAAATGAGTTACCCTCCGCAGTAAAATTTAGATCACATTACTAGGTTCATTTCAAACTTTTTTTTTCAACATTTAATTTACATATGTTTTTAACTTCACAATTAAGTTACATTATTCAGTAAGTCATCAGTTATTTAATAGTAAACACAGTTTGCACATACTTAAGCAGAATAACCGACTGAACTGCTATTTAAAAATTCTTATTAAAAAAAACCCAATAAAAACATTGTCTTTGAAAAATTATATATGCAAGAACTATTAAAAACAACATAAATACAAAAAAAATGACTTACCAGCGGCAGCAATTGCTTTTTCTCGCTTGATCTTTTCGTCCCTGATAGCCTTCTCCTTAGCTTCAACCTCTCGGATCTTAACTTCCCTTTTAGAAAGCCTGTTTTGGTGGAATGCACCATACAAGATACCAGCTGTCAGAAATGACCAACGGCCAAACTGTAAAGTGATTTAATTTATTAAGACCCTTGGATCCCAGTACGAACTTTGATGTGATGATTCCAACTATAATAATTTGTCTGTCCTATAGTAACAAAAATATTTTTTCTGTAATAGTGTGACTACCCTCAACACTATTTGTAAAGTATCTTCAGAGATCTTAAATATTTTGAAAATGGAAAAATGGTTGTATCTCGCGAAATAGTATTACATAATTGAAATTCAAAAAAAGAACTTACTCTGATCAAGGGTGAAACTCTCACTGGGGGTCCGTAGGGAAGATCAGCCATTTTGATTTATTTTTAGGAGGATATTAAATCCGAAAAGGATTTACTGTGGTTGCTCAAAAAAATAATTCTCGCGTAGAGTTTTAAGGTTAATGGTAGCAGTCGAATATCAAAATAATCGATTCACAACTGTATATAAGTCAAGTGTCACAATCGATTCTCATTTCGATTTCAAAACATGACTATTTAAGGAATGTTCAAGATATTTCTATTATTTCCCTTCGAGATTCAATCATCAGCTTTTAGTAATTCTTCTCCATCAAATGATTTTTTCTTATCAATAAAAGAATTCAAAGCATTTAGTGAAAAATAGGGGAATGTAGAGAATTAAGATTCGATATTTCATATTTGTATATAAGTTATCTATAATACATGTTATCTGTGACGTATCCTGACAGATGACATTTCATCGAATGTTAAAATATTGAAGTTCGATCTTTCACTTTCAGTTTGCAAAATGGCCGTGATGATGTCGTTCGTGTCGGTCGCGGCATCAATATTGTACACGCCGTTTTTATTGTTAATTTTGTGTATAATTTTCTTGGCGTCAATCGGAAAATCATTGGGAGTGCGGCGGCTCTATGTCAATATTCTGCTGAAACTATTCGAGGTAAGTTATGCGCATATTTCCTTCGCTGCCATTAATACATTTTTATAATAATTCTTTAAATTATTGTACCATACGGTTTCCCATAGAATTACGACGTATCGATATGTATTCCGCAACATATAGTATATTTTTCAAGAGCCGGTTGATAGTCCGACATAACCTGTCTATTCTTGCTGCGTAGGGCGACACATTTTCATAATATTTGGCCTAAAAACCGAATTATCGAAATGCAATTTTAATCGTAGTGTTTTAATACGTGATTTGAAGCATTACTATCTAATTTTCTTTTAAAATCTACCTAAAAGTGTAGAAAGAATGCCATGCTATAGTGAATAACTTTATAATGCTTTTTTAATTTATTTAAACAACAACAATATAAAAAAAATTACGCGCATAAGTTTAAATTTTATTCGTTATGTTAATTATTGTTTGCTAATCAAGCAGCACTTTTGGCCTGATTAATCATGTATATACCAATTATTATCTATAAAATAGTTATGTAAGATATTAAACACAGTGTTAACACAATGTAATCATTTAAATAAAACACTGTAACGGTTTAAAACGCGATATATGAGTTAAACTTATTCAAAACTAATTTTTTTACTTCAGCCTGACATTTGGGTGCTTTGCAGGGGCTGGTTTTTAAACTGTTAGTGTTTTATTTAAATGTGTACTACTGGCGTAAACTATAGACAGTATTAATGTAATAGTTATAGAATTTTTCCTAAATGTAAGATTCTTGTTTTACAAAGCTCCAATTTTACAGTTAAAACAATTTATATTTTTCTAATGAAAACAGAACTACTTTGAAAATACTTGATAAGAAATCTTATCAAGTTTTTTAATAGTTTATAGTAAAAACCGGATTCTTAAAGAGTACGTTTTTCAGCTATATTTTAATTACAGGCAAGTTAAAACGACTTCTGTGTCTTTACTTGAAAGAATTTATTTATATGTAAATAATTTCATCCAATAAGCCACACTATGTTGGGACTAATGAAAACATTGTATAAAAACAATATAGAGATATTTAAATAAGAACAATACTATCTTGAACTAAGTTTGTGCCTATAAAATAGGCACAAATCATAATCATAAGTATCAGCGATTAACAATGATTAACACTTTACGATAAAAACAAATTATTTTCAAGGAAAACATTGTTTCTTATTGATAAATGTGATTGATTTGATTTTATACAATGATATTCTAATAAAATCTTATGTAAAAGTTTATTGCAATTTGAATGTACACATAAGTTCAAATATAACATTTCCCCTGTGGGGCATGGAGCTACCTCACTGATTGGTGTTTTAGAGATTGAATAGAATTCGATGCCCAGATTAGCCGTAATTTATTGTTTCTCCACGGTTCAAACCAAGGACTTCACAATGCCAGGCAACTTGTTTAACATTGCATAACGGAGGTGGCCAAAACTTTATCTAAGTTGCATATTGTTTCAAATATTGATCCGGGATTATTTGTTTCAAAGTAGATAAAACACAGTCAAAGTACGGTTTACGGTTCAAAAATACAGAGTGAAGTTTAATTATTTACAGAATTGATAAATGTATAAAGGAAATTGAATTCTTATCAATGAACGATTAGGAATATTTTTATGTATCGACAAAGCAAACAAAATTACTCAGCATAATGATTTGCATTTATTCGAATCATTAATTAAGAATTATTATTCCTAGTGGAAGACCATTGTTTGAAATAGGTTTGTGTTGAAATAGAACACTTTTAACCGTTTTAAACTTTATACATATTCGTTAATTTTTCTTAGTGACCAGACTAGATGTCCTCGCTGCAAAGGCTGCTGCAAAGCGTCGGAATCGTTGGTCGTAGTTAAAAATAAAATTTGATGATGTGCACGTTTGTAATTGTAGAGGTTTCTTTTAATTAAATTTTCTGTATTTTTAAATAAGACCCTTTTATATGTGATCAACAATATCGTTCTTAGTAAAAGCCCACTTTTTTACCAAGAAATAGTCACATTAATTAAAAATAAGCAACCGTTTTACTGTCCACCACTGGGTGACCCTGCTAGCGGTTGAAATTCGTAATTTTAACAGTAAGACTTTATATTAGGCCACCAGAGGCAGAGTAACCTAACTGCAAGTATTTACTGGAGCTATTTAGATTTTTATAGTCTAAAAATGTAATTTTACGAGAGCACAGTGACCGACAGTTTACAACATAATTCTCACACAAATAATAGTATAAATTCATTTTTCGCCTCAACTGCGATTGTTGATTTTCTTCTTATTAAATATCATGGTTTTTGTTAGTAGGCCACTCTGCCTCTAGTAGCTTCATATTACAGTAATTTTTCTTAGTGAATTTGGGCCACCTTTTTTCCTTGTTATAGCTCGTGTTAGAAGATGATAGTTCGTTTGTGCGTGGTTCAAGGTCACAAGATCCGTGACCTCTATACTGTTTACAAACATTAAGTGTCTATGTGGGGAAGTGCTAAAAATTTGTTCTGGCACTATAAATGTTATGACGTCACTTGTTGATGTCATTTTTCGTTCGAAGTCTATATTATCTATTGTTAGAATTTTGAAAAATGTGTCTTTGCCGGTAAAGACTGTGTCTTGCTCCGCGAACCCCTTCATTCAGCTCCCCACCCCCTTTTGGGGCTCGATTGGTTTAGACCATATTTGGTAATCATTTACTAATATTTATTACACAACACACACCCTATTACAATGAACCAAAAAAATAAAATCAGTTACCTAGTAACGGGAACCTTATCGCTATTTAGCGATCTCTTCCAGGCAACCCTTAGGAAAATAATGTAAAACTGATGGAGGAGGAAGGATACATTTTGTACAGTGTCGGAAAGAAATAAATGTAATTACAATAAAATAATTACTACAAAAAAGATTACATGTAATTTGAAGAAAAGTGATCCCAAAAGGGATCACTTCCGTCAGCATAAGTTCAGCACATTTATGCTACACTGATTTTCAGCAAAACCCTACTGTTCGTCTGTTAGACAGCGCTCGTACAACCGTAAATCGTTTGATATTTTAAATAAAAATGACTACCTTTTAGTTTCCGGGCGCATAGTTAACGCGTAATCCAGTAAAAAGATACCTTTTTCTTGGCATCGAGACAGTACAGTCCTTTGTGTCACAAGTAGATAAAAACACCAGCCAAGTTTAAGCCACTCGCACAAAGAGTTTGTACAATTCCATATTATGTGTATAATTTACGATTATAATTAAAGTGGAAAAAAAAAAGGTTTTGTTGTGTTTTGTTTTTTTGGGGAGAAGCGCCGTTTTAGCAAAACGCCTTTAACGGTTTAAAACGCGATATATATGCCTTTTTTTATGGAGATTTATATATGTTGGTAGCCGCGTTAAAAAGTTCTTATTTATATTTTTTAAATCTTGACTAATCTGGGACTCGATCCTACGACGTTTGGAATTTTAAAGTCAAAGCCAAAAGTAACCATTGGATTAAAGAAGCCGAACAAAAACAATTTATAAACCTCCTCCACAGGTTTAAAACCCAAATTTTTACGCCCGAAAGAACTGTTCTACGCGGGCGAAGTCGTTGACACAGCTAGTATGCAATACAGTCTAAGATAACAAATGTTATGTTAACAATATATTTTTTTTCAATATCTACAATGAACTCGTAAATTACAAAATTTTATCATTATCGAAGCGATGATTTTTATTTTATCCCCTGATTGAATTTTATAATCGTTATGCAAAAGTGAATTGTAATTCAAGGTTCGTTGGTCTTATGATAGCGATGTCTGATTATAGATTATACTTGTGTCCCAGATTCGATTACCACCGCATATGGGCTATCGAAATTACGATATTTAATTTGCTCTCTTGTAATGGTACTTTATTTGCAATCAAACTAAACTGAATTTAAAATCAATAAGATTAGAGAAACACAGCTGTGTCGGCGACTTCGTCCGGATAGAACAGTTATGTTAGGCGTATCCAAACCTCTTCTCATCTATATAAATCATAGCTTTTAAATGAAACACTTTAACGGTTTAAAACGCGATATATTAGTTAAACTTATTTGAAAATGATTTTTAACTTCGGCCCGACGTTTCGGACGTTTTGCAGCGGCCGTGTTTACAGCTATAGTACAGCCGAGCTTCCCCGCGACCACGGCTGCTGCAAAACATCCGAAACGCGTTTTAAAGGAAGGACATACACGGTCGTGGTAAGGAAATCACAAAAGAAGGACATACACAGTCGTGGACATTTCTTAGATTATTTAAAGAGGAATCATTCTCTCACTGACATTTTTAGGGGGTATCTTGAACAGCTTTCGCAGCGTACGCAACGAAAACCAACAGGGATGAGTAATTTCTCCGTTTCCTCCACATTTCCCGCTGTTTCATCGTTCATATTAGTCGCGGCTTGATCTTTTATAGCCTGTAGACTTTCTCGAAAAACACTCTAACCGACACGAAAATAATTTTTAAATTTGAACCAGTAGTTCCTGAGATTAGCGCGTTCAAACGAACAAACACACTCTTTAGCTATATATGTTAGTATAGATAAATAACTAACCTGTCTACATATTTAATTAATAAACAGCAAATAAAAAAGGCTTAATTTGAAGTTAAGAATGGACTCGATAAAGGCCTCTGTTTGAATGATAAAAATGCGTCCTCGGCGTCACGCTAAAACAATAGGCGTTCACCGAAACGTGACGTCACAAGGGAAATAATTTTGTGTGCGCGATCTATTGTTTGAAACGCTCGATCAAATTTGACTTTTGAAACTTATAAACTAAACCTATTTTTTATATACATATAGGAACGCAGACGAGCATGGAGTTAAGTTGAACTTAAACAAGATGTGTTGTCGACCTTTGGATATTCGGAAATCCAAAGACTGAAACGGAAACGCTATTAAAATTCACGATTACATATTTCATCTGTCGACGGTGGTTTGTGACCCGGACGGCATATCTTTATTCCTACCACCCATTATTCAAATTTGTAGACGAAGTCCAACGTGTTTCAGATAAATTATAAATTCAATACTGTCTATAGTTTACGCGAGTAGTACACATTTAAATGAAACACTTTAACGGTTTAAAACGCGATATATTAGTTAAACTAATTTGAAAATGATTTTTTAACTTCGGCCCGACGTTTCGGATGCTTTGCAGCAGCCGTGGTCACGGGGAGACTAAAGATGGAGGATGTCTCTGACGTCAAAGTCAAAAATTGCTAGATGGCGCTAGCGTAGCAATTTTTAATAATAAATTATAAATTAATTGTAAATATGTTGGACCCCGTGGGGATCGAACTCGCGACCCGTTGATTGTTTACACCAATGAGCTCGTCAGAATTAAATTTTATAGTTATTAAGATATTAAATTTGTGTAATATTAAGATTTATTACCGCAGAGAAATTAATTGTTTTTCTAACTATTAAACTTTTGTATTTAATTGCGTTTCATTAATTTTACATTACAAAAAATGTGTATTACAATCATTTTAATTTTATAATGACTTGTGAAACTCATTTAATGTTCTGTTGGTAAAAAAAAACTTAACGCTATACGCAATCGTTTATTGAAACGTGTTTTTCGAAATAAAAACATTTCAACGGTTTAAAACGTCATATATATTATATGTGTATAACTGTATACTAGGGACTGCGATGTATTTTTGCAAAATAAAGGACTCCCCGTGGCCACGGCTGCTGCAAAGCATACGAAATGTCAGGCCGTTAAATAAATTTACAAATAAGTTAACTAATATATATTGCGTTTTAAACCGTTAGTGTTTTATTTAAATGTGTTCTAATCACGTGAACTATATCCAGTATTCAAATAGTCACTTCTAAAAATACACAATATAATCGCAGAGCAATGATATCAAATCATTTTTTTATGATTATTGACGATAATGTTATGTTCGTGATTGGTTTCTTTCAGATTTATTTACTACGGTAAGACCGCCTCTGTAGCCAAATGGTGAAACGTATTGCTATATGGTTCAGCGCGAGAGGTCCCGGGTTCGAATCCCAGGGAAACAAAAAAAAAGTTTCGGTCGGGCAAGGCACAGAAATCTGATCAACCACTTGCCTGTTAAAGAACGGATCAGTGAAACGAACACAAAAATATGTTCGCCCCATGCCCCACCGGGGGGAAACGGGATCTCACTACACACACACGGTAGACGCATTAAATTCTATGTTAATCTAATGGTAGCAATGTTTTTTTGCTTTATTGCTTATAATTAAGAATGAATAATCTATACTAACATGTAAAGCTAAGGAGTTTGTTTGTATGTTTGTCGTGCTAATCTCGGGAACTACTTGTTCGAATTGAAAAATTATTTTTGTGTTGGTTAGTGCGTTTATCGAGGAAGGCTATAGACTAAAACAAAACATGGTGATGTGACTAATAGGAGCGAAGATACAGCAAGAAATGTAAGTATATTTTTTTCATATTTGTGATCTTCCGTAGGGGAACTCAGGATACGAGATGTAACCCAAAACTGTGTATGAACTCGGTTTCTTTCTTAAATGTAAATAAAAATGTCAGACTTGACAGTTGTAACTGGTACGTACGTACGCGAATAAAATCACTGTAGTGTTCACCTCTGCGTGAGCGATAAGATGTGATAACGATAATCAGGTCGTTATATTGTTTCTAAGCGTATTGCTTAGTTTAATTATTTAAATGACATAAAATATTTGTAGGTTTTAAACGCGTAATATATACGTTTTGGATGCTTCGCACTAGCCGTGGTCACGGGGTTCTAACGAAGATCGCAAACGCCGTGTCGTAGTTGAAAGTTTGTATATTACGCGTTACAAACCGTTAACAGTGTTTTATTTAAATTATCTAAAATATGTATCGTTTTAAACCGTCAAGAATGGATTATTTAAGTTCGTACTACTGCGAGAACTTAGATCGTATTACATTTTTTATTTGTAACAATAGCGAGGTGTACTTATATAATCTACTATGTATATGATGTGTAGTCTACTTTTTCCGGGCAAACTTTGTTTGGGCATATACATAGGTATTTAATAAATCTCTTTTTTGCATTCTAATCTAACCATAAAAGAAAATTATATAGGGTTCAAAATCTTCTAACAATCTATTCATATCTAGAAATCTGGATATTAAATCGAAAATCCGTCAGGGCCCGGATCAACGCCCACAGATGAAAAAGGCGTCAAATATAATCGCGTTTCTGTTTCAGCCCGAGGATTTACGAAAAACAAAAACCAAAATAGGTCGACATCGAGGTAGTGCATCGTTACGATGGTATACTGTTCCACTATGAATGAAAAAAAAAACTTAGTCGTTCATTAAATTCATTCAGTTTTAAGATATTAATTTAAACTAAAAGAAAATTCATGTCAAAAGCTGCGTTAGCATAAGTTGCAATTTTTTTTAACTACCGCCCCACGTTTTAGATATTAAAAAATAATTTGTTCAAAAAACATTTCGCGTTTTAAACCGTTAAGTGTTTAATTTAAACATCTAATAACGGCACGACCGACTGGCGTGTTCACGAACTGTGGCACAGCACAGTTGACCTTTGACAGTGCGTGATTCGTGGTTGAACTTTGTCTTCGTTATGTTAACATCGGCCTAATAAGCATTGTTGTATTAGTGATAAAATGATAAGCAGATTAACTTTACGATTTCTAATTGGGTCATAAATATTGTATAGTAGACCCCGGTTCTTGTCTAGACCAACTGCCTCGTTGGAGATTGGGGTTGGAATATCGAAGTTCTGTCCCGAGTAGAGCTGGCTGATGGAGCAACTGAACGCATGTAGCTCTCAGTCTGTGGATTTCCAAATTTGAATTAAAATTCCAAAACCAAAATATGGATTGAGAGCGTAAAATACAGATTTAAAATTTTATAGGGGGGTTTTACGCCACCCCCACTACTGTGGGACCTGTAACCTGTGAACCCCACACTAGTCTGTACATTTAACTAATAATAATATATTTCGCGTTTTAAACCGTCAAAGCGTTTATATAAATGTGTACTACTCACGTAAACCACAGACAGTATTTAAAAAGAGAATACAAACAGGACGTGCCAGTGTCGTTTATGACAATCTTATTTTTTTGACAATTGACCTCTAAGGATTCTCTTGCAATAGTTATTTTAAACTTGCTGCGTCAGCGACTTCGTCCGCGTGGTATAGTTATTTTGGGCAACCAAATTCGTTTTTGCAAACCCTTTGTTTATAAACCTAAGGCGTTACGTGTCGCGTCCCGCATAGCGTCGCAGATTTTTTAGACGATTTAAAGAGGAATCATTCTCTCGTACATATTTTTTGGGTATCTTGAACCGTTTTTGCAGCGTACGCCTCGGAAACCCATAATATGTTTAACCCATATTAATGATTTTCCCAAGTTTTTTCACATTCCTCGCTCTATCTTCGCTCGTATTAGTCACAGAGCGATGTTTTATTAGCTAATAATTTTCCTCGATAAACGTTATAACCAACACAAAAATAATCTATCAATTCGAACCTGAGGATCCTGAGATTAGCGCGTTCAAACAAACAAACAAACTCTCTAGCTTTATATTGTGTAAAAATATTCGAGAACGCAGTGGAGTTCAGTTGTTCAGTTTAGCATATATATTATTTATTTAAATCTTTATTAAAACACACACAAACACAAAGTATACATACATGTATGTTTCCTTAAAAAATATTCTTAATAATACAAGTTATATTATATTACGATAAATTATTCTTACAAGTTAAAAAAAAAAAAGGAAAAGAGGGGGAATAAGTTGAAAAAATAAGAGGGGGGGGAAGGGGGAGGAGAAAAAGGAAAAAAAAAAAAAAAAAAAATTTTAAAAAATATTTTGATTTTTAAATTATTCTTACAAGTTTGTGCAATGGGCGGCCTTATCGCTATAGAGCGATCTCTTCCAGGCAACCCTTGTGTAAAATTAAATAAGATATATCATGGGAACGTGCAGGCATGCGAAGCTTAACAATATACAAAAATAATTAAACATTCACAAATTTTGCGAATGGGATATTGACAGATAATGCTTATAGTATTCAAATGTATGTAATAACTTTCCATCCGGGAAAACGGTGACATTTGAACCCGGAAAAGCTGGAAATAAACACATTACCGATAAACTACTTTATGTCAATATTATTACATTTATCGTGTATTGATTTTCCTAACGTGTTATCGCAGTCAACCACAATACCAATATTTTGATATAATGAAATCCCGTTTTCCATTTGGGGTATGGGGGCGAACACATTTCTCATTCATTTACAGGCAAACATTTGACCGGACCTCTGTGCTCTTCGACCGAAACAATCTATTGTTTCCAGCGTGATGCGAACCCTGGACCTCTCGCGCTATACGCTAGGCAACACAATTAACCATTTAGCTATATAGGCAGTCTATATAAAGACCAATTAAAACTCTTTAATAATTATATTTTAATTATTTATTTAAATTACAGCATAGCATGGCGTTGGTCGTGGGTTCTAGTCCCGCCCGTGTCATAGTGAATCTTAAATGATATATTTGGTGACGCTAAGATTTTTTCTTCTAAGACTTTATATACCTGCAAGACATGTTAGACATGCTAACGTTTTTTTGTTTTTCTCTCCTACGTAAGCGTAACGTAATATTTTTCCTACTTCAGTATGGGAGGCAACACATCGAAGTGGCGAAGAAGCTGCAAAGGAACGACAGCTCCGACGAGGACGATCTACCACCGACTCCCGAGGATAAACCGCCTTCAGCGCTGATCAAGGAGAATGGAGTCAACGGTAAGTTGGTAGATTTTAATATAAATTTAAGAAAGAGACATTGTTGTCTCTTTTGCACAATTCAATTCCTAGAAAGAAAGACATTACTGGGTCAAAGAGAGTTGTATCACCGTCGTTTGTTCGTTTAAGGCCCAATGGCACCCGATACTCAAAACATTTTTTAACTTGCCTTACGCGTGATAGTTTCAAATTTAAACTTATTTTAGATTTGAAATAATTTAAGAACATAGTTAGCAGCACAAATGTGGTCCTCTGATCTCGCTCGTGTTACTCCTTATATAAAATTATACATATTATAAAGTTGACGAGTTTGCTTGTTCGTTTGTTTGAACGCCCGAATCTCAGGAACTACTGGATCGAATTGTATATTTTTGTGTTTGTTTAGAGAATTAAGCGAAGGGCTTTAGGATATAATACACTCAGCGTCCAATGGGAGCGTAAAAACAGTGTGAATTGTGGAAAAAGGGGGTACTATTTCGTTCGTTTACCGTTGTCGCGAAAGGTTCAAGATACCCAAAAATTTACATAAAAAATATATGTTTATCTTTTAAGATTAACTAGCAAGAACAGCTATAGTTTTAAAGGTAATGAGGTTAGCAAAAACCAAATTTCGATGCCAAAATAACTATTCTACGCGGACGAAGTCGCTGGCAAAGCTAGTATATAATGTACGTATTATCTTCTTGTATGTACAGAGTCGAAGGTTAACTAGTACTTAGGTTAATTTTGCCCTTTTAATATTGCGATAAAGGTTGCCAAGGCAACGTTTATTTTTAAATTACAAAAAATTTAGCCTTTTTTAAATATATACCTACCTATTATTATATTAACAATATTTTTAAATGAAATACTTTTGACGGTTTAAAACGCGAAATATATTCGTTGCCGTATTTTTTAATATTGTCTATGATTTAAATAAAACACTTTAACGGTTGAAAACGCGATATATTAGTTAAACTTATTAGAAAATGTTTAATTGAAAAAACTCGCGTAACTATAGACAATATTTAATCGTCTATGATTTTCACGAGTAGTACACATTTTAACAGTTAACAGTATAAAACGCGAAATATATCAGTTAGACTTGTTTACAAATTATTTCTAACTACGGTCCGACGTTTTGGATGCTTTGTCCACCACCACGGATTTGTCGACATGTTCAACTAATATATTTCGCGTTTTAAACCGTAAGTGTTTTATTGAAACATATTTTTAATCAAATTTGTTTAACACCCGCCAATTTTAGTCTCGCCGCGTAACCACGATTTTTGCAAATAACCGAAACTTTCGGCCTTAGTTGGCATGACTAATTTATAGCGCGTTTTGACCCGTTTAAAATGTTCTTAATTAAATGCTTTCGAGAAATTAGTCCAACCCACGACCACCTTTGGACCACGGAGCCGGTCATAATGTCGTTTCTACATCGTAAGATCGAGTTAATGATACGCAAACATGCCACGATGCAATGCCTTACGTAACTTATCTATATGTTTTGAAATAACCTGTGTGTAACCGTGTTTTATTTGCTCAGACACGTGACGAATTCGTACATCCGTCCGCGCTTTTTAGGGTTCCCTACAGGCAGACTACACTGGATCGTTGGTGTAATGGTGGCTAAGTATAACGGTTCGTGGGTTCGACTTTTCCGAAACATATTGGACTTTGAAAATCAATGACAAACACTGTCTATAGTTTACGCGAGTAGTACACATTTAAATAAAACACTTTAACGGTTTAAAACGCGATATATTGGTTAAACTTATTTGAAAATGGTTTTTAACTAATATATCGCGTTTTGAACCGTTAAAGTGTTTTATTTAAATCAATGACAAATGAAGAAGCCGCAAGTCCGTGGATGCAGTCCGTGGGTATCCGAATATCCAAAGGCGAAACACGTCAACAGGACATCTTGTTTATATTCTATAGACTGGGGTATTTCCTACCATCGAGGGGACCCCGTGCCTGTCTGTCGTTCTCTATAATTAAAAAGCGGTTATAAACGCAATTCGTCGGTTGGTTGTTACTAAATATTTCGCGTTTTAAACCGTCGAGAGGGTTTTATTTGATAGTTCTTGCCTTTTTCGTTCCGAAATATGTTCTATATACGAAAATATTGTACATGTTTATCGCACGTACCCGAAAGTTTAAAACACCATGCCGTCAAGCCTGTCTGTACTGTTTGTATGTCACCACTTTATCTTCAAGAACACATGGTCTACGTAAAGCAACGAAAACTTTGTATTTCTGTGACTGCCTTATAAACAAAAAAAAATTTTTTTTAAACCTGTTAAGCTGAAAGTAAACCAGTCAAAGACTGTCTGCAGTTAACGCGAGTAGTACACATTTAAATAAAACACGTTAACGGTTTAAAACGCGATATTTATCTGTTAAGTCTAAAACGTCGGGCCGTACTTAAAATAATTTTCTAATAAGTTTTACTAATATATATAAGTGTTTCGTTCAAACTCAAACCGTCTTCCAGGGTGCACGAAGACATCAGTGATAGAGCGGCAAGAGATCCTCGGGCCTTCGCCAGAGCTGAACTACAAGCGGAGCAAGAGTCAGGAGAGGTTGCAGAACGGACACACGAATGAGCAGGCCAAGCCTGAGGTGAGATTTAAAGAAATAGTATTTGGGTTCCGTATACAAAGGCAAGGGTTCCGTACATACATTAAGTGGGTCGTAGCCATATCGCAAGGAATTGATGGAAATCTGGTTCGCAATACACCATTCACATATGAGAAAGCAACCAAGTTACGTTTAGGTTACAGTCCCTGAATTTACGAATATGCAAAGCCGAAATAGGTCGACGGCTTATCTTCTTTGGATGTTATCTGATTCATCTGGAACTGTCTAGTTGTTAAATTGCTGTTGTAAATAGAAGAAACGAGTTTGTGCATTTAAATAAAACACTTTAACCGTTTAAAACGCGATATAAATTAGTTAAACTTAAAGCATCCGAAACGTCGGGCCGAAGTTAAAAATCATTTTTAAATAAGTTTTAGTAATATATCGGCTTTTAAACCGTTAAAGTGTTTTATTCAAATGTGTACTACTCGCGTAAACTATAGACAGTATTTAAGTTTGTGGATTTTTTTAATATTCAAAGCCGAAATAGGCCGACAGCACATCATGTTCCGATATTACACGGTTGGGGTATTTCATCAAGTTCGTCGTTGACCTCTATCACAAATAAAGGTTGCTGGATTATCTAGATATTTATATTTTCAGAATAGCCTAGAAGTCCACCTCTACCATTGCCTAGACCTGGCGAAGGCCGGCATGGAGTCAATCATCGAGGATCAGGTCACATCGGTCTTCGAGGCCGAGGAGTTGAGGAGCTGGAACCTTCTCACCAGGACGAATAGGTGGGTTTTATTGACACCTTTGTTTAATATGGTTACGATTGAGTACGTAAAGAAAATTGAACGGTTTAAAACGCGATATTTCATTGGTTTTTATCAAGACCCGACGACACGACTACAGACAATACTTGATTACCTTTAATTCTTCGATGCCTTTTTTTGTACTCAACATTGCGTAGGCAACGTACCCAAAACCATAGCATCGACCCCAAAGTCTCGGGTTCATGTCCCGTCCGTTTCATCTTTTTTTTTAATTAAAATTGATTCAGCCAAATCAATAGTTATGTCGTACCTAAGTACGTTGAAGTTTAATATGATTACCACTTTTTTTTAATCCCAATGGTGAAACGGATGAGGGATTCGAACCATGAACTTCGTGATCTACAATTCAATGTCCAAATAGACCAACCAAGATTTTGAAGAGAGGGCATTGTTGGTCGCTAGACGGGGTTCTTTACCTGTTTCAATTAATTTAAATAAAACACGTTAACGGTTTAAAACGCGATATATTTTAGTTAAACTTGTTTCAAATCTATTTTTAACTACGGCCCGTCATTTGGATGCTGCAAACTAAAATATATGATTTAAACGTTGACGTGTTTATTCAATTTTTACTACTCGGTTAACTACAGACAGTATTTATTAACATAAGAATTGTAGATGTTAACGGTTTAAAACGTGATATATTTTAGTTAAACTTGTTTCGAAATTATTTTTAACTACGGCCCGTCATTTCGGATGCTGCAAACTAAAATATATCGCGTTTTAAACCGTTGACGTGTTTTATTTAAATTTTGTACTACTCGCGTTAACTACAGACAGTATACAGTTTTTATTAACATAGGAATCCTTAATGTTAATAAGATAAACAAAAATATTTTCTCTAAATATTTATTTACAGACAGTACGAGTTCTTAACGTGGCGGCTTACGATAATATGGGCTATGGGATTCATAGTTCGTTATTTCTTCCTTCTGCCCTTGAGGATTCTTGTCTTCTTCATTGGCGTAAGTATTACCACTAACATAATATGCCACTAGATGGCGCTGTAGTCAATCAACTATGAAACTCTTCTATCTCATAAAAATTCAAATTAAGGCTATAATAATGCCTCAAGGTTCCATCAATGTCTTTGAGTTTAAAATATACAAAATAATGTTGTCATTTATATGTGTACTTTACGTATTAGTTTCCAAATTTTGCAGCTAATGTTATTCTTACCCAAATAAATGTGTTAGTTATAGTTATTTGTTATTCTAACTACTGTAGCTATTTTTCCCTTCTTACTAACACCACCTGGCAACATCAGGTCCTCATAACGATAGCGATAACGTTCCTAATCGGAATGTTGCCCGCCGGAAAATTCCGACGACGCCTCGGCGCTGTGGTGTATAAGGTTGTCAACCGGATTCTAATCCGCGGCGTGTCGTGTCTCGTCAACTTCCACGACACACAGTACATGCCGAAGCCGAACAGTTTCTGTGTTGCCAACCACACGAGCCCGATAGACGCTAACGTTCTCAGTACGAACACGTGCTTCGCTCTGGTTAGACTTTTATCTACGCCTGAGGGCTGATGTGCTTCTGTGTACGTCCTTTACTGCGTATGTCAACTGTCAAAGTGACTGCGACTTGTGTAGTATTTCGATGTTTTGGCGCCTTCACTATCAGAAGTGGGATCATTGTTGTTTAGGCACAAAATCGGCTTATAAATTGTTGTTTTTAATAATATTTGTTTTTATAAATAGCCGATTTTGCATCTAATGACAAATCATGGGAATGGGTCGGTCGCAACGGGGAAGACTAAAATGGACTCGGGCGCAACAAAAGCATTTGTGTAACACTTAGTAATTTGATAAAATACTTAAATTTAACTATAGATTTCATATTTAATGATTTCATAATCTGCACTACCCTACAAATTTATAATTTCTATGGTTTTATCATATTGCACCGGTTCTTCCCCGTCGCGCCGCCCATCGGGTGACAGTGACAGCCGTCATCTGTCAAACTCACTGTCACCGCTGTCATATCATAGGTGTGGTGGCTGATTGTGAGTACGGCGATCATAGGCACCCTGCCGGACGGTCCGTTCAAGCAGCGCGTGAACAACGGGATGTCGCTGATGTGTTTCAACTTTTTGTCGCGCTGCATCAGCGCCGTGATCACCTACCACAACGGGGATCAGTATAAGCCCAAAAGTGGTATTTGCGTCGCGAACCACACCAGCCCCATAGACGTCTTGGTGCTGATGTGCGACAGCTGTTATTCGTTGGTAAGTATATAGAGTTTTTGTTTGTGGTACACATTAAAATAAAACTTTTTTAACGGTTTAAAACGCGAAAAATATAAGTAAACGTATTTTTTAATTTATCATAACTACAGTTCGATGTTTATAATACAATTAACAGTTTGCGTTTTATTTAAATGTACACACGAGCAGTACAGATTTAAATAAAACCTTTTTAACGATTACAAACGTGAAACATCATGGAATAAACTTATTTTTAAGTCATTTCAACTGCAGCCCGGTGTTTCTAATACAATTCGCGTTTTAAACCGTTAAATGTGTTCTATTTAAAAGTGTATAGAGTTTAATCTATTCCCCACAACAAGTTCCTGGTGTCCAAGTAGATCGAAGTTAACAAGTCATTGTCGACCTTTTCCGGGTTCGAATCCGGGAGAATCAATTGAATTTTTCGATCGGGCAGGCACGGAAGTGTGATCGACTACTCGTCTATAAAGACCGACCAGCGAAACGGATACAGATATGTGTTCGCCCCATGCCCCACAGGGTCATGTGATTTTACACTTACTTTATCCCTATTGGATATTTCACTAGACATAGTAAGTACCCATTATTTATTTGGGTTAATGTTTGAATGCTGGTCCAGTTTTTGTCCGTCCGTTTTTATAGCATGAATGATTAAGCTATATGTGTACACTGTCTATGGAGCATGATACAATAGTAATAAAACACGTTTAAACGGTAAAAAACGCGAAATATATTAGTTTTATCAGAAGCGTGTCTAATATTGGTTCACACCTAAAAACCAAATCAATTGATATATTTCTCATTTTAAACCGGTATATGATTTGTAATTAGGAAAATTATTTTATTTCTCAGATTTATTAAATTAAAAAAAAAATACTACTTAAGTCTTTTGGGGGTATGTTAAAATTTCATAATATATAAACACACCCTGTATTTCGTATTTTATTATGGGACATAGTTTTGTGTACAACACATCTATGTTTTTAATTAACTTACTTTTAAACATAATTTTAACATGTTATCGAACATGATGGCTTTACATACATTAAAAATCGATTTTAGACTGAAAAAAATAACGACACGAGCGAGACTTGAACTGGCATTGCTCCTCTAACTAATTCCAACTATCGAACCGGTTAGAGCAGCGTGCGGATGCCGATTCAAGTCCCGTCGAAAATATCTACTAAAATCTAAAATCGATTTTTAAGTTTATATAAATAAACTTATGAGCTATATAGTAATGATCTCTAGTGCGTCTAAACACAGATCGGTCAGCGACACGGCGGATTCCTAGGGCTCTTGCAGCGGGCGCTCGCTCGGGCCTCGCCTCACATCTGGTTCGAGAGGTCCGAAGTTAAGGATAGGCACGCGGTGGCTAAAAGGTTAGTCATAAGGATATACTGAAAATTTATTTTTGGTTAAGAAAATGTATGAAACGGTCAGGACTTGAACCGGCATCTATAGAGCTAGCCGATTGAGCTACCGAGTCCTACACGTCATCGTCGAATTTTAAGCTATCGAGACATGCACATTCCGCGCAATGTAATTTCAACCTTAACACTTGCAGGTTAAGGCTCAATGTTCTTTGCAGCTTAAAAAAAAATAATTGGAGTTGAAATTACAGAGTTTAATTAGACACTGTCTATAGTTTACGCGAGTACACATTTAAATAAAACACTTTAACGGTTTAAAACGCGATATATTAGTTAAACTTATTTGGAAATGATTTTTAACTTCGGCCCGACGTTTCGGAGTCTCCCCGTGACCACGGCTGCTGCAAAGCATCCATTAACTAATATATCGTGTTTTAAACCGTTAAAGTGTTTTATTTAAATACAGAGTTTAATGTTTGTATTTTTCACATGAAGGCACTATATATATTAAAAATCGATTTTAAATAAAAAAAAAACGACACGGGCAAGTCTTGAACCGGCACAAACAGCGTTCCGTGATGCTGCTCTAACCGATTGAGCTACCGAGTTCTACAGGTCTAATAACTGGTTAAATTAACATAACGTTTTTAAGAATTATATAAAAAGTAATAATTTTGTAAGGTAAAATTGTGTAAGGCTTTCACGGCCATCGTTCAGCATATCATTGTGATAATTCTTCGACCAATCGAGGAGTCAACATCTCCTGATGATGCCGTCCACAAGTGATGGCGAAACGTCGAGAACCTCTTCTCGCTCACATCGGCCGAACAGCCCGAAAGACAATGATATGCAGTAACAATTTATATCTAATTACAGGTTAAAAGAGCACATCTCGGTGCCGGACAATCCGCCGATCCTCATATTCCCAGAAGGGACGTGCATCAACAACACATCGGTGATGCAGTTTAAGAAGGGCAGCTTCGAAGTCGGTGGCACAATTTATCCGGTCGCGATAAAGTGAGTTTAATTTTCACGGATATATTTGCGTTTTGAACGGTTAAAAGTGTTTTATTTTCGACGTTAATGTCCCTTATAAATGATAGTAATTATCATTTGTTATCGTTATAGTGTCTGAGTAATATAATAGTTTGGAAGTTAATCTGGAAGGATATACTGTGACGGATTTTTCTTAGATCTTCATGTAGATAGTTTTTTGAACCGTTTTCGCAGCGCACGCGACGGAAGCACTCGAAGATAAATAGTTCTTCCCCGTTTTCCCCATATTTCCCTGTATTTCTTCTCTCCTATCTTCTAATGTTTGTATCTATTATCTTAATGTTTTATAGCCTTCCTCGATAAATGCTCTAACCATCACAAAAATATTTTTTTCAATTTGAACTAGTAGTTCTTGAGATTAGCGCTTTCACACAAACAAACTCTTCAGCTTTATAATATTAGTATAGATTGCTACCTCATCAACAATCCCATCAAGATATCGTTAAAACCATTCGCAGATACGACCCGCGCTTCGGCGACGCGTTCTGGAACAGCACCAGGTACGGAATGCTGCACTACCTCCTCAACATGATGAGCTCGTGGGCGATCGTGTGCGACGTGTGGTACCTGCCGGCCATGACCCGACGCGCCGACGAGAGCGCTGTGGACTTCGCGAACCGAGTGAAAGCGGCCATTGCGAGACAGGGTGGGCTGGTGGATTTGCAGTGGTGAGTGCTAGTGTCGTAGGGTTTTAACCCTTAAGTTGAATTGTGATTCCATCACGATCCGTTTCAACTAACTAATGTTTACTGTTGGTCGGGCAATCTCTAAATGTGGGGGGGTGGTTCAAGAGTGATAACCCATCGCGCTGCTGCAGTGGGGTGGTGGGTTTTTAAGAATACCGCCTCTCAATTACTAACAATAACAAGGACCCTTCCAAACCCGGAAACCCCATCGAAATAATTCTCAATACCGAAATAACATTTGGACCGGAGCGAACGAAGCATTATAAAACTTAATAAATTTCGCGTTCGAAACTTTCAAAAATGTTTTATGTATCTTACTGGAGTGTTTCTCCTTTCAGGGACGGTCAATTAAAACGGATGAAAGCGAAAAAGGAATGGCGAGAGTTGCAACAGGAGGAGTTCAGTAAGCGATTAAAAGGAGAGTAGGCGTTCGCGTTTAGTTTATGGAAATCAATCTTTCCCACGCGTGGGACGAAAAGACTGCGATTGCGGAGGGCGTGAAGTGGTGGAATTTGTTTGTTTTACGCTTATTATAATATTCTGATGTGTGTGAGAGTTTATTTGAAAAAAAAATTGGAAGTTTGTGTTAAATAATTAATTTAATTAATAAAAAATAACTAAAATATATTTAAAATTGTGGCATAAACGAATGTTCAAAGTGTAATAAGACCTTATTGTAAATTCTTGAAAACAACGCCATCTATTAGATTTATTGGGAAGTTTGAAGCCTCCCTTTTTTTTCACCACTTCGCGCCTTAAGCATCTATGGGGGATTTTTACAGAGAATGTATTTTTGGCCTGTGGCTTTATATTCTATTATCGTGTAATCGTTGACCCTACGTCACTATATTATCGTATTGTAGGGAATTTATAATATATTTTTCTAGATTCAATCATAATGATTCACCGATCAATCTTTACGTTGTTTGTGCGTTGGAGTTTTTTTAATGTTGATAACGAACGTTTTTTTTTTCTTAAATTTCTATCGCCCTATAAAAAATTTAATAATATTTAAACAAAGCATTGTAACGGTTTAAAACGGGATATATATTAATTGAAATTATTTGAAAATTATTTTATCTACGGTCCAACGTTTCGGATTCTTTGCGGCAGCCGTGGACACGGGGTAAATAAGTTTAACATATATATTTCACGTTTTTAACCGTTAGTGTTTTATTTAAATGTGTACTACTCGCGTAAACTACAGACAGTAAGAAATAATATTTTCAGTGTCAATATTAAAAACTTCATCAACGCAAAGAGTTCCTACGCCGCTGTCATGCAATGTGACAATTGACATTGTCATAACTGTCACGATGATTTCTTTTGAGTGCGCAAGCGCATCTTCCTATGCAGTTAATACTCAAATCCTATGTATTATAACGTGTCATGTTAGCATTTAAAAATAGTACAATTTAATCAACTGATACTTTTCTTCTTCTTCGGATGTCATGTAGCTAAGGGAGGAACTGATTACTTTGTGTGTCCTATTTAGGGGTGGATTCTCAAAAAGGTGATAAAATCTGAGTCGTTTTTTTAACTAGTTCTACAAATTTAAATAAAACACTTTAACGGTTTAAAACCCGGGGGTCTCGCCGTGACCACGGCTGCTGCAAAGCATCCGAAACGTCGGGCCGAAGTTAAAAATAATTTTCAAATAAGTTTAACTAATATATCGCGTTTTAAACCGTTAAAGTGTTTTATTTAAATGTGTACTACTCGCGTAAACTATAGACAGTATTTAGTTCTACAAATCTCAGGTTATTAGCGATTTATGTCGACATCAATCTAATGTCGTGTGAGAGAGAATTAACCCCCGTTTGCATGAAATTTGTATTTCTACATAATCGTACGCAACTATTGTTTTTTTTTATTTAATGAAACACGAGAACGGCTTTGTAACACATTAATAACTTAAGATATCTATATACCCCCCTCGTTGTGTAGAGAAACGAAGCAATATATTTTTGGATTGCTCAAATTTGATGAGACTCGAGTGAGTGAGGAAAGTGATAACGTCTGTATATCGTAGACTGTATTTTGTATTTAACGTAAGTTTACACGATACGACTCCGACACGACACAAACGAAATTTAGTGCATTTCGTGGCATTTAGTATTTGGTACATATTAACGCTTTTAACTGTTTAAAACGTGAACCCTATTAGTTTATCACGTTGACGTTGTATTACTGATATATTTCGCGTTTTAAACCGTTAAAAGTGTAATTTAAGCTATACTAAATTGAATTATGATGTGTGAGTAAAGTATAATCTTGTAAATACACTTTTTTTAGTTTTTTAATAAAAATTACGATGTTATAAAAAAAAACAAACACAAAAAACAAAACAAAAAGTCCCCAAATGATAGTTATGCAATGCAAATTTAAATAAAACACTTGTAACGACTTTTGGGATGCTTGGCAGCAACCGTTGTCGGGCCATCGTTAAATACAATTAAAAATATGTTAACTCATATAAGTAAAGTTTCAAACCGTTAAAAGTGTTTTAAATAAATGTATACTACTCTTTTTTTCATAGAATATAAGTGTCGTGTCGTAGTCGTATCGTGTGTGGGGCTTTTAAAAAGAAAGCATAAAATGCTATGTATGTATCTTTTATACCGAATTTTAGTATCTAGACCTGTTAGTTGTCTTTTATAATTTAATGGCCTTTATTATTTTTTTTTTAATTTCATTATCTGAGATACACTTTCTACCCGCATTTAATATGGAAAAAATATCGATTTAATAATCAAACACGTGACTACCCTCGTAGCTTAACATTGAACATCTTAAGCACGGTGAGTCCTAGATTCAAATGCCGAGGAAACAATAATTAATTTCGGTCGCACAGGGCACAGAAGCCTGAAAATAAAATCGACCGTCAAAACGGACGCAGAAATGTGCTCGTCCCATACCCCATAGGGGTTTATTAATCAGCTATTAATATCTTTTTGCGTCTTCATGTGTGCGTATAATCTTTGGCTGCTGTAGTTTTTATATAGGTATTTATTTGTATGAAAATGCGTTAATTTTGAGAATTGTCAATAAATTTATACCGAAATATAGTTTTTTGGTAATTTTCACGCTAAACTTCAATAATATATATTTTGAATACCAATAGCTCTATAAGTAACGAAACAAAGCCGTGTGTGTTCGTTACTTAATAATATGTATTCGTTACAAATCGTAATGTTACTTGTGTAATGTTTTCGCAAGGTCATTGTCATTGTGAGAAAAGAAAAAAAAATGCCTCTTGTGGCCGATTCTGTGCACATACATTGTCAATATTATTGATAATAAGTTCAAAATAAGCAAAAAAATTTTACAAATCATGAATGACCCCTCCCTTTTTTCTGCGCATGCGCAGTTGAGCTATTTTTATATTAAGGATATAATTTTAATACAACTTTGTTACGTTTGAGTAAAAAAATAATATGTTAAAACTGTAACGAAATAACAGTACGTGTATTCGGCGTTCGTCGAGTATCGGTTACCGAGTAACGAGTACATACGGTTTGATAGCAATATGTAATTTAATTTGTCAAAATTTGTCAATTATGTACTAATGTCGATAGATAGACTCGCTTTTTTAAGTGTATATTAATATCATTTTTAATGGCTATTATTTCTAAGTTTTTTTCTAAGTGATATTTGTTATTTATTGTGTGATTGATAATTTTGTAATTTGTACTCGAGTAAAAATGATGTACGTTTTATTTTGGTCTTTTATTTTCGTTAGTAGTGACAGACAGACAAAAAGAAATATTCAGTCACAATTTTTTAACAGCAAGACGCAAGATGAAATACTCCTTTCAATAAAACACTTTAACGGTTTAAAACGTGAAATATACAAGTTCAACTTATTAAAAAAATTCTCTACTGCCCGACTACTCGGAAAGTTATTTAAATTTGTACTACTCTCGTACACTACAGACAGTATTTGAAATACGCATGTCTAATAAGATCCAGATGTGTTATCGACCTATTTTGGCTATTATAAGGACTGAAAATGAAGCCTTCAATCTGTACGGAGGTAATTCCGATATTCCCACCCAGCCATTTAATATCTAGGTTTACAGAAGTCTCATGCCTTATAGTTTTAGAAACACGAAGCCATACGTTACAAACATATTTCTGTGCCCTGCCCGAGCGAAATAATTTATTGTCAACCCGTTCAAGCCCAGGAACATTATTAAAACGAGCAAAATTAACGAAATATATATATTAACCATAACATAGTATATCACATTTCACATGAAAAGTACAAAATATGGTATCTTAAGTGATGCTTCTTAGAACTCGTCATTCTCAAACGGATGGTATTGGTGTCCGAAGGACCTGAAACATTTTAATTAGAAACATATACAAATGCTGTGGCTTAACCAATTTCAATGAAATTTGTAGAGTGTAGATGTTTCCTATTTCATTAGCTCTGGACAAGTATTAAATCTAGCTTAAAAGCGAGTAAATACATTTACTTTACTACTATTGGAACAATACTAACCCGGTCATGGGCACAAAACGTCCATTGCAGTCGAAGGTGTTGATCAGCTTCAGGTCTTCATCAGACAGCTTGAAGTCGAAGACCTGGAAGTTGCTGGCGATGCGCGCTGGGTTCGCTGACTTGGGGATCACGATGTTGCCACGGTCGATCTGGTATCTGTAAGATTGGAAGGTAACCTTGTTAACCGTCTATAGGCCGCTAGAGGCAAAGTGGCCTAATAACAAAAAACCTATTATTTGTTTAAGAATGATATATACTATGAAAATATAAGTCAAGTCATAAAATTGCAGTTAGGCCATTCTGCCTCTATCAGTTTCCGTCGTGCAGGACATAGAAGTTGACAAACAGTTGACTAGAAATAAAACTAATATAGAAGATAGAATAAGAATAGAAGTGAGATCTATGTCAAAAATCCACAAGACCCGACACAAAATAATTTTGCCTCATGCCCCATAGATGCAACCGACTCGCACTTCCTCTATTGATCGTTAATTTATAAACCAACACATTAAAAACATTAAGATTTCTCTCAAATTAAAAATCACGACCCGGGCACGACTTGAACTGGCACCTCAGCGTTACGAGCTGTTTCTCTAACCAATTGAGCTAGCCTTTTTTAATGATAGAGGTAAACAGACAAGCATGAGGCATCTCGATTCGACTATTTAGACTTTGGATATTCGGAAATCCACAGACTGAAATCGAAACGCGATTAACTTGATGGCTTCTTCATCTGTGGATGGCAGTTCGTGACCCGGATGAAATTTCTATATCTCTACCACCCATTTAAAATCCACTTTTCCAGACGAAGTCACACGCACATGTTTCGGAAAAATCATAAATAGATTGGGAAAATATCGGACCGGCGGGGATCGAAGTCACGACCCGTTTATTAGCTGCACATTGAAGTTAGGGTTGAGATAACACTGCGCGTGAGTACAGTGTAATTTCAACCTTAACACTTGCACATTAAGGTTCAATGTCTTATGCCTTGCAGCTTAAGAAATCATTGCAGATGAAGTTTATTAATTTTTACATGTTATTGCACATGAGGGCACTGTGTAATTTAAAAATCGGAAATAAATTGATAAAAATTTTCGACTCGGGCAAGACTTGAACCGGCATCGTCAGCGTTCCGTGCTGTTGCTCTACCAATTGAGCTACCGAGTCCTACACGTCATCGTCGAATTTTTTCAACTTATCGAAACGCTGTGGATGCCGGTTCAAGCCCTGCGCGAAACGATTTTTTTTCCAATTTATAATCGATTTATATACAGCCACACATTTACATCTTACCTGATGAGGACCTGGGCAACGGTCTTGCCTAGTCTATCAGCAATCGCTTTGAGCTTCGGATCGTCCATCAGTTGCGGTTCATCCGGTTTGGCCCAGGGCCTGTCGGGGGATCCCAGGGGAGAGTAAGCCGTCAGCTTGATGCCGCGGGCTTCGCAGAACTCCTGGAGTTTCTTCTGGTTCAGGTACGGGTGACATTCCACCTGGAAGAAAGATAAATAAGTAAAATATTTAAACTCTCCCCGTGACCACGCCTGCATAGCATCCGAAACGTCGGGCCGCAGTTAAAAATCGTTTTCAAATAAGTGTAACTAATATATATCGCGTTCTAAACCGTTAGTGTTTTAAATACTGTCTATAGTTTACGCGAGTAGTACACATTTAAATAAAACACTAACGGTTTAAAACGCGATATATTAGTTAAACTTATTTGAAAACGATTTTTAACAAATATATCGCGTTTTAAACCGTTAAAGTGTTTTATTTAAATGTGTACCGCTCGCGTAAACTACACAGTACATAACATTCGCCCGCGAGAATCGTTATTTTGTGCATCCAAATTCGTTTCTTCAAACCCCTCCATTTTAAAAACTTAAGCTGTTAGCCACGATGTCGTACGCGTCCCGTCGTTCGGGTCGTTCATTTAAGGAGGAATCATTATTTCATACATCATTTTTGGATATCTCGAACCGGTTTGCAACGTACGCCTCGGAAGCCCGTAATGATGAATGATTTTCCCAAAGTTATTCACATTTCCCGCTGTATCTTCGCTTGTATTAGTCACAGGGCGATGTTTATGCCTATAGCCTTCCTCAATAAATGCTCGAAGCAACCCTAACCAATTCATTTAGAACCTCCTAAGAAGTTCCTAAGTTGAAGCGGTCAAACAAACAAACTCTTCAGCTTTATATATTAGTATAGATTTTAATGTTGATGGAAGGTGCACCCCAAAACATAGACCAAAAAAGACCATATCTAGCAAACCATACCTGGTTGGTGACTGGCTTGATGGTAGCCACCTTCAACAATCGCTCAACCTGCCCCGAGTTGAAATTGGAGATGCCTATACTCCGGACCAGACCAGCTCCCACGAGGGGCTCCATCGCCTTCCATGTGTAAAGGTAGTCCACGTCCGAGAACTGGATCTTGCCACTTTCATCAGCCGGGAAGAGATCGCCTCCCTCCTGAACAAACAAATTATTGAATACTATCTGTAGTTTACGCGAGAAGTACATACTTAAATAAAAGACTTTAACGGTTTAAAACGCGAAATGTATTTGTAAAAACCCGCAAAGCATCTGCCGTCACGTCGGGCGTCGGGCCGTAGATGGAATCATTTATAAATTAAGTTTGATTAATATATTTCGTGTTAAACCGTTAATCTGTTTTATTTCAACAACTTTGACTTCTTTTGAGGCCTGTCACAAAGAAAGTCCGATTTCATGACTTTTTGGTCTTCCCCCCCCCCGCCCTCTAAGACCATATCCAAGTCTAGTCTAAAAATAATGGAACAATTGGACTTACGCTATTTATGGTACCAACCCCCCTCCCCCCATAAGGTCCAAGTCTAACCCGCTACATATTTTACAAGATAACGTAATCCTTTGAGAACAGACCTAAAAACAATATGACATAATGATGAAGGCAAGAGACTCTCACTTACCTTGTAAGCTTGGGGCCAGTGAACCAAGTACAAGTCGAGATACTGCAGCTGGAGGTTCTCCAGGGTCTGGAGGAGGGCGCCCTTCACGAGTTCGGGCTGGTGGAACGTGTTCCACAGCTTGGAGGTGATGAAAAGGTCCTCACTAATATGGAAGAAGCAAATGTATAGATGGGTATTTTTTAAATACTAGAAGTAAAGGTGAAGTTACTTTAAGATTAATTAGATATAAATTAAAAAACTTACAGCACAAGCAAAAACTTACAGTTAAAGCAAGTACGCGAACACATTTAAAACACTTAACGGTATGAAACGCGAAATGTATTATTTAAACATATTTTACGTGACCACGGCTGCTGCATAGCAACCGAAACGTTGGGTCGTAGTTGAAACAAATCAAAATCAGTTTTACTGATATATTTCGCGTTTCAAACCGTTAAGTGTTTTATTTAAATATGTAAGAAGTTAAGGAAAGATTTAATTATAATTAAAAAACAACTGCACTATTAAATAAAATAAACAAACACTGAAGCCACTGTAAGGGTTATTTGATATGTATTTTTTAGCCTGTAACGCGTTACGTAACGATGCGGTGTACCCACATATAAGTTATCACTTAAAAAAGGTTACCGTTTAACAACGCCCTCCTTGATCTTAGCGGCAATCGCATCTCCGACCTCCTTTTCATTGCCGTAGACGTACGCGCAGTCGATGTGTCGATAGCCTATGTCCAAAGCGGCCTTAACGGCTAGTTCCACTTCACCTGGCTTCGACTGTAACAGATTAGTTAACAATCAGTACAGTACTTTCTAATATTAACGGTCATAGTAATCGTTTAAATAAAACACTTTGACGGTTTAAAACGCGACATAAATTAGTTAATCTTATTTGAACTACGGGCCCGACGTTTTAGATACTTTGCAGCAGCCGTAGTCACGGGGAGACTATAATAAAATAATTTCAAATAAGTTTTACCAATATGTATCGCGTTTTAAAGTGTTTTATTTAAATGTGAACCACTCGCGTTAACTACAGACAGTATTTATTTTAATCGTTTTACGACCTGTAATTGTCCCATAGCTGGACACACGCTCTCTACGATTTGAAAACTACCGCCACAATCTTTGGCGGTAGTTATTAAATTACATGTTTGTGACGATGCAAGGCTTTAAAAATCTTCGGGCCATACAATATATGTGTAGATTAAAATGTAATGAAGGTAATCTATGCATTTAGCTTATCTTTACACTTTGTGGAAGATAAATATTGAATTTAATGATCATTTATAACTTGTATTAACATAAATACTGTCTATAGTTTACGCGAGTAGTACACATTTAAATAAAACACTGTAACGGTTTAAAACGCGATATATTAGTAAAACTTATTTGAAATTATTTTATTATAGTCTCCCCGTGACCACGGCTGCTGCAAAGCATCCGAAACGTCGGGCCGAAGTTAAAAATCATTTTCAAATCAGTTTAACTAATATATCGCGTTTTAAACCGCTAAAGTGTTTTATTTAATTGTATTAACATAATCAAGAAAAAAATACAGGGACTAAGCTAATGTATTTTAAAATATGATTAAAAAATCGAAAATAAAAATTCAAAAATTTTCGATTCGGGCCGGACTCGAACCGGCATCGTCAGCTTTCCGTGCTGTTGCTTTACCAATTGAACTATCGAGTTCTATATAGTGCCTTCATGTGCAATAACATGTGAAAAAATATTAAATATTTTTATATACGTATTCTTATAGATCGTTAACTCGTTAAGATACACGAGGTCCTTCGTTTGAATCCCGAGAATTTATAGTAAACAGTTTCGTTCCATAAGAGTATATATAAAATTGTTCCCAGAGGAAAACTTGTATTTATTTATTTAATACTCACGTTTCAGACTCGAATACAATTGAAATAAAAATGTCAGCTCTGCGTGACGGACAAACAAACAAAGTTTTTTTAAGTACGGATATGACCCTATATCTCAATTTTGAAGATAACTTCAAAATACATAAAATGTATTTTATCAATAGCAAAAAACGCTTCTATAGTAAAGAATGGCGGTTGTATAAAACAAATTTATCACACAATATACGGCGTGATTAACTTAGACACGTAATTTTGCAAATACTATAATCGCTATAAAAAGCCATCAAGGTCATGGGACGTCGACACATTTCCGTGTCAATCTCTCTAATCGACGTTAACTTAAATCAAATCTTAGAATGTAAATCTCATAACATTTTCAAATAACAAAATTTACATCTAGTTGTGTTGTCTTTACGCAAGTACATATGTAAAAAAAAACACTTTATAAAACGTTAAATATATTTATTAAGTAATTTTCAATGTATTTATCAACAAGCTGTCGTTATGAACGCTGAGCAGCAGCCGTGGTCACGGGGGAGGATCTCAACTAAATACTAACTAACGACGAAAGAGATGGCACTAACGTACCAGATTTGACTTATCCTCCATCATTAGACCCATCATCAAGGATCCGAAACGTCGGATCGTAGTTAAAATAAGTTATGTAATATATTTCACGTTTTAAACCGTTAAGTGTTTAATGAAAAAAATACATTTATAAAGAGTTTTATTGGGAAGACAATCGAACATTTATTTAGATTTAACAACATATTTAGACCATTTTATTTTAAAATGTAGTGCTTAGTATAAAAGTTTGTTCACATTTCACACCACCCTGTATGGCATTATCGCGTTTATCTATTTCGCAATACAAAATAATACACAAATACTCCGATGTTGATAACTTATCATTTTCTAGACACTTATGTCCGATAGATAATTCGAGACGAGTTGATAAATTAAGTTGTCAACCACATTGACTCTCGGGCCATTAATTTATTGCGTAAGAGAATTTTCGCTAGTTATAAAAAAAAGAATGAACCGACCCCCTCCCCCCCCCGTTAAATATGTATTACGTTAGAATCTTATGAGGAAAAAATCTTAGTAACAATTTTTAGAAGTTCACTTATTTTTTTTTTAATTAGCCGTGGTCACGGGGAGACGAGTCAACTAATTTATTTCGCGTTTTAAACCGTCTAGTGTTTTTGTGTGGGTTAAACTACTGTCAATGTCTAGCATATCATTGTCTTTCGGGCTGTTCGGCCGATGTGAGCGATATGCTGAACGATGGCCGTGAAAGCCTTACACAATTTACTGTCAATGTCTATTTTATGTATTCCCAAAAATCGAACCCAGGCCTCACTTCCTAAGTTTTATCTCGATTGTCGGCACATGCAATGACAAAATTGGCTACACGTGGTTGTAGTACCAGTTTTAAAACTAGTTTTAGCTGTTTTAACGAATTCATTCTAAATATATTCTTAAAACCTACTTTTTAATACTATGCGAGTATAATTAGACTAGTAGAAACTGTAGTAGCTCCGATTGGAATTTTTTATCATATTTATTATAGGCGGCGTGTCCCTTAATTACTCTCAGAGTTTGATAGTATTAGATAACGGACATATCTAAAAGAAAGAAAGAGGGGCCGGGTGACCACATCTTCGCTCTCGCAATTACTGACAGTGTCAGATAAAATATTAAAAGTAAATCCACGTTTCACATGTTACGTTATAGTTTTTTAATAGAGTACTATTAAAAAACTATAACATAACATGTGAAAAATATTAAAGTTTACAACATTATATACTTAACAAGGAATTTTAATTTTGTAGAAATTATTTGTTAATATTATGGAATCATTTTAATTGATACTTATCTTAATAGCACAATTGAAGCTTTATCAAAATCAATACTTACAATTGAATAAGTTATGATCTAATTACTGTCTTTTTGAACATTTTAACCCCAGTTCAAACTTTTAAGTAATTTTCTTACATTACATACATAAAACTTATTAAGTTATTAATATCCAGTTAAGTAAGAGGTTTTACATCTAGGACTACACAATGTACAAGTACAATAAAACATTACAAAAATAATAAATTTAAATTATATCATAATTGTCTTTTGTAAATGCTTAGTATGTGCAATAATGTAATTAAAAGAATAGTTAGAAAACCAGATTGCATGCACAATTACAGACAATTAAATAGAAAATAAGGATAAGACTTACGTATATTATAATAGTCGAGATATTAATTCTATACAAATGTGATTGTTAAACAACAAAAGAGTCCAAGGTTCCTTGTTATTATAAAAAGCTCACAAAGCATATAAAATAATCGCAAGAATGTTTATAATTATTATACATATTAGGTATGAGACATAAATAAGGAATTACAACTCACCTGCCAAGTGCCAAGTCCTAACACAGGACATTTGTTACCGTTAAAAAACTCAACAACTGGCACCGTAGACGCCATTTTATAGTTTGATTTTCGTTAAAATAACTTCAAATAGATTAGTTTAGCTTTAGATTCGCGTGACCTTCGTGCTACAATGTGATAAATATTTAATTGAGATGTGATTTCTCTACTTTTTGCCGGCACACGGCGCGGAAAATCAAAGCAAAATTGACATATAGTCAACTGTCAAATAGAACAATGACATGGTCAAAATAGTCACAGATAAGGATAACTAGTAAGGCAATAAATAAAACGGTTTAAAACGCAAACTATTAATTTTTTTATTATAAAAGATTGTTTAATTTTTTACGTTATGAAAAGTTTTATTGTCAGCTCTTAATGTTTACTAGCCCCTTAAGATATAACCGTAATATTTAAAGGTTCTAACTAAACGAAATCATTAAATTAATTAGGAATGTAACCGATTTAGTGGTTTATTTAGCCAATTTTATAAATAAACTGATCGGGTTTATTTATTACAGTCATTACATATGTATTCTACTATACTAAATAAAGCTGAAGAGTTCGGTTGTTTGTTTTAACGCACTAATCTCATGTATTACAGGTTTAAATTAAAAATATATTTTGTTTTGATTATTGATTTATCGTGGAAGAATAAAGGCTACATAATTTTCCACGCAAAATTAAAACATTGCACTAGGGCTAAAAGGAGTGACAAAATATCGAGAAACGGGGAACAATATTTATCTTTGGGGATTGCGTGCGCTTCACTCAAAAAAGTGTATTATAAAAGAATGATTCCATTTTAAAAGATCTAAAAAAAATATTCCACGATAGCCTATCTATTAAGACTAACTTGCAAGAACGACGGGACGCCAACGAGGTCGTAGGTAAGAGCTATAATTTAAAATTATAAGATTTGCAAAAGCAAATTTTGACACCCAAATAACAATCCTACATGGACGAATTCGCCGGCATAGCTTATATATTATAATATTGTGTGTACGTAAGTTACTATGAGCAATTGAGTACTTAGTGTGTTATACTCGTACTAGCGACCTTGATTTTCTTGATAATTTATTAACATTCATATACCATTGTTTAGGCATATAGGTGTTAGTTGAATTTATTGCAGAGATTTAGTTTATTACCAATACGTTACAAGATTAACTGTATGTTTGTATGAAGATTAAAATTTATTAGTCGCTAATTAAATCCTTGTTTAACAAATATAGTTTACTATATGTCAAATCATTTTTTATAACTGCAATATGTTATTAAAATTATTTTATTTAAACGAATTATATTTTTGTTTTGTTGTGTTTACAGTATGTATTTTACATATAGTATAAAACTTAAGTACCTACTTAAGTTTTCTTGAAAGTTTTAACCAAATATATTATGTTTTTACGATAGATAACTTTTATATTTTTGTAATATAGAGGACAGACAAGCATAAACTCCACTTGATGGGAGGTGAAATATTCTAATAAGCAAGATATGCTGTGGGCCTATTTTGGCTTGTATATTCGGAAATTCACAGACTGACACCGAAACGCGATGAAACTTCGCGGCTTTTTCATTTGTGAACCGTGGTTAGTGATAACAGAATTTCTATATTCCTATTACCCATTTAATATTCAGATTTCCAGAAATCCAACAGGTTTCAGAAAAATTATTAATTGATCCAAAACGTTTGTACGTTTTGGACCCGGTGTGGAAAACACGACCCGTTGATTATCACAACCACGATCTTGTCAAAGTAATACTTGTATCGACTAACTTCCGTACCGTTTAAATATGGACGAATTGAATCTTTTTATCAAGTGCATTACAATTAATTTGTTAACAACTTACCTTCCAAGTACCCAATCCAAGCGCTGGAATAGTTTTTCCATTGTAAAACTTAACTGAAGTCGCTTTCGCCATTACGATACGTCAGGACACAACACCGGCCTGTTATAGACTAAGGTAGAATTAATGCACAAGTAATCGTTATCGACATAAAATAATAGATAGATATAACAAAAAAATTACTTGCATGTCTGTATATTGAATCACATTTGTAGAAGTGTGGGTGATATGGAAATAGTTTGACAGGCTCATTGGTGTAAAGGTAGCAATGTACGGCTAATAAGTAACGGGTCGTGGGTTTCCTCGCCGGGCCCAACAGTTTTCTTAAATATTCCAATACTCTTGAAACATGTTGGATTTCGTCTGGATATTAAATAGGTGGCACCACGAACCGCAGGTGAAAAAGCGGTGATATTTAATCGCGTTTCGATTACAGTCCGTGGATTTCCGAATTTATAAGCCATAAATGGGTCGACAGCACATCTTGTTTAGATAATATAGGCTGGGGTATTTCAGCTATCATCGAGAGAACCCCGTGCTTCTCCGTCCTACTCTAATCATTAAAAAAAGTTACAGAAGGGAAAAATATATTTATTTGTCTTTGTATGTATCGTGTTCAATTCTAATGGATGACACATAACATACCTACAATGGAAAATGATGTGCGATACAAGGAAACATGAATCTGCAGATCGTTTGTCGATGATTGTTTAAGTCACGCCAGTGTCGTCATCTAAATCGATTTTTTAAATAATGTAGTAAGCTCGTCTGGGCTTTCAATAAAAATAATATCAGGAAAATGTAGTCATGACCTTATTACCACGATTCCCCCTAATGGAAAGTGTTGATAAATGATAAGTGATATAAAGGTCGTGTCCTTCATTACCTACCCCTCACCCTGGAACCGCCGTTGACTTATTTAATACATTTTACGTGTCAAACTTGTAAATTTATTATACTAGCTGTGCCAGCGACTTCGTGCGCGAGAATCGATATTTTGGGCATTCAAAATTGCTGTTAGCCACGACGTCGATCGCGTCCATTCCCGTCGTTCTTGCAAGCTAATCTTAAAAGTTAGAGAATTAAAAGAGGAATAATTCTTTCATACACATTTTTTAGTCCTTATTTTTTAACCCATAGAGATGAAAAATTTCCCCCGTTTTGTTCAATTTTCACGCTGTATCATCGCTTCTATTGATCACAGCGCGATTTTTTTTAGCCTATAGCCTTCCTCGATAAATGTTCTAATCAACGCAAAGAATTTTTCAATTCGAACCCGTAGTTCCTGAGATTAGCGCGTTCAAACAAACAAACTCTTCAGCTTTATATTTTAGTCTAGATTGAAATATTTCTAATAAAAACATCCTCTTTAACGCATTTTACATACGTAGCAATTACAAATGTATGTATGTACTATTAAACAAGGTCTGGGGTACAAACACTAGTCTTATCGGAGACGCCGCAGGCAATCTTGCTGCCAATAAATGAACTGTTATTGACACAATCGAATCAACTTATTAGATAACAAGTGTTAAAACAAATAACTAGGCAATCTATACTTACAATATAAAGCTGAAGAGTTTGTATGTTTGTTTCAACGCGCTAATCGCAGGAACTACTGGTTCGAATTAAAAATTCTTTGCGTTGCTTAGAGCATTTGTCGAGGAAGGCTTAGGGCTATATAGCATCAAGTTGCGGCCAATAGGAGTGGATAAATAAAGGGACGTGGGGAAAAAAGGGGGGAATTGTTCCGTTTCGTGCGCTGCGAAAAATATGCATGAATTATGGATTACTCATTAAATGACATGACTCCAGAAGGCCGGGACGCGGACGACGTCGTGGGTAACAGCTAGTATTTATTATGCTGAGAAGGCTTATTATTGAATATTGCTTTGAAATTAATATTATGATGCCAAAATAACTCTTCCACGCGAAGTCTCGGGCACAGCTAGTGTCACTATAAAAACTTATTTGCTTGATGCGTCAGCCATTTTGATTGTAATCATACAGTTACATACTCAAGGCCTCATGTAGGGGGGGATTGTGGTCGTGGGTTTAAATGGTGGTGAGGTGACGGCAGAGGGCTTTATAATTGTGGGGCCCAGTTTCCTCTATTCTGAACAAAGTAACGATGAAAGAGATCTAAGGATAAAAAAAAACAAAATCAAGGAAAAAATAATTTAATTGGAATAAAAAACCTCTAATATAAATACTATGTTTAGTAACCTTACAACTAAAATTACATGCACATTAGCTGAAGCTTGCTCGATGCAAGGAATGTCTGTGCTGATTTACATCAAATTAAATTCAGTCGTTTTGCCGCAACAACGCAATAAGAAAGCTGCGATAAACGAACACAGTAGTGTTAAGAGTGCTGACTACCAAATATTCGATTCTTACTTGTAATTGTTCATTTTGTTTGAATCTTTTAAGCTAAAATCTCATATACGTACGTTCATACGACATCGGTACGACAAATATATAAGTATAATATCGTAAGCTATACATTCGTAACTGAAATAAAAAAAAATACATTGACATAATGTTTGACATATGTCAAAATTAAATCTTACGAGAAAGTGTTTGCGAGTCAAATGCCATTATTGTTTATTTTTAATATTTTGCTTTTTAGTGATTTAATCTGTTTTAGTATTATCATGTTTTCATAGTTTATTCTCTATAATTAAAATTCGCGTTTTTTACTATTTGCTATATGTCTATTTATATATACGTGTATGTTGTATTTCTGCTAAAATAATTATGTAGAATTTATATTTGCAATTGAATTCATAATGTAGTTGTTTAAATCAAAATTTAAACTGTTTCATATAATATAACATCAACATAGAAACTAGAGAGGGGTAGGCCCACCGCCGACAATAAACAAATAACGTATAGAACTATAAAATATACAAAGTTACAAGCTTCGGTTTTGCCACTGGTCTATGAATAATCGAAAATCCATTGAAGTTTCTTAAGCGAGAAATTAACTGTTTGTACGTTATTTTTTCGCTAGTTTTGCGAACACTGTCATCTGTTATATATATCATATATATGTTGTTGATTTTTTGTAGATGCAGTTATATAACAAGCAGAATACAATTATACACTACGATACTGACAGTACATTTAAATAAAACACTTAAACGGTTTAAAACGCGATATATATTAGTTAAATTTATTTGAAAACTATTTAACTGCGTCCCAACGTTGCGGATGCTCTGCAGCAGACACACGCGGAGACAAACAGTCTTCCAGTGTTTACTACTCGCGTATACTACAATCCTGTACAAAAAACTAAGTTTTTATTTGCTGTTAACATGGAGACCTTTTATTTCTTACATATATAATATACCTTAATAAATTCAAATCGTAAATTTAAATACACTACACAGCAAATTAAAACAACTGGTTAACTTCCGACATTTTACTCTTATATACATATGAGAACATGCAATACGACAAAAATGGTCGTACCGATGTCGTGTAAACGGTTCTAAGCAATACTAATCTAGAATGTTTTGCGGTGGACAGCGCGATGTCCTTCTTCGTCGTACTCTCGCTTCGATACCCACATTTTTCTGAACGTGTCGAGGGAGGCGAGAATCGAACCTCCGATCCATGTTGAGTAGAGGCGCTCTTGGGGCGCTGAGATCTATTAAAATGGTAACGGTTGTAATTGTTTTAAATTCTCACACGTAAGCAGTATATACAAGTACTTTATCTACCTAGGCAGGAGTCGAACTTGTAAATAGCTTTTGACAAGCAATGAAAGATATGAGAAAAGCCGCATTGATTATTTTTATGATAGAGACGGACAGACAGGGACAATATATATATATATATATATATATATATAAATATATATATATAAATATATATATTTAAACTAATGAACAACTTCAAATATATAGACATCCTAAAAATTAATTTACGTAAATGCACAGATTAAAATTTTTTATATAGAGTGACTTATACATAAAACGTCCACTAAAAAAATTATTGACATAAAAAAAAGAAGGGGAAAAAAAAAAAAAAAAAAAAAGGGGGGGGAAAAAAAAGAAAAAAAAAAAAAAAAAAAAAAAAAAAAAAATTTTAAACCCCGGCGGGGGGTTGGGGGGGGTTGGGAGGGGCGGGGACCACTGTCGCCGTTGTACTACTCGCGTAAACTATAGACAGTATTTAAGAGAAAGTCGTCAAAAAAGTGATTTTGAATATTGAGGTCGTTTGGTCTTAATCGCTGTGACATCAACTTCACTCTATAAGAGCTCGTTACTAGTTCTCTGTAGTTTGAAATCGGCCATATTTGTTTTGGTATTTTGCCAAGCTAGAAAAAATACACTATAAATTATTGTTCATACAAACTCACCCTTATCTTCATGTCCTTTGGTGCCAGTCTTCTGATTTCAGCCAGCAATCTGTCTCCGAAGCCTCTGAACAGAGTGGAACCACCACTGAGTACAATGTTCTGGTATAGGACCTTGCGGAGGTCCATATCGGACTTCTGAATCGCGAACATAAGTACTTCGTGAAGACCTAAAGGGGGTAGATTGAAATTTTTAATAAAATGTATTTGTGGTAGTTGCCTTCTATTATGTTTACCAAATCGACTGGATAGTTTGTTCAACATCTATAAGTGATATGCGTCAAGTAACAATTGTGATGTGAGTATGGTCGAGTGGCATTGACAGTTGACGAACTGTCATAGATGGTCTTGACAGCTTATTTTGAAATGACAGCGGGGCAGAGATTTTTGGTGAGCCGGGTAACCGAGTCTTTGGTGAAGCGATTGAACGAGTCACGATCGGTTGTCGCATTATAACTTACTACCGATGTATTATTGCGTTTCTTATATATGTTATTGTTAGTTGCCAGTGCTAAAAAAATAAATTATTAAGATAAAATACCTTCACATTCTTCACCAATAAGGTCTGGCCTGAACAACACCTCTGGTGCTCGGAACCTGGCTGGACCGATCTAAAAAACATATATTATTTTCTCTTGGGGACAACGATTGAAGATCTAGTGATCTAGTGGTCAGTCGACATGAAACTCTGACCATTTTACCCGTTTCCTTCCTCTCCCAATGTAGGGGGAATAGATCAGTGGAGTTATTTGGTTCTCCATTTTTATACACTCATAACGTTTAATTGGATTTTTGGTTTAGGCGAAATGTTGAGTAATTTTTTTCAAGAACATTTCATGTAATATTTTAGTGTTCAAGTAGTTGGTAGCTCATAAAACGTGAAGACCTAAATTTATAAAGATGAGGAGGTGTGAAAAACAAATTATGATGTCGAATAACTCACACAGACGAAGTCGCCGGGACAGCTAGTACATTATTCACGTAGCTCATAATACATTTAGTTGTAAGATATTGGATTTCCTGTACCTCTAGCTGTGTGCCATCTGGCAGACTGTATTGAGCCCTCTCCGAATCCATAGCCTCTTCTTTGAGAGGGTTCGATGAGAGGTAGCAGGCACGCTCCTTTATTGACTTCACAATCTCCAACTCTGCTGATGTACGGAGATTCACACCTTCCTTTCGAAGGAGTAACCTAAGGAATATAAAATTGAGTATAAGTTGTAGCGACTGCGAGTAGTACACATTTAAGTAAAACACTTTTAACTGTTTCCAACGCGAAATATGTAAGAGAAACTTATTTTTAATTTACTTTCACTACGCCCGTTATCCCTTCGTGACCGGAACTGGTGCAAAGCATCCGAGTGTCTGGTGGTGGTTATGTATGTCGCGTTTTAAACCGTTCAAAACTGTTTCATTTAAGTAAGCTTAATGTACATATCTTAGCCTGTTCCAGTGGCTGTTTCACCTCATGTCACAAAAAGTAGAAGTTTGTAATTGATTGAAATTCCTTAATTAGTTATTACAAATAAGTCGGTAATAAGATTATGGTAGTCAATGACTTTAATAAAAACTTACATAATTAAACAATTTACAGTAAAAATACAACAATTATTAATAAATATAATTCAGATTGGATTAAAAAAAAACTGCATATTGAATTAAAAGATTTAAATACTTATAATAAATCACTTTACACTTACCGAAGGTATCTCGTAACATCCCTTCCAGCTACATCCACCCTCATAATACTGTGTGGCATAGCGAAACCTTCATATATGGGCACGGAATGGGTTACACCATCCCCGGAGTCCAAAACTACACCCGTGGTGCGTCCTGTTGCATATCTATAAAAGAATTTACTAGTTATTGTCTGTATGGAAGTAAAGTTTTTTTTGGATGGGTGTTTTAAAAAGAGGCTTAAAATGAGCGGTAACCGATCTATATATAGTTTGTTTGTTTGAATGCGATAATTTCAGTAACACCTGGTTCGAATTGAAAGGTTGTACACTTGAAAACATTAATATTTTTCACATGTTATTGCACATGAAGGCACTATATAATTTAAAAATCGAAAATAAATAGAAAAATTTTTCGACTCGGGCAGGACTTGAACCGGCATCGTCAGCGTTCCGTGCTGTTGCTCTACCAATTGAGCTGCCGAGTCCTACACCTCATCGTCGAATTTTTTCAACTTGATACATGCACCTCTCGCGCAGTGTAATTTCAACCTTAACACATGCGTACTAAGGTTCAATGTCTTATGCTTTGCAGCTTAAGAAATCATTGAAGATGAAATTACAAAGTTATAACGTTTGAAAACATTAATAATTTTCACATGTTATTGCCTTCATGTGCAATATATTAGTTGAACTTATTCAAAAATGATTTTTAACTACACTGGCCGGACATTGCGGTTGCTTTGCAGCAGTCGTGGTCACAGGGAGACTAAAGATGGAGGATGTCTCTCAGATCTAAGTAAAAAACCACTACGCTAGCGCCATCTGTTCCGTCGATGTTGGTTTTTGGCGAAACTGGCTGGTTCCTTGCAGAATTGACTAAGATATATCGTGTTTTAAACCGTTAAAGTTTAAAACACGATATATCTTTAAATATTATAAATGACTCACAAACTAAGCACAGCCTGCATGGAAAGGAATAAAGCTGGCACGTTGAATGTCTCGAAGAATACTTCGGCCGCTTTCTCCCTGTTCCTTCGAGGATTTAACGGAGCCTCCGTTAGGAGCACGGGATGCTCCTCTGAGAATGTTGATAGTTGGTCCTAGAAATAGGTGGATATGAGAATATGAAGACAAAGGTTTCTTTTATTTTGGAATTTTTGTAAGCTATCTCGCCAGTTGAACGCCTCTGTAACCAGATAGTTAACAATGTTGCCTGGCAGTTCTTTAAGACAGGTTTGATGTCCATGAAAATAATAGAGTTTGAAAACTTTGTTATATTTCATATGTTTACATTATATAAATTAAAACTCGATTATACATTGCAAAAAAATTACGGCGCGGGGTGAGACATTTGAACACAAGAATTTATTTAATTCTCCTATATTTGACGATGATGACACGGTAGCTCAATTGGTTAGAGCAACAGCACAAAATGCTGTCAATGCCGGTTCAAGCCCATGTACCCATGTCGTAAATATTCAATCAATGAATAATTGATTTATAATTTAAATAATAGTGTTTTGATTGTAAATGTGGATGCCCCATTACACGGGGAAACGGGATTTCAAATCTCGCCTGTTTATAAGCATGGACGAGATAATAATTTCATTGATCTATTGAAGGTCTGACTTCTTAGATTTTAAGTTCTTGGACATTAAACAACTTATCAGATAAATTTAAATTTATCTGATAAGTTATAATAACATACTTTTTCATAATATCCTTACTAATATTATAAATGCGAAAGTAACTTTGTCTGTCTGTTACTCTTTCACGCGAAAACTACTGATCGGATTTGAATGAAATTTGGTACACAGATGGTCTAGAGAAAGAACATAGGCTACTTTTTTTTGCAAATAATAAATAGCCTAAATTTTAAAAAATTCTACCCCAAGGCACTATTTCACGCGAACGAAGTCGCGGGCACAGCTAGTAAGTATTATAAATTATTATTGAAACCTTTTTATTTTATATTTTACCTCTCGCGCTTAACGCAATGCTATACGTTTAACCACTTGGTTACAGAAGCGGTCTAGAACTTTTTATTGATTCCTTACCTTACTATAAATATAATTCCAAACTCTCTCCATATCATTCCAATCCGTGACAATTCCGTGTTCCATTGGATATTTAATACTCAAGAGACCACGGTGCTCCTCAGCTCGGGGACCGACAAACAGTTCTCCTTCTAATGCACCTGCCATGACCCGTATGTGCTTCGGTCGTCCAATACTAAAATATAATTTCCCATATTAAGTTTCATACATACATAGAAAAGTTTGACATGATAAGTTGACATAAATTATAAATTATCTTTCATACTTTCTTATTACAAATTCCTATATTAAATTTTAAGTCCCTGGCTGTCCCTTGAGACACCAGAAACAAAAGAACAGAGTGTTCAATAAACATTAATATTTTTGATGAAGGCATTATCATATATCATAAGATAAATAGTTATTTAAATTATATTGAATCACTAACTTGCTTGTACATATTTTACTATGAAACACATAGGGAGGAAACTAATAAAAGAAAAACTGTTTTAAGGTTAACTGTTTAAAATCTATACTACTATTATAAATATGTCTTATTTACAAAAATAAAACACTTCAACGGTTTAAAACGCGTTTAGTTACTATTAACGAAAAACCCCCCCCCCAAAAAAAAAAAAAAAAAAAAAAAAAAAAAAAAAAAACCCCACCCCCCCCCCCAAACAAAAACCAAAACCCCCAACCCCAGCCCCACCCCCCCCCCCCCCCCCCCAAAAAACAAAAAAAACCAAAAAAAAAAAAAAAAAAAAAACACCAAAAAAAAAAAAAAAAAAACCACCCCCCCCCCCCCCCAACCCAAAAAAAAAAAAACAAAAAAAAAAAAAAAAACCACCACACAAAAAAAAAAAAAAAAAAAAAAAAAAAAAAAAAAAAAAAAAAAAAAAAAAAAAAAAAAAAAAAAAAAAAAAAAAAAAAAAAAAAAAAAAAAAAAAAAAAAACAAAAAAAAAAAAAAAAAAACAAAAAAAAAAAAAAAAAAAAAAAAAAAAAAAAAAAAAAAAAAAAAAAAAAAAAAAAAAAAAAAAAAAAAAAAAAAAAAAAACCCCCCCAAAAAAAAAAAAAAAAAAAAAAAAAAAAAAAAAAAAGAGAAAAAAAAAAAAAATTTTAAAAAAAAAAAAAAAAAACCCCCCCCAAAAAAACCCCAAAAAAAAAGGGGGGGAAAAAAAAAAAAAAAAAGGGGGAAAAAAAAAAAAAAAAAAAAAAAAAAAAAAAAAAAAAAAAAAAAGGGTAAAAAAAGGGGGGAAGGTTTTTATTTAAATACTATTATAAATTCAAAAGTAGCTCTGTCAACCTGTCTGTCTGTCTGGCTTTAACTCTAAAACTACTGAACTTTTTTAAATGAAATTTGGAACACAAATATTTTAGTCTTTTTAATGACAAAAAGGGTTAATAGGGGTTAAAAATTTGTATGGAAATTTTGAAGCAAGAACAATGAGACTTTCTTCTTTTTGAGAATAGGAGTGGGAGTGAGTGTAGGAATGAGAGTCAGACTGATGTGAGGTGAAAGTGTTGCGGCAAAGTAGCACTTACATCATAGATTGGCTGCCTTAAATGCGCCCTTATATAAATTAATAAACAGCCCAAATAATTTAAAATTCTACCCCAAGTCACTATTCCAAGCGAAGGTCGCGGGCACAGCTAGTATTCTATATATAAGTGTAAATAGGTATTTAATGGGTTTAAAATAGAAAGTTTTTCAACACAGTGCAGACATATTTGTTCTTAGTAAAAGTCTTGCTTGCGAACAAAACTTTATGTATATAGCATGATCAGTAGGACCAGAGCATTATATGAGACTGTATACATATTCCAAGTGTATATGATGTTAAATGGTATAAATTGGGTAAAAATTAATGTAATGCTTACTATTATTAATACTTACTAGTTGGGAAACCTGCATTTTGGTATCTGATCACCAGCAAATCCAGCCTTTATAACGCCTGATCCCTGAAGTTAATAAAAAGATTCGTTTTATTTTATATATACCATACACCTGGTATACACTAAGACAAGATTATGACTCATATTCACAAAGAATTACAAATGAAGTTAGGTTGATAGTAAACCTATGTCTCAATATTTTAGATAAATTAGCTTATAAAGATAGAGGAGATGAGGGTTTTGTTGAAGTGTTTGACCAAAAAAATATGAATAATGTAGGTGTGACAGACGGCATATAGTTAACAATACAACATAATTACGTTATCTATAACAACTGGCTGGTTAACTATAACATCGTTAAGTTCCATGGCTGCTGATTAGAATACGTTTATAATTAAAAACAGCAGTCTTTTAGTAATTTCTTTGAAAAATTCAAACTAATTTGCACATTCGCTAGGTTTACAAAAATGATGTCACAATTCAATTGACAATTGACAGTTGTAATAAAATGATATTTCACAACTTACTTTATCTGTGGATGTATTTTGTGATTACTACATTAATACGAAAAATACTTTATAAAATAGTCTTTAATAAACTTAGAAGAAATTAGGAAGAAGAACTAAGGAGAAAACGTACATATTGGAAATGAAAGAATGACAAGAATTATTAAATAGCTTGACATTCCTTGGCAAACAATGACAAAGTTTATACTGTAGACCAAGGAGGTTATCAACAGTTTTAATATCGATTATAGGACCCAGTCTGTATTCTGTGGTTTGTTGATAAATATTTCAAATACTCAGTGCTGACTTCGTGAAAAACAGATCTGTTAATTAAAATAATGTATAGTCCATTAATAAATAAAACATGTATCTCATAACATTTCTCGTGGCGCTATTTTATGTTGCAACAAGTGTGCAAGAGGAATACTGCCAGTTGAAGACTGATTCATGTAGCCAAGATGTAACTGAAAAGTATTTATTTTACGATGTTAACCCACCTGAAGGATTTAATTTACGTCGCGACGTTTATATGCGATTTGCTATAATGCTCGCGGAAGCTCAGGGAACCGGTAAACGGCTTAACTGGAGGCTAGTTCTACCTCCATGGTACAACCTGTATCATTGGAAAGCGTCAAGTTCTAAAAGTCTTCCTATTCCGTGGAGTGCCTTCTTTGAGGTGGAGTCACTTCAGTCATACGCACCAGTCGTAGAATTATATAGTATATTTGAGAAGACTAAAGATAAGGAACTAATACTGGATAGAGTTTATGTTTTACAAAATTATGCTGATGCATTTAAAGATGGTGTTTTCACTGAGAAGTGGGAAGTGAGTGATGGCTGTAAATATACTGGATACTGGGGTTACACAAATGTAACATCTAATGAGGTAGTATGCATAAATTTTCAAGGCAAAGTCTCCAAGTTATGGGAAATAATATCGCTACATCCGCAAGACAAGAATGTCATGTTTGCTCATGGAGAGATACCTCTACATGATAGTTATGGGACTAAAAATTACTGGGACTGTAGACGAAGTATGAGATTTAATGAAAATCTCATATCAAGAGCTGAAAAGTTCATATCTAAGCATTTAGATTGTCATACAAAGCTTTGTAATAATTACATATCTATACACTGGAGGCGGCAGGATTTTGCACAATATCGCAAAAAAGACGTGCCCTCAATTAAGGGTACAGCAAGACAAATTAACAAAGCCGTAAAAAAGTTTAACTCATATATAGATAAAGTTTTTATAGCCACAGATGCAGCAATAACATCTTTACGGAATTTGGAACTAGAGTTAACACAACTTGGATACTCTGTACATTACTTTATACCAACAAAGACTGAAATTGAGAAGTACAAGGATGGTGGAATAGCTATAATCGATCAAATCATTTGTTCTCATGCAGCGTACTTTATCGGTACTCATGAGAGTACATTTACTTTTAGAATACAGGAGGAAAGGGAGATTTTGGGGCATGACAGTAGTACAACATTCAATAGACTGTGTCCAGATTCAGGTCCCTGTGAAAAGCCTTCAAAATGGACTATCGTTCATTAGGTCTGACAAGTGTAATATTTGAACTATGAACACTAAAATATAGGGTCCATAAATTCATTGTTTTTTTTCACAAAACATTAATACATATATGTGCCATAATGAAATCCAAAGTTTAGTTGATAAGAATATATTATAGTTTTAAAATACCTTTCGTTTTATTTATATTGACAGTAATACACTGATAAATAAGTCACAAACAACAAAATTATTTAACTTACTACACTAAGTCCAGGATTAATAGAAGTTTAACTTCTAATTGAGATATTTAAAAATACAATATCTTGTTAACGTGCCTAATAACATTATAATCTGTGGTTACGTCTAATCTATATCTTCGTGTATGTCAATGTCAATTACATGTTTTTAACATCTGTGGTAGGAATTCTAGCGCGGAACAGTCGTTGGGTTTATTATTGAGTTTAAATAATGTACGTACGGTAATTTTTAATCAATTTTACATACTATTTTGAATTTGCGATAGGTTAAGATACAAGAAAAATATCTACTGGCTATTCATATCTTTTAGCGCAATTGTTTTCTTGGATATGAAATGTATCGATCAGAGGTGCATCTAAATCCAAGTAAGTGCAGTTTGGTATTACATTTGTAAATATATAACATTTAAACCATTAGCCTTCCTATGTGATGAGTAGAAATTATTATCAATCTTACTAGTAGTAAACTGTTACTATTGTTAATTACAAATTTAGAACATGATGTGTAAAAAATATATTTTTTTATTATTTTCAGGTAATCTAGTCAATAACGTTGTAAGTATATAAATTTATTTAAAAGATTTGTAGTCCCCCTGCAGAAGTTAAATCTATGTGGTAATAAGATTGCTATGATTGGAACCATCAGGCATGCTAAATTATTATGATTGTCCCATTAGAAAAATTAAAACAAGTAATTATTAGTTTATTGTATTTTGTTCTTTCAGACCAATGCATCTATGGAAGTTAATGTCACCAAGGTATCCGGAATTAAAAGGCACAGAGGTGGGTCCTTACACTATATAATATTCACAGACTAGCTGATCCAGCAAAAATTGTTCTATTATTTGAAGACTAATGTTATTATGTTGATAAAACTAAAAAATAATGCATTACTTTTAACGAAATTTGATTACTAGAACAATAGTTCTTGCAAGTAAATCTTAAAATATAGACATATTATATACAGTTGTGAATAAAAAAAGGAATAATTCATCCATATGTTTTTGCTTTCGCACACTCTTGAATGTTTTTGCTAAATGTCAAATGGGGTGGACTGAGCACCGGGTTTTCTATCGGTGTACCCAGTAAGAAATAGCAATTTCCTACTAATTATAATGACAGTGAATATGTTTCTTTGAATAATAATATTTTTAGTTTCTCTGTTTGTACTGCTGATTATAAGTAATTTTTATCTTACACAGATGTCAGTGAAGGTCCACCGTTGAAAAAGGCATACAATGGTTTGGGGTTTACGATAAGTCTGCAGGTAATTTTTTTTATCTGTGTCATTTTAAGTGTCACCATCCTTTTGACATAAGAGTATATTTTTGTCCTCCTCTAGTCGAAACAAAGAGTAGACACATACTTACCACCATAACACTGATCAATTTTATTTCCGAAAATGTAGTTAAGCTTATACTACTATGAAACAAACACTGATTGTATGCAAGTAGTATCGGCAGTTGTGAAAACAACTGTTAAATTTAACAGCTTTTTAATGAACTGAATGTCAATATTCCTAGCATCCTTATAAAATCCAGATTACCAGATGATAGCCAACATGTTTCAGAAATTATATATTGATTAGAAATATAGTGGACACATTGGAGGTTTAAACCCAAGACCCTATTATATTAAGCTATATATTGCTACTTTAAAATGACGATTCCACCAATCTGTTATTTCCAGGCTTTGACCCGAGCAGCAGAATTAATAACTTCCGGATCAAAATCTCCTGTCTCGGCTCTGAACGAACTCGGTGTCAAGGTGGCTTACAACTTGCTGGACTATAGGGGCCCAGCGCACTGTCCAAGTTTCACTATTTCTGTAACAGTAAGTATAGTTCATCTTTGTCTCAATATGCTCGGACAGAAGCAATAAGAACTTGTGTGGAATTTTACTCTCCACTAAAATAACATTTTATACTTTAATAATAACCAAACATATTGCCCAGCATTGCATTAAAATTAGAATCTGTGGGTAGACAAGAAAAAATTTTGGTTGCACAATATACTTCTCCAAAAAAATAATTCTTCTTGTAAATACACTATTTCCTTCGCACAAGTCACCTTCGTCTAAAGGTTCAGCACTTTATGTGTATTGATCATCCGTACCTGTCCCCAGAAGAGAATTTGTGTAACTACACTGCTGAAAACCGTCCAGAACATCAGATCGTAAATTTATATAGGTACTAGCTATGTCAGCGACTTCGTCCCCGATGATTTTGGGCGTCAAGCCTGTTTTTGGGAAACCCCCCGTTTAACTCTATAAATTTAAACTGTCAGACACTCCATCTGCGTCCTGTCGTTCTTGCAAGTTAAATATACATTTATAGAGAAATAATCATTTTCTTTATATTTTTTTTTAAACTGGAACTGTTTTCGCAGCGTACGCAACGGAAACCCCCAGGCATAAATAATTTTCCCCGTTGTCTTTTTTTACATTTTTCGCTGTTTCTTCGCAGCTATTGGCCACAATGCGATGTTTTATACATACGGTAAATGGTCTAACCAACACAAAGGGAATTTTTCAATTCGAACCAGTAGTTTCTGAGATTAGCGCGTTCAAACAAACAAATTTTTCAGCGTAATATATTAGTATAGTATAGATATCAACTGTAAATGAAATTCTTAGATCAATGAGACAGATACAGAAGACGTGGTATTTGTTCAGTTTTACAAACTGTATATAAAATAATGATATAATAATGAGACTGACACAGGAAGGTTCCCCCCTTCTACCATAGGGGGTAATGAGATCTTCCACTATGTACTAGTTTCAGCGGTGACTATTAATTTGCGTGCCATAAAGTTATAGAGGTGTTGAACAGTACGTATTACGATTCGCAGGTAGCAAATCAAACATTCAAAGGTCACGGCACTAGCAAAAGAGATGCGCGCGCGCAGGCGGCCAGAAATTGCATCGAGTCGTTGCTGGCGACGGCTGGACAAGTTCTGCCAGATAAGAATCAGCAGGATTTCAGTAGCGATCTAGATGCGCTTGCGCCGAGTGAGTTTTTACTTGTGTTAAGGTTTAAATTGCATTGTGCAAGAGGTGCGTGTATCAATGTGGATGCCGGTTCAAGTCCTGCCCGTGTCGGAATTTATAAAATAATTTTTTTAATATACAATATTACAGTACACAGAATCAAATATCAAGTCCATTGTCTATGTCTCCTTACAATGGCATGAAAATTATATGATTTGTGAAAAATAGAATTATTTTAAAATAAAACGCTCTCAACGGTTTCAAACGTGACATGATTTTACTAATATCGCGTTTTAAACTGTCAAAAGATATTCACAAACTAAACGTGAATAAAAAAATATATATATTTATACAAACTGAACAAAAAGTGTTCTCCAAGTATATTTTATTACTGTATTTGGTAAATTGTTTTATTTTATTTTTTCGTTTCAAAGGTACGCAATTCCAAAATACGCCATCTTTTGCCAACGGGATACAAAAGGAGTTGTCCAGCGCGAAGACTACTCTAACAGAAATTAGAACATCTCCGCCATTACCCGTTGGTTAGTATTTATTTATTATATTCGACCTCTTTACAATTTTTTTTTGGCCTTCTTTTTTTCTTTAATTTGGCTTCTTTTTTTTAAATTTGATGGCTAGCCCATTCGAATGGATTCGTCCCATGTCATGTGTCTATGGGAGGAATGACAAAGCGTGGCAAAAAATAGACATAATATAACGTAGCGTTTTTTTTTTTTTGATCACTAAGAGGAATCATATTGTATATTAATTTTATACATTTTGAGTATCATGAACCGTTTTTTGTCAGCGTACGCCTCTGTAAACCCATAGTGCTGAATAATTTTCCCATTTTCTTTATTAATAATTTTTCAATTCGAATCCGTAGTTCCGGAGATTAGCGCGTTCAAACAAACAGACAAACTCTTCAGCTTTATATTTTATTAACTATTTCTGTTATTTTTATTTTTGACCTACTGGTGATTAAGGACTGTATTTTTGTTTGTCAATTTTCAGGAGGAAGGCTGTAGGTTAAAAAACATCGCGCCGTGACTAATGATATTTTTTTTAATGACAAGTTTCCGCCATTTTGTCAATTGTCACAATTTTTCGAATAAATGCCTCTGAATAGACACATCTCGCTAGTTTAAATGAAACACTTTAACAGTTTAAAACGCGATATATATTAGTGCCGTGTGTCCACGGCTGCTGCAAAGCATTCGAAAGTCGGGCCGTAGTTAAAATAATTTTCAAATAAGTTTAACTAATACATATCGTGTTTTAAACCGTTAAAGCGTTTGATTTACCAGGTTTGTATATATGACTCAGTATGTCTAAATGATTATTTTTCTTTCTCTTTCAGAAACTTTGTCTCCCTTCACGCCAACACAAGCCCTACCCACCGCCAACAAAAGCCCTATTAATGTCTTGTATGAGAGCTTCCCTGGTGTCACATTTCATACCACTTTTGGGGACGGTACACCAATAGAGACGGAAAATGGTGAGGATCTTCCAATCGTCCAAAAAATTCATTTCTCTTATATGGCATGGGACAATTTTCTGTGTCCGTTTTACTTGATCGATAACCTTTTTGGGCTAGAAGTAAAGCACACTCTGTGCCCTTAAACGAATTCGAAATCAGGACCTCCCAATCTTAACCAATACTTGGCAACGCGTTTACATGAATCAAGCAAAATCAATTAGTACTAAAGTGTATATAAATAGTAATAAATGAATTTAGAAGCCAAGTTTGGACGGGCCCTTTTGTCTTTTTAGGTTTAGTGGTAGCAATGTATGGCCAATTACCAACGGGTCATCATGAGTTCGAACCCCACCGGGTTCCTAAATAATGTATTACATTTTTAGGAACCTAATCTTTCTGAAACATGGTGGACTTCGTCTTTCCGGAATTTCCGTACGTGTCAACGACGGCAGCTGAAGACGCCCTGGGTGTTTTATTAAAACAAATAAAAATTGTTTTTCTGTGACGTCAAATGATAAAAAAAAGATAGAACTACTATCTCTTTCTGTCTTTATTCTGATTTTGAAGGAAGGTAGGGGAGCTACCTTCCTTCATGCTTTACACTTTCACTTCTTTTGCCTTCTATATAGAATACGTAAAAGTTCCCCTCCATCGCCATTATTTTCTAATTTCATCATCACTACTACTAAACACTGTCTGTAGTTTACGTGAGTAGTACACATTTAAATAAAACACTGTAACGGTTTAAAACGCGATATGTATTAGTTAAACTTATTTGAAATTATCCCAGTTACGACTGCAAAACATCCGAAATGTTGAGCCGGAGTTGAAATAAATTGTAGTAATATATGTGAAGGTATATGATTTTATATATTGCCATCATGTGAGAAATACTAAAGTTTTCAAGACATGCATCGCTTATTTTCAGCATGCCTATCGCTACATCACAGCATGCGCTTCAAGACTGTATGCACCGTTAATGATAAGTGTTTCGAAGGATATGGTAAGTGTTATAGAGTATAGTCCTATAGGGCTAACAAGCTTTTAATTCAAAAAATAATCTTTCTTTCGTACATATTTTTTCGGTATCTCGAACCGTTTTCGCAGCGCATGCGACGGTAAACCTCAGAGATTAATAAACGAACGTCTGTTCTTTATCCCGCTGTTTCTTCGCTTCCATTGGTCGCAGTGGAATGTTTTATAGCCTATAGCCTTCCTCGATAAATGATCTAACCAACACAAAAAGATTCTTTCAATTCGTACCAGTAACAGTTTTTTTAAATACTGTGTATAGTTTACGCGAGTAGTACACAAATTCAAATAAAACACTTTAACGGTTTAAAACGCGATATATTAGTTAAACTTATTGGAAAATGATTTTTAACTAATATATCGCGTTTTAAACCGTTAAAGTTTTTTATTTAATGTTCGGTCTCAATTGGTAAACCAAAATCGTTTTGGCCGTGGGTTCGAGTCCCGTTCGTGTCATATTTTTTAAAAATTATAAATCATAATATATGTAATGCATTATAGTAATAGTTAAATTTAAAATGTTCTGAAACATGTTAGACTTTGAAAATTTTTGGTGTTAGAATAATATGCCATATAAAAAAGTGTCATCTGTCAAAAATTTATCACTAATTGCAGGTTCTAGTAAAAAGCAAGCCAAGTTGGCTGCGTCAAGGTCAGCTATCGCCAGCTTGATGTGTATGGTACCAGCTTCTGACGTGGAGAACTGCGTGTCTACTTCACTACCGCAGCATTTAGCCGACCACGTGTCTAAGTAAGGCTATTATATTTTAAACAAGCTAGTTAAAGCTGAAGTCTATGAGAGATGGTCCTACAAAGCACCAAAGACGAATGATTTTCCCCCGTTTTTTTTTACTTAAAATGATAAATTTATCTTCCCCCGGAATTTATTTCCAACCTTAAAACCAACACGTCGGTTTTAGATTTAATGTTCTGACTTGGAACTTAAAGTGTTTGAAGATGATATTACAGAGTTATGCTTTGATTTATTATTTACATGTCATTTTGCACATGATAGCATTATATAAACTTTAAGTCTACTTGTCATGGTTGATATCGAGCTAAAAAAATTGACAAGTATATACCCTCCCCCTCCTCAAACCCTTCCTTAAATACCATTCTTTGTTTGTTTTTTAACTGATGGTGTGAATGCCTAATGCACGCCCACGTCGGGCAGGTGTGACGTGGGGAGTGTGGTTAATCGTATAGCCGACCAGAACCACTAAACACAGCACCAGCCCTCTACGGTGCATAGAGGGAGCCCTGGGAAATACGCGTACCCTAAAGAAAAAAAACAAACCTGGAGACCTCAATACCTATCTCAATGATTTTGTTTTTAATTTAGTGTTTTTTTTTCAGATTGGTCACTGAGAAGTTCAATGAACTGATGCGCAACGACCCGGTACACTTGAAGCGAAAAGTGCTGGCTGGAATCGTAATGACGGTGGACAATCAAACAGAAAAGTCAAAGGTAATCCCCCCCTTTTTATCTGCATTATAATTAAACGATTCGATTCTGTTATATTTGTAAAATATAACTTATTCAATACCGCGTTAACTACATATACTAGTGAAGTCGACCGGATTGGCTTGGCTAAGCAAATAATTAACCTTTCTGGTGGTTGCAAACAACAAAATGTAACAAGTCTTAAAAAAATATACATCGCCAGGGTGTGCATATCTTCAATATCGTTAAATGTACGAAAGTATGATTGAATTAATACTATATAAAATGTGATTTTCTTCCTCTCTCTCTCTCCCAATCTTTTCCTCTCCGCTATCTCTACTTCTTACCCCCTCTCCCCCTCTCTTTCCTTTCTCCTGAACTGTCGTCCCTGGCCTCACAGGGGTTAATGTCACGCATATAAACTGATAAAATATATGGATATATTGAAATGAAGCACTAGACGGTTTAAAACGAGAAATATTTACTTATTTTCTACTATGCTCTCGCTGTCCGAAAACCATAGAAGGTTTTGATTTTGACATTAGTTACAACCATCTATCTTCATTCCCCTCATGACCACGGCACAAATCAACTGAAAAGTCAGGCCGTAGTTTAAAATAAATTGTATATATAATGTAAGTGAAGTAATACACTTCGCGTTTTAAACCGTTAAAAGTGTTTTATTTACTACGTTAATTTCGAACATTGATGATTCACAAACATCTTGATCAGGAATCTGTGCCCCGCCCGACTAAAACGTTTTTTGTTTGCTCGGCAGGGGAGGGGATGAGAAAAAGACTACTCGCGCAAACCACAGACATTACTTATATGTATATATCTATATTTCAGATCATAGCCGTGTCCACGGGTACGAAGTGCGTGTCCGGTGAATACATGTCGGTGACTGGGCGAGCTGTCAACGACTGTCATGCTGAGGTGATGACTTTGACGTTTATTTGACAGACAAGCATGGGGTTCGCTTGATGGAAGGTGAATTACCCTAGCCATATAACATCTAAGCAAGATGCGCTGTCGGCCTATTTTGGCTTTGATATTTGGAAATCCACAGACGATTTAAAAATCCGGCAGGACTTGAACCGGCATCGTCAGCATTCCGTGCTGTTGCTCTACCATAGCCATAGGTAACTTGTTACCATCAGACCACTGAGCCTATCTAAATATGATTTGAAATATTTCAAGCAGTCCAAATAACTTCCTTGCCAACTTCCCTCCTTTGAAGAGATCCCTCTCTATAGAGATGGCATAACAATTTATTTATTAGTTCTTTAAAAAAATATTTAAAGTAGTACACATTTAAATAAAACACGGTAACTGTTTAAAACGCGAAATGTATTAATTAAAAGCTGCAAAGCATCCGAAACGTCGGGCCGTAGTTAAAATATTTTTTAAATAAATTTAACTGATATGTTTTGCGCTTTAAACCGTTGAAGTGTTTTATTTGAGTAAATAAATAACTTGTAGACTGTTTGGTGATTTTAATGTCATCTTCGTCCGCCAGGTGGTGGCGCGGCGCTGTTTGCAGCGGTACTTATATCATCAGTTATTGATGTACGCACAATCTGAGAGTGAGTAACAAACGAATCATTAGCCTTTTTAAAAACGCTTTTACACTGATGGCATAAGTATAAATTAAAAATCTATATAGATTTTTTTGGCGCGACTATGTGGATGTCAGTTCTAGACCCGCTCGTGGCTTTATTTATTATTTCAATATAGATAGATTTAACCTTTTTTAAAATGGTTCTAAAGTCAAATCAAATTTCATAGTAAAACGGGATATTTAATGACTAAGAAGTTAGTATAGGACTTTCCAACCGGATTACGAACCGGCTAAGTTTTTGGTTTCCATCTGTATATTTGTTGAATGTCCAAATAGAGAGTAATGTAAAAATTTTGACAGTAAAATAAATATTGTACACAACACATTTAACAATTTAAAACGCGAAATATATTAGTTTCTTGTATCGTTTACTTAGATATGACTTACCAGCAGCCTAGCCCACAGCCGTGGTCAGGAGTGTGCCTAAAATTAAATGAAAAGATTAATTAATCAAAATTTAAAAACATTAAGTTTTTAACCTTATAAACGGAATAGCTTAAATCCTAAATAGGGTTTTAAGCTAACACGTTTACAAAACTACCTTTAAATGTAGTGATTTAATTTTTCTTTTCAATTTCTTAACAGATCCACGTAAGCCGATAGAAGATTCAGATCTAACTCCATTACCTGAAGGCGGTTACAAGCTGAAGGAGAATAGACAAATCCACTTGTATATAAGCACGGCACCCTGCGGAGACGGACGCATTTTTAGTCCGCACGAGACGAAGGCGGAGCCGGACAGACATCCAAACAGGTGAACACTGTTCAAGATTATTTTTGACACGCGCAGGAGGTCGGAGGCAAATAATGATTTCAAATCTACTGAGATGAAAAATTTATTATTAAATACTTTTAAATTAAGGAATAAAATGTTTATATCGAAGTTTTTCATGTGCACTGCTCACTAACCACAGTGCATGACGTCATTCGTGGGCAATCATTAAGCACACCTCACGAACTGCAGTGTAGTCACACTGCAGTGTGACGAGTGACGTCATGTATAGTCATACATGACGTCACTCGTCACACCTAAATCCCGTTTTAAACAAACAATACTAAAACACAGTTTTAAGTACTACGAGATCTGTAAAACAAATAAAATTTTATATTTATCGAAATCAGTATCAATGAAGAAAAATTGAAACTTTTTTTTTTAATTAGGCTGATCTCCTACTGCTACTGAGCTACGGAGCTACCGAGTGTCTAAAATTATCTCAATTACTTTATGTTAATAATGCCTTATTTTTATAAAGATTCAATGCGCTGGTAAAATTGAATTGCTTTGAAATTTAACAATTTTTCACTGATATTTAGTGCGCATAGCTTAAAAACATTTAAAGTTTATTTTAAATAAAAAAATATATATATTATAAGCAGAATTACAGCATTAGTAACATTACAGTAATAGTATGTAGCTAAAATCAAATATGTTTAAATACTGTCTATAGTTTACGCGAGTAGTACACATTTAAATAAAACACTTCAACGGTTTAAAACGCGATATATTAGTTAAACTTATTTGAAAATTATTTTTATCTTCGGCCCGACGTTTCGGATGCTTTGCAGCAGCCAAAATCATCTTCAAATAAGTTTAACTTATATATCGCGTTTTAAACCGTTTAAGTGTTTTATTTAAATCAAATATGTCTCTTAAATCGGAAAATTCATTTAGGGATTAAACTGCTCAGCCAACGCATTTTAGTAAAAAAATTCTAAACACGTTGTGCAGGTGGATTTTGTTGTTTTGGTATTCTCGTCTAACGTCAAACGCGTTGGCGTCAAGTTTACGTAACGCCATCGTGTATTTGACAATTCGCTGGCGTATCGTATTGGATTGAACGCAGTGGTCAAATTAAGAGAATACCATCGGCGCTGAATCGAAACCTAATCGCAGCGTGACTGCAACTCGATCGAAACGTCATCAAATAAGTAGAATCGGCCTGCTGATCGTTCCTAACCAAACTTTTAAAAAGTGTCAAAAGTGTTTTATATAATGTGTTAGTACTGTCATTTAACTTATAGATTCTCCCGAGGTCAACTCCGGAGCAAGATAGAGTCTGGCGAAGGCACGATACCTGTGAAGAGGTCCGCGTTCATACAAACATGGGACGGTGTGTTACAGGTAAAATATTTGGCTTACAATTGTTTTCAATTAAAAAAAAATCTATGTATTTTGATTGAAAAACAACGCGGCCGTGACTTGAGCTATTCGTCCTGCTGATCCAACTATACTCTCATATATAGCTCATTTGTTTAGAGCAATTTTAACACGGTAGCTCAATTGTTAAGACTAACTTAAACCTGGTAGCTCATTCGGTCAGAACATTTTTCTTACTTTAGCTCAATTACTTAAAGAATTTTTCATATATATGATTTAGTTAGAGCAGCAGCGCGGAACACTGGATACTGGTTCGAATCCCGCCCGCATCGTAATTTTATAATCTAAATAAATATTTATTTAATATAATGCCATCATGTGCAATAATATCTAAATAATAATAATTGTTTATTGTTATAGGGCGAACGCCTATTGACGATGTCGTGTTCGGACAAGTTGGCTCGCTGGTGTGTCACCGGGGTGCAAGGTGCTCTGCTCTCGCGCATACTAAAGCCGGTCTACCTAACTTCGGTCGTCCTTGGCTCGTTGCTACACCCGGGACATATGTATAGGTGAGTGTATGAGTGTGAGAAGAGAATGAGAAGCCCAATGACTCAGTGGTTAAACGCATTACCTAGGAATCCTTGAGTGCGATATTCGTAGGTTCGAATCTAGGGAAATTTAACTCGGATTGGATATGGAAACTGGATTTGTGGTCTGATTAACAGACTGTTATCATTATTAATAGTTTCGGTCGGGTAGGGCACAGATGTTGAAGTACTTGTCTGTCTTGTTACAAATAAAACTATTTATGTCTATTCCATGCTATTAGAGATTGTATTGATTATATTTCCTTTTTTTAAATTCTTTTTTTTGTAATCTTAAAACCGCAATAGCGTTAGACAGTTGAGGCATGATGATGTTCAAGAATGACGTTCATAAATAAAACACTTTCAACGGTTTAAAATATGAATTATATTAGTTACCTTATTTTTAGGATTTTTTTGGATGCTTTGCAGCAGCCGTGGTCAGGGGGGTCATATTAGATATATTGTTCATAAAAAATTGATGACAGGAGCGGGACTAGAACCCACGTACAGCCACTTGTGCAGGTCTGAGAACTGAGCTACCTTATCGAATTTGGACAATTTACATGTGCACCTCTCACTTGGTCAGAGCTGATCGTAGGTTTGAGTCCCGCTCGTGTCAATGCTTTTTCAAACTATAACAGATTTGAAGTTTTAAGCTATCTACTAAAACATATTAAAATTTATACAGGGTGCTCCCACACTTTAAAATTAAATTTGCCTGGCTTTTGCTATATATTCATTCTAATACAAGTACTTCCAAAAACCTCCCATTGGCACGAGGCGAACATATTTCTATGTCCGTTTCGCTGATCGGTTTTATTTACAGGCAAGTAGTTGATCAGATTTCTGCGCCCTGCCAGACCGAAACAGTACATCGTTTCCCGGGTTTCAAAGCCAGGATCTCTCGCGCTTTATACACTTACCATTTCGCCACAGAGGCGGCCAAAAACGAAATCTATCAATTTTAAAGATGTTTTTTATGTGAATTTTTTTTTGTCGAAGATGACATTACACTTCTAGTGTTATAATTAGATGTTTAGCTAATTCGATAAATAATTACGAATGAACTGCTACGCCGATTTGAGTGAAATTTTGCAAAGATGCTCAAGATGTTTTATTTCAAAAAAATATTATAAGTCTGACACGCCTTGTATATTTACATAATATCTACTTATATATTATAATTAGTTGCTAAAAATAATTGTTTATTATTAACTATTCTATAGAGAACGGCGGGTTCCGACGCGTTATGAGGAAGTACGAACCTCGGGCTCTGAAAAAAATATGTGCTTTCAGTTATTCTTATGCTGAAAAATTATGGTCTTTATTATAATAAGAAAAAAAACAATAATAATTTCATAGATAGAGGTATAAGTAGCGCCACGGATCTTTAGCGCTGATCGAATCCTGCGCAGAAGTAAAAAATAAGGTATCAAGGGGACGCGGGCGCGGGGCGAGTGAACGTCGATTGGTTCCCCAGTCGTGTTGTCTCTCAGAGGGTTACATTATGAACTTTTTTTAAGTACCTCACTTTAATAAAAGGAATTTGACATGGAAATTGAAATGAAAACACGTCGATAAGTATACATTTTTCAAACCACAAAGGTGTATAAAAAAACCAAAATACTCTATGAACTCATCCACCACACCACTTACATTGTTCACTGGTCTCTGTAAATCTATCACCGTTCCACCCCAACAGTTTGCGAAGGTTTCCACCGATCTCCAAGTTGAACCTCCTCGGTTGCACGTCAGATCCGAAGTAATTACTATTCTCCCGGAAGACGTTGAGGAATTCCCGATTCCCAGCTTTGATTGACGTGCTTATTTCTCGCGTGGTGGATTGTGTTGGTTGTCGTTTGAGAAATGGGAACCCAATATTATTATTAGATTGTTTGAAGAGGGTAGAACGCTTGTTTCGCGAAATTACGTTAGAATCATTTGCAATGGAGCTTTGTTTCAGTGTTGCCCGTTGTTGTGTGACTGTTACTTTCGTAATTTTGTTTGGCATTGCTATTGTGTTTTGTCTTGAATCCTTTAAGTCTCTCACATTTATTGCTCTGGTATTTTCATTTACTGTCTCTTTTTTGTTTTCGTCTTTAAATGTATTGAACCTCTTTGAATTTTTCATTGGTGTTGCCATATTTCTATACCCCTGTGTTGAGTCAACAGTTGCCGTCCATTGTAAGGAATGTTTTATCGTATTTGTTGAATCCCTTTTTATATGGAAAAATTTCTCATCTGGAAAATTGGAAAGCGTGCGGTTTAAATTTGTGTATTTACATTTGTTGTGCATATCGCTTGCTCTATTTATTGAATATGATATATAACTTAAACTATTTAAATATAATATTTTAACGGTTTAAAACAGAAAGTCTTTTAACCAATTGTGAGATGGGCTAGCAAGAATCCGTCTTGTAGTTGTCTATAATCCAACTTTTAAATAGAATAAACAACTATACAATGTGCGAACTGTGAAACAAAGCAATAAAACAAATTTGCCCACGCCAAACATGGTTGTGCAAGCCACCTAAAACTGCCAATTCCACAAATAAGCCTCAAAAACTGCTCATGCCACAACTACTTATGCCACCAAAACTGCTTTTGTCACTAAATTGCTTTTGCCACCTGAAACTGCTCATGCCACAAAAATTGCCCGTGCCACAAAAATTGCCCGTTACAAAAAATCGCCTACGTTCTATCTGCCCCTTCGCCCATGTGCGTCTTCTTCGTGTTCGCGCAGTGTCCCCGTATGTACTCCTTCCAAGAGCTACACTCTGAAGCGATGAAACCTTCCGGTCTTAACACAGACTCGCTGAAGAATCTGAACGATTGCCAGTGGCTGCAGAAGACTGTTAGGGATATACATTTTGAATTAATAAGATCGCTGATCGTCTGTCATGTAGACTTGACTAAAGAGCACGAAGTCCAAGGTTCGATTTTTAGTACCAGGCGGGGGAAGGGGGGTTGGAGGTAGGAAGTCTTATCAACAATATTAGTGGCGGTAGTTGTTAATTTTTTTTATCTATGCCCAGCCTTGGCATTATGAGTTATTAAGTAATGTATTATAATTTTATTAGAATGATTAGGGACGTCTTTGATATTTCGTTACACAAAAACTTGTTTCCAATGCAAACACCATTAACTACCCTCGTAACCAGATGTCGTATTCGTTTACGACAGTAATTAATAAATTAACAAACAATGACATCGCTACTTACACTTATTGAACAACTCCTGCTGTGGTAGAACCACCTCCAGTTCACATCCTGGCTGCGGGCTGACCCCACCGTTGGGGAAGAAGTCCACGTGGCCACAAGGCCTGTTATAACCTGAATGACATTTAGAGTAGACTTTTAGTTTGCGTAAGTAATACACACTAGCTGAGTTAGCGACTTTGTCCGCGTAGAATAGTTATGGGGGATCCAAATTCGTTTTTGCAAACCCCTGTTTCTTTATAAACTTCAGCTGTTACCCACGACTTCGGCTGCGTCCCTTCCCGTCGTTCTTGCAAGTTAATCTTAAAAGATAGACATATACTGTCGCAGAATCTTTTTTAGGTCATTTAAAGAGGAATCATTTTTTTCTACATATTTTTTGGTTATCTTGAACCATTTTTGCAGAGTACGCAACGGAAACCCACAAGTTTCATGTTCTGACTAACACAAAAATAATCTTTCAATTCGAACCAGCAATTCCTGAGATTAGCGCGTTCAAACATACAAACAAACAAACTCTTCAGTTTTATATATTAGTATAGATAAAACAGCGCAAAATATATTCGACGAAGTTTCCCCTTATACCAATTACGACGAAACGTGGCGCCAGCGTAGGGGTTAGACTTTGGTATTAGAGACACCGTCCATCTTTAGCCCCCCTTGACCATGGCAAAAATTAAACAACTAATAAAAGGCTTTCATCGGTTACATTTAAATCCCAATTGACGGTTTAAAACGGCTAAATACAATGCTTAGGTCGGTCACTGGTACTGGTTTAAACATACGTAAACGACAGACTATCATGCTACGCCATCCATTTTCCAAAAATGTTCATCTCTATTATCTGTAGTTACGCGAATAGTACAAATTTAAATAAATTTCTAACGGTTCGAAACGTGTAATATATTAACGTATTTTACATAAAATTAGGCGTTTTAAACCGTTCAAACAGATTACAGTTCTTTTTGTCTAAAAAGCCAAGACAATGCTTTTGGTGTAAAACCAAAGTGATGGTCCTACCACTTACCAAATATACCAGCATCCGAATGTATGATATCCACGAATTCTGCGTCCGTAGGGTCCAGTCTTTGGGCTAGGGGCACGTTTTCGAAAAGGGGCAACGCCGGGTCCAAGCCGGTAATGCGAGACACACGACCTAAATATCATATGAATGTAATAAAACAATTTTAACGGTTTAAAACTCAAAATGTATTATTTTACTTATTTTTTGGAGGAAAGAGATCTAGGAAAACTAAGTTAACTAATACATTTCGCGTTTTAAATCGTTAAAAGTGTTTTATTTTAATTTATTGATGTTCGTAAGTACATATATTCGTTTGAGCATTGATGAATACAATTACATACGTAAGCCTACCAAAGCTCAGTCGCGGCCAAAGCTTGTATAGTAATGCGACTGGAACTTGGTAGGTTTTTTTTGAAAATAGCTGTGCCCGCGACTTCGTCCGCGTGGAATAGTGACTTGGGGTAGAATTTTTAATTATTTAGGCTGTTTATTAATTTATGTAAGGGCGCATTTATCGCAGCCAATCTATATTGTAACGTGCTACTTCGCCGCAACACTCACCTCACATCGCTCCTACACTCACTCCCACTCCCACCCCTATACCCAAAAAGCTAAAGAAGAAAGTTTCATTGTTCTAGCTTCAAAAACCACGAATTTCAATTCAAACTTTCACCCCCCCTTTTAACCCCTTTGTCCCAATAAAAAGTAGCATTTGTCCTTTCTCAGGGTCTAGACCATATGTGTACAAAATTTCATTCAAATCCGTTTAGTAGCTTTGGTGTGAAAGTGTAACAGACAGACAGAGTTACTTTCGCATATATAATATTAGTAAGGATAATGTTACCTGATTTTACTGTGTGCCCGACTACACCGGCGATCTGGGCTCCCAAGCTGTGGCCGACCAAGTGAAGGTTGGATAATTTTAATCCTCTGTTAGGGTAGAAAATCTAAGATTACATATACAAAGTTATCCCAGGTCTTCGAAATATATCGTAATCTTGAAGGACCCAAAACAAAAATATGGGGGAAACCCCCCACTTTTTTCTAAACATTACTTGCCCCCCTTCCCTATTTGCGCATCAGTTTAGTCTAGTGTTCTAACGGGTCTTTTAATACTTTAAGTTAAGTTAATAATCAACGGGTCATGGTTTTGATTCCCACCAGGTCGAAAATCAATTTATAAGCTTCATGACACATACTGTCTTTAGTTTACGCGAGTAGTACACATTTAAATAAAACACTAACGGTTTAAAACGCGATGTATTAGTTAAACTTATTTGAAGTTAAAATCACTTTCAAATAAGTTTAACTAATTACAGTTAACCATTAAAGTGTTTTATTTATGACACATGTTAGACTTCTGGATAACCTGGATATAAAATAAATGGGTGGTAGAAATATTGAAATTTCCACTAGGTCACACAGAATCTACCGATAAAAAAGTCGTGACTAAGATAGCTCGTTGACACACACGTCTGTGGTAGTATAAAGGCTTACCTGGTCGCGAGGTAATCTATAAACATGGCCGTGAAGCGCCCAATGTACCAGGTGTTGGAGGCAGCTGTGAAGTACCAAGGTCCAGCCTCCAGACGTTGCGCGTCCACCATTATCATGTTGACATTTCCTACTTGGACGTACGCTAAGAGAAAGAGATAGAGTTTTGAAAGGAGAAACATTTTGACATGTTTGCGACTGCGTTCTTGTGCAATGATAAATGGGAGAAGTTCTAAGTTCGAATTCCGGGAACAGTGACATAAGTTAAAAATCTATTTAGATTGAATTTACGTGGACGGGACTTGAACCGGCGTCCACAGCGTTCCGTGTTGCTGCTCTTAAAGACTTGGTTAGAGCAACAGCACCACGCTGTGAATGCCGGTTCGAATCCCGCTCGTGTTGTAAATTTTTTTTCAATCTCAAATAGATTTCTAATTTATATGACGTGCATGTAAAAAATATTAAAGTAAAATACTGTCTACTAAAAGAGACTTTAACGGTTTAAAACGCGCATTATTTAAATAAAATATTTTAGAAGTTTTAAAGTAGTTATCGGTTTTCCACACCTTCTTTGACCATAAGCGAACTGCTGTCCTCCCCAGTCTCCATGAATCCGTGGAAGAAGAATACTGTCTTGTCATTGAAGTCGATGTTGGAAGCGAAAAGGCTCTCGTCATCGTCTATCGTCAGAACTTGTCCTTCAACGGGATTGTGCCTGCAAAGGGATTGGTGGTAACATCTTTAACGGGCTGGTCGGTAATGTGGTAGTAAGGTGTGTAATAACGGGTCCTGGGTTCTGTCCCCACCGGGTCCAACATTTTTTAAACATGTTGGACTTCTGGATATCTGGATATTCAATTGGTGGTTGTAATATCGAAATTTTAAAGTCAAGGACCAACTGTCCACGGGTGATAAGGCAGTGAAGTTTAATCGCGCTTCGGGTTCAGTATGTGGATTTCTGGTTATCCAAAGCCGAAATAGGTCGACAGCACATGTTACGAATTATTTATCTAAATAAATTAAACACTTTAAACGGTTTAAAACAAGAAAAATATTGGAATATAATTTTTATGTGTTTGTGAAAGGGATTCGCAGGTTACATTGAATTGAAAAGTAAATATAACCTAACAGGCCGTTACTATGGATACTGTGAATTATTTAAAACGAAAAAAAAACTGTTTAAAACTCAAATAGTATTAGTCAACTTAGTTTTACTGTTTTACTAACGGGCGGATTCGAATGCAGTAGCCGTGGTTATGGGATCGAAGATACGATGGCTTGTAATTAAAAAAATAGTTGACTAATGTTTCCACGTTTAAAACCGTTAAAAGTGTTTTACACTCACCTGGTGTACAATCTAAACTCAATATCGTTGTTGTTAAGGACGTAGGGGCATTTGTCCTTGTTGACCGGAGCTGGTTGAAGGACTGCGGTCTCGAACTGGATATTTGGCACTCCTGATAACAGACAAGATAAGTACATTAAACAAATGTTACACGAGCGAAAATAGAATCCAAGACTCATACATCGTCTTAAGTAATATTTCTGGCGGGCTAGTTGCTGTAATTATAGCAATGTATGGCTAGTCATCAACGAGTCCGATCCCCATCGGGTCCAGAATTTTTCTAATCAATTTATACTGTCTATAGTTTACGCGAGTAGTACACATTTAAATAAAACACTTTAACGGTTTAAAACGCGATATATTACTTAAACTTATTTGAAAATGATTTTTAACTTCGGCCCGACGTTTCGGATGCTTTGCAGCAGCCGTGACCACGGCTATCGCGTTTTAAACCGTTAAAGTGTTTTATTTAATCAATTTATATTTTTTCCGCATTCGTCTGAAAATCTGTCTGTTAAATGGGTGATACGAATATGGAATATCCATCCGGGTCACTAACCACTGTTCTCAAATGAAAAAAGCGGTTTAACCGCATTTCGATTTCTGTCTGGATTTCCGATTATCCAAATCCAAAATGATGTTGTATGGCTTGGGTGTTTCACCAAAAATCAACTGAATCTCACCTTCCCTACCCTACCCTTCTCTATCATAAAAGAAAAATAATTTAAAGTATTGATGGCATCGTAATGTTTTATAGCCTGAAACCGTCCTCGGAAAAGGCAACGCAATTTTTTAAAATCTGAACTAGCGTTTCCCGAGATTAGCGCGTCCAAACAAACAAATTTTAGCTTGATAATATTAATATAGATTGCTACCATTAGACCAATTAAGTGAGGCTTGTGTTTAGCTTGACGTCATCAAAATATTTTATAGATCTAAAATTCGTTATAGAAGCGCGCGTGCGCAAGACTCAAGACTTCCGTATGAGCTGTAAATCAGACGGCGTAACACATTACAAAACAAATATGACCAATGAGTTATTACAATCGCTGAAATTATCTAACAGAACTTCTAAAATTATTTTACAATGACATAAATTAAAAACCAGAAGAGGATTCGAACACGCCATTCGTAGTATATAGGTAACAGCTAGACTTCGTCCGCGAGAGTCGACGTCGGTCGCGTCCCTTCCCGTCGTTTCTGCAAGTCGATCTTAAAAGACAGACATATAGCGTCGGGAAGAGGACTAATTCTGTGATACATTTGAAAACATTAATATTTTTCACATGTCATTGAAAAATATTAATGTTCTCAAACGTTATAACTGTGTAATTTCATCTTCCATGATTTCTTAAGCTGCAAAGCATACGACATTGAGCCTTAGTACGCAAGTGTTAAGGTTGAAGTTACACTGCGCGAGAGGTGCATGTATCAATAAGTTGAAAAAATTCGACGATGAGGTGTAGGACTCGGCAGCTCAATTGGCAGAGCAACAGCACGGAAAGCTGACGATGCCGGTTCAAGTCCTGCCCGAGTCGAAAATTTTTTCAATTTATTTTCGATTTCTGTGATACATATTTTTTGGTTTACGCTGCAAAAACCGTTCAAGATAACCGTTTGTATGCCTGAGAAACCCATAATTTGAATTTTTCCCCCTTTTTTTCACATTTCTCGGTGTATCTTCGCTTGTATTAGTACACAGGACGATGTTTTATAGGCTAGGCCTTCCTCGATAAATGTTTTAATCAAGAAATTTTTTTTTCAATTAGAGTTCGTCCTTGCTCTGAGAGCAACGATGCCGGTTCAAGTCCTGCCCAAATCGATTTTTTTTTCAATTTATATTCGATTTTTAAATAATATTTACATTGCTACCATAATAAGACCGATTAAGTGAGGGTAGTATTTTGGCTGCTTCGCTTACGTCATGAAAATATTGTATTGATCTAAATTCTGTTATAGTAGCGCGCGTGCGCAAGACAAACAAACTCTTCAGCTATATATATTTGTATAGATTATACTTAAAAGCCCGTAAAATTAAATAGCTGGGAGTATTCCATCTTCCAAAAATCGTCATATCAATAAAGTCATAACACCGTAACCTACTTTTGAGTATGTACGAATAATGAAGACATTTTGACATGCAAAGTAGATCGTTTTGACAATTTGCGTAAACGATATGATTAATCAGCGCAGGCGCACGGCACCGTGAACGAACGGGTTTTTTGCGCCAATCGGAACACGTTGAAGTCGATTGGTCATTAAGAAATATGATTAGCATCGGATATCTCATCATCACGGCAAAAAACATGCGCAGGCGCTGATAGTGTGGTGCAATGTCGCGTGTTTGTTATAGGAAAATCTAGGTAATATTATGAGCGGTCCGATGGAAAGGAAATTCAGTTTATCGAACTTTAACGGTTTTAAACGCGTCTAGTTTAACTTTGTTTAAAAATTATTAAGTCACATCTTAAACTGTAACCCTCTCTAATCAGATCCAAAATTAAATATAAAATTGTTTTTTCATTTTAAGTGAATTGTAAAAATTCTTACGAGTTAAACATTGTCTGTCTCTAGCTTACGCGAGTAGTACACATTTAAATAAATCACTTTAACGGTTTTAAACGCGATATAATTTAGTTAAACTTTTTTGAAAATTATTTTTATTTTTAACTGCGACCCGACGTTTCGGATGCGTTGCAGCAGCCGTGGCCACGGGGAGACTAAAGATGGAGGGTGTCTCTAATGTCAAAGCAAAAACTGCTACACAAGCGCCATCTGTTCTTTCGTAATTGCAAAGTGGCTAACGGTGTCCGTAGTTAAGAATAATTTGTAAAACATGTTTCACTAACATATTTTGCGTTTTAAACCGTTAAAATGCATTATTTAAATTTGTACTATTGGCGTACACTACAGACAGTATTTTTTCAAATGTTATCTAATTGTGTATAGTGAAAAACAATAGAGATATCGAATATCGTATGTTTTTAAAAATTCTTTAAGAATCCAGAAAGCCTTATTGAGTAAGTGGAAAAGAATCTTTACTTAAGTGAAATAGAGATGAAGAGTTTGTTTATTGATTAAAACGTGCTAATCTCAGAATTAGTTAGTAGAAGCGAAGACACGCCAACACATCGAAAACGTGAAAAAAATGGAATATTAGTAATCTAAGAGGGAGCTTATGTTGCGTTCGCTGTGAAAACGGTTCGAGAAACCAAAAATTATGTGCGAATTCAAAATAAATTCCTCGACGGTATATGTATATCTTTTAAGATTCACTCGCAAGAAACGCGTATGGTAATTTAAATAAAACACTTCAACGGTTTAAAACGCGATTTATTAGTTAAACTTATTTGAAAACGATTTTTAACTTCGGTCCGACGTTTCGGATGCTTTGCAGCAGCCGTGGTCACGGGGAGACTTAACTAAAAGGACATTAGGTTTCAGTTACATAAGGACCCAGCCAGTTTCTTAAAATACCAACTGCAATAAAACATAGCGTAGTAGTTTTGACTTTTAAATCAGTGACACCATCCTTAGTCTCCCCGTGACCACGGCTGCTGCAAAGCATCCGAAACGTCGGGCTGAAATTAAAAATCATTTTCAAATATGTTTAACTAATATATCACGTTTTAAACCGTTGAAGTGTTTTATTTAAATGTGTACTACTCGCGTGAACTATAGACGTGTATGGTAAGTCAATTTGGTCGATATCAATGCATTATACATAATAAATTCCACACGGGCGAAGTTGCGGGCACAGCTAGTTAGAGATAAAACGCGGGCGAGACCGCGGTGCGCAGCTAGTATGTTACATGTTTATTATACTACCATCATAACGATTGATTGTTATAGAAAATCGGAAGGTTATGCGGATATACGCTGTAATATGGCAAACCCGGGTTTGTTCCCTATATCACCGCTTTTGAAAGATAACTTAATTGTTAAAAGTGATACATACTGTTTTTGCGCCTCGTCTAGATATGTCAGGTAGTTTTTTTTATATTTTTTTGTGATAAGGAATCATTTGAAACAGCATTTTAGTGAAACACTTTTTAACGGGTAAAAACGCGTTTCGGATGCTTTAGAGTAGCCGTGGTCATGGGGGACTAAAGATGGTGTCACTGATTTCAAAGTTAAAAATACTATGCCATGTTTTATCGCAGTTGGTATTTGGAGAAACTGGCCAGGTCCTTATGGAAAGGAATCTTGATGTCCTTTTAGTTAAGCACCTATATAATATTTAAATAAAACACTTTAACGGTTTAAAACGCGATATATTAGTTAAACTTATTTGAAAATGATTTTTAACTCGGCCCGACGTTTCGGATGCATTGCAGCAGCCGTGACCATGGCTATCGCGTTTTAAACCGTTAAAGTGTTTTTTTAAATGTGTACTACTCGCGTAAACTATAGACAGTATTTAGCTATATAATATCTCAACAAAATTGCATTGTCGACCTATTTCATTGGCTATTGGAAATCGAAACGTTATTGAATTTTATGGCTTTATCATCTGTGGACGGTGGTTCCTATCCATATAATGCCCAGATCTCCAGACAAAGTCCAACATGTTTCAGAACAGTTATAATTGGGTAGACAGGGTATTGGTATCTGGGACAGGTTGGACCCAGGTGGCAATCGAAGCCACGACCCGTTGATTATTAGCCCACACGAATGCATATTTACATGAACTCTAAACCACATTAGCAAATCAAACCTTACCATGTCATGATAGAATTTATTATCTGTGTCCTAAATAGATATATTGTCTGTGGTTTTTCGAAATGTCAAACATTCATACTTGATCGTGCGGTCGCAATCAGCCGACACAATGGGAACGAAGCTCGCCGCGGTTCGCGTGTTAGCGCACGCGATTATGTGCTTACGAAATGCAACATTCTCGCGCCACGAATTTTCTATGCCATAAAGTGGTGCAACTTTTGCAAAACTGCATACATGCATTCCTAATATTGTGAAGAAGAGTTTGTTTGTTTGACCGCGCTCATCTCGGGAACTGCTGGTTTGAATTAAAAAAAATAATCTGTATTGGTCAGATGAATACGACGAAGTCTTTAGTCCATTTTAGCTGAAAGACTGTGGACAGTGATCCGTGACTTCGAAATTTTTCCCCTCACTTTGACTGTAGTAATACATTTGAAACAAACGTTATAACTCTGTAATTTCTAACTAACCCTGGATAGATACGACAAGTGATTAAGGTAGCAATTACACTTCGTCAAGAAGTGCATGTATCGAATAAGTTGGCCAAAAAAAAAACGACTATGAGGTGTAAGACTCGAGCTCAATTGGCAGAGCGACAGCACGTTCAAGTTCTGACGATGACCCGGTTCGTCAAGTACCTACCACGAGTCGAAAATTTGGCTAGTTTGCAATTTATTTTCGATTTTTAAATTGTAAATACATTCCTGTCTTCAGTCCCCCCGTGACCACGACTGCTGCAAAGCACACGAAACGTCGGGCCGTAGTTGTAATAAATTAGTAGTAAACTATAGTTTCTAAAATCAATCTCAAACTAGATATCGCAAATTCCGTTCGCGCCACGAAGTACCAAGAGCGAAAATAGGTCGACAATGCATCTCGTTTAGGTGTTACGCAGCTGGGCTATTCTACCAATCTTCAATTGAACCATACGCATGTCGTTTTACTGTCAAAATAACCCACTTCGCTTGTTTATATTGGGTAGGCAAGCTTTAACTTTTGACCTAAGCAGTACCTGTTCAACTAAGAGTTGGAGGGTGGACGTAATACCAAACTCCAGGCTGGTAACTGATTGGTTTGAAAACGTGAAGTTAAGATTTGGAGTCGAATATACCAACCAATAGATCAAAAAAGACATGGTACAATCTAATTTGCATTTTTAAACACCAACTCTTAAATACTTTCTGTAGTTTACGCGAGTAGTACATATTTAAATAAAACACTTTAACGGTTTAAAACACGATATACATTAGTTAAACTTATTATCGTCTCCCCGTGACCACGGCTGCTGCAAAGCATCCGAAACGTTGGGCCGTAGTTAAAAATAAAATTTCAAATAACTTTAACGAATATCGCGCGCCTATATCGCGTTTTAAACCGTTAAAGTGTTCTATTTAATTAGTAATAATTATCTTCTGTGCATTATTACTTATTATTGCGGTTTTTCGTAGAATTATTGTATAAACAATTCTCGATTAATAGAGTGGCGGCATGAAATAAAAAAACATCTCTAGTAAAAATACGAATCCAAAAAAAAAAATTAAAAAATATTTTTACAAAAAGAGGCCACAAAAAAATAAAAAAAAAAAAAAAAAAAAAAAAAATTTTCGCCTCGGGCAGGACGAACCGGCCGCAGGCGCTACGAGGTAAAATGTACCTAGGTCTTTTCGTTTTGATATCTCTCAATTAATAATTACTTATATAATTTTTAATTCTGTTTCATTAAATAATATATTAAGTTTTAAGATTTCAACGAAAATATTTGAATTATAAATCGATCGTAAATTTAAAAAAAATGTACGACTCGGGCAGGTCTAGAACCGACATCCACAGCGTTCCGTGTTGTTGCTCTAACCAATTAAGCTACCGAGATCCTTAATTTATAAATCCTCGTGAATATGTGAGATTAAGTTTATTTAGATGAATCGACGTTTTTACTTCTCCTGCTCAATAAGAATGCTAAAATTATTTTATTACAATAAAAATCTACTTTTTCTACTTATTTTCTTAGTTAATATATTACTAAAAACTCCTGAAAGCACAGATAATAATCAAACAATTTTACTTACGTATAGCCGATAAAAAGCAGGCGATAGGTAAAAGGTTCTGCATTTCGCGCCGATATAAAAACTCCTTGCGCGAAACGAATTTTAAAAACGGGAATGGCGCGCTGTCAAAATGCGCGCGCATTCGCATCCGAAGCACAATGGCGGCGGCGCATCGCTGTTCCCGCCAAACTGAGTGGGGCGGTTATGTAACAACCGATACAGTATTATTTCACCTACATAATCTGTGCTAATATAAAGCCGGAGAGTTTGTTTGTTTGTTGAATGAGTAGTTCCTGAGATTAGCGCGTTGATTCGATTGCTTTTGAATCGAATAGACCATTTATCGAGAAAGGCAAAACATCGCCCTGTGCCTCATACAAGCGAAAATACAGCCGGAAATGTGAAAAAAAAAATGGGGAAATATATATATAAAAATGGGTTTCCGAGGCGTACGCTGCAAAAATGGTTCAAGATACCCAAAAATATGTATGAAAGAATGATTCCTCATTAAATGATCTACAAAAAAATACTTAAACGAGAATTATGAGTCTAGGAAAAATACTTAAACCAGTTCTAAATTAATCTAAGCTAGTACCATAGTCAGTCCATTACAAACGTTCATCGTTTTGTAATAAGGATTTCAAATAAACCAGGGTTTAAACCAGGTCTGAGAGTTAGCCCTTGTTGTGTAATAAGAGTGTATTTACCTTTTAAGATTCCCTTGCAAAAACGACGGTAGGCGACCGACGTCGTGAGTCAATAGCTTTAATTTATCAGGAAGGTTTGCAAACTCTAATTTTGATGCCCTAAATAACTATTACACGGGGGCGAAGTCGCGGGCACAGCCAATATATGAATACAAGCACGCTTGGGTTGCGATTGGCAATATGCATCGGGTTTTTACTGCAATGCTGAGTTGTCTTCGTTTTTCGGTTCCTTGCCTAATAAATTTTTCTGAAACATGTTGGACTTCGGAAATCTGGATGTTAAATGGTGGGGTAGAGATATCGAAATTCCACAGATGAAAAGCCGTCGAGTTTAATCGCGTTTCGGTTTCAGTTGGTGAATTTCCGATTATCCAAAGCCAAAATAGGTCGACAGGGCCTTTTTGGATTTTATATGGCTGGGGTATTATCACTATCGTAAAAAAGGTGAAACCCTATTTAATTTTTTTTACATAAATTTGGTCGTTGTCGATCACCAGAGTTTATCTCTCTTTATTTTCGCTATAAAAATTATACATAAAAAAAAGCAACATTAATTTTTATTTATTTATTTACACTTTATTGCACAAAAAATAAAAAAAATATAAACTTATATACAAAAATATGGAGTGCAATGGGCGGCCTTATCGCTAACGAGCGATCTCTTCCAGACAACCCAAGATGAAAGAGGAAAAAGTTTAGGGGAAAACGAGATGTGCAAGGTGGGCGAAACGAAATTTACAATGTTATATATAACCTTAAACATATCAAAATAAAACTTACACACAATTTCAAAACTTATCTACGGAAACTAAACTAAAAGAAGGATTGCGTAACAATATTAATAGATAGTGACAATTTATTCAGATGGCTAGTTAAGTGACATAAATATTCGAAATAACTAAAAAAAAAAGCAATCCCGGTTTCTCCTGGGGCATGGGGCGAAAATAGTTCATTCGAAAAATTACGGATTGATTAGAAACACGTCAGACCCGACGCGGTCTAACCCGTTGATTATTTTAAGCCATACATCGCTAGTAATAGACAAAATTCTTGTAGTTGTATTTTGTGATCCTTTTCTCATAAAATGTCACTTCTTTCAGAGCAATCTGTGGGAGGTTTGAGAGCTACATACAAGGTCTGCCCCCGCCCTACACCCTCGTGCCGCCGATGATGGCGCTGTCTGCGAGCACTGAGACAAGGACACCTGCGCGTGCGCCGTCTTTTTCTGTCTGCTGGTGCGCCATATCACCGGTGAGTATGAAAAAATATATTAAAGCCGATTTAAATCTATACTAATATATAAAGCTGAAGAGTTTGTTTGTTTATATGTTTGAATGCGCTAATATCAGGAACTACGGGTTCGAATCGAAAAATATTTTCGTGTTGGTTAGAGCACTTATCGTGAATAAAACAAGGGAAGATACAGCGGGGAATGTGTAAAAAATTGCAAAAAATATTGATCACTATGAGTTTCGAGGAATACGGTGCAAAAACGGTTCAAGATACCCAAGAAATTTTATGAAAGAATGTAAAAATGACAAGTTATTCTTAAAAAATACTATCTTTTAAGATTAACTTGCAAGAACGACGGGAAAGGACGCGACCGACGTCGTGGGTAACAGCTTAAGATTATAAAGATAGTAGGGGTTTGCAAACGCGAATTTGGGTGCCCAAAATAACGATTCTCGCGGATGAAGTCGCTGGCAAAGCTAGTAATAAATTTATTACATCTGTACTAAAAGTACATATGTATGTAATAAAGTACTGAAATCAAACAAATCAAACTGTTTAAACGTTAAATATTTGGTTATAGTGATGCAACAATCAAATTTATAAAGATAGCCTTTCAATCACTTAAAAACATTGTAGTTCATACGCGAGTAGTACACATTTAAATAAAACTTTAACGGTTTAAAACGCGAAATATAATAGTTTAACTTTTGAAAACTTTATATTTTTTACATGTTATTGCACATAAAAAAAAAAAAAAAAAAAAAAAAAGAAAGAAGAGAAGAAAAAACTGAAGGCACTATATAATTTATTACGTTCCGTGCTGTTGCTCTACCTGATTCGGTGGCTCAATTGGTAGAGCATGACCCGAGTGCAAAGTCCTTCCCGAGTCAAAAATTTTTTTTGTATTTTTAATTTAACTTTTTTCAAATTGTTTTAACTACGGCCCAACGTTTCTGATGACCCCCCTTGACCACGGCCTGCTGCAACGCAATCTTTGAGTATGGGACGAGTCGCTATAATTTTCGGCATTACAAAAACATAGGCCGCACCTTTCAGATGCCTGAGATCTTGAACGCGGTCACTGGCAAGCTGGACACCGATCAGCCGTCGCTGTTGTGCAAACAGGCTATGTTCGCGAGGTGGATCTACCTCATGAAGAAGCTGCCTTTGTCACCGCAGGTGTGTTAAGTAAAACCTTACTATGTGGGGCATGGGGCAAGACACATTTTTGTGTCTGTTTTACTGTTGTTTATTCCTGTGCCCTGTCTGACTTTAATAAATTATTACTTATGTTGTTTCCGGGATTCGAATCTTTGACGGTCAACGGAATGGTAGTAGTCACTTAACCATTAGATTACTGAATTAGTTTTTTAATATGTGTCTGTATTATATATATTTTTAATATTTTATCTCTTTTATTATACTTGGTTACTCTCCTGTGACGTCATCAGGAGCCGATGGATAAGTTGCCCAAAGTAGATGAACCAGAAGCTTTACTCTACGCTGAAGCCAAGCAACTCTCAACAGAGTATCAGGTGAGTACAGGCCATAATTAAAAAGTATCTTTTATTTGTGAAATGTACGACATAGGCGGGAATCGAACCTTTGGCCATAATTACTCAATTTCGAGCAACTTAGTGATATAGTGTCAAGTCAATGTAAAAACGCATTTTTTAAAATTTGTATGAAATTAGCGATAAATAAGAGTGACAGTTCGTTACTGTAATGATAGCAATGTGTTGATAATAAACAACGGGTCCCGGGTTCGATCCCCACCGACGATGTTTGACACATGTTTCGTCTGGAAATCTTGATATTAATTGGGCGCCACGAACCACTGTCCACAGCTGAAAGCCGTGAAGTAAAATCGCGTTTCGGTTACAGTCTGTGGATTTCCGAATATCCATAGCCCATATAGGTCGACAGCGCATCGGGTTTACCTTCCGTCAAGTAAACATGCTTGTCTGTCTCTATAAATAATTGATGTTAAAAATCGGTTTCAAATTATAATTTGTATCCACAGGTAGCGAAACAATGCTTGATGGCGGCGTTTGAGCGAGCCCAACTCGGAAAATGGGTCAAAAAACCAATTGAGCAAGATCAATTCCTTTGCGAAATATACGACGCTAATCCAACACTACTGTTCGCTTAGGCGGGTCTTGAACCTGGTAACAGCACGCAAGAGACACGAAAAAAGAAAACCAAAAGAGTAACTAGTAATATCATTAATCAAAGTATCATTGAAGAAAGTAAAATCATTAATCAAAGTAAATCGTTTGAAAGTAACGAATGCACGATTCAAAGTAACACCGTCGTTAATACGAACGAGGTTTTTAGTGAGATTAAAGTAATCATTAACAGCGATGTAACGTCAGATGAAAATAACAATTCGGACGTCTCTCAATGTGGTAAAGGTTGTGAAACTCAATGTGATGTTGTCTGCCTATCTTGAGATGGTCTTATAGAATTAAAAGACTGTTAACAGTGTTTTTTTAATATTCAAGTTATAACATACACAACTTTAATTGCATTAAAAGTTTAAATATCACACTTTAACGGTTTAAAACACGATGTATATTAGTTAAACTTATTTGAATAGTCTCCCCGTGACCACGGCCGCTGCAAAGCGTCGGAAACGTTGGGCCGAAGTAAGCTTTTCAAGTTTAATATATATCGCGTTTTAAACCGTTAAAGTTTTATTTAAATGTGTACTACTCGCATAAACAACAGACAGTATTTAGTTTTTTATAACGAATGTCATGTAATGATAACAGTATTTTTTCATTAACATACTCCATCATTAGATAACTCTTGCGTTCTGTTACGGTTTTTGTTCCTGATCAACCTAGCCTACAGTTGGCGTTAGCGGTGGAAATAAATATATACAGAAGCGGTTATACACTGCTGTCTGTACGTGTTTATTTTTTTGTATAAATAGGGGGGATAAGGGAGATGCATGACTTTTTAAGTTAAGTAATTTATTCAATTTATTTAATAAAAAAGGTAGGAAGAAAAGGTGTACGCATATTCTCTGTTAATAACCATGTTATGTATGGAGACTTCTTTACAATTAATCTATAAATTATGATTATTTAAATTTATATAATTCATTGGTAATTTCGTTTGTATTCAAACAAAATATGCCTACAATTTATTAATATATTGCAGCGATTTTTTAACGGAAGGGATTAGCTTCGTTACGTAACGCACTGTTACTGTACCAGCTTCCCTTTTACGCACATTGCGGTGAGAATTATGTAGTTGAAGTTATTCTTAGCTAAGTTTGAGTCGATGGTAGCTTTAATTATAATTTATTATTTAAGCATGTAAAGCCAAAGTATTGTATAAAAATCTGTTTTTTTTTTAGTATTTGTTTTAAATTTGTGTTTTACTTAATTTGACTTGTGTGTTAATATGACTTCTAAGTTATATCTACAATGATTTACGATTTTTTTAACTAGTAACTTTGCAAAACCACATTAATTTTTGCCAAGTTGTTTGCTAGAGGTTTTATTTAAAGGCATTTAGGCGAAACGCACAAAACTAATTCGTGTTAAGTGTCTTAGTTTGACGGGTAATTGTTATGTAGAGGTTAAGCCGTACTCTAGAGTCGCTTAATGAATGTCAGTTAATGATTGAAGATTTATATTCAAATTATTATTTGTATCCAATATAATTGTTGACGGGCTCGTCTAATGTGTACGGCTAATCAACGGGTCGTGGGTTCGGTCCCTACCGGGGCCAACATGTTCCTAATTTTTCTGAAGCATGTCGGACTTCGTCTGGATATCTGGATATGAAATGGGTGGTAGGAATATAGATATTCCCTCCGCGTCACAAACCATCGTCCACCGATGAAGCCGTGAAGCTTAATCGCTGGATTTTTTTATTTCCGAATATCCAAAACCGAAATAGGTCGACAGCGCAACTTGTTTAGATGCTATAGGCTGTGCGCCTACCATCAAGTGAACCAAGCCATGTCTGTGTACTTCTCTATCATATAAAAAAAAAACACCCTATTTATCATTGGGCTTATATTTTTTAACATTAACAATGAGATGAAAAATTATTGTCTAGAAAATATTTTTTTAATGAAATATTAACTCTTACAAAAGTCATTAATTAACGACTCTGGGTACGGAAATAGTTTGGTCTGTGATTTTGTTTTAAGATATAATGATTAAATGATTCAACAATATATGCTGTTTTACTTTAATAATGAAAATTACATAATTTAAAAATCGAAAATAAATTGAAAAAAATTTCTACTCGGGCAGGACATGAACCGGCATTGTCAGCGTCCCGTTCTGTTGCTCGAAAAAAATTGTTTTCAATTTATTTTTGATTTTTAAATTATGTAGTGCCTTCTTAGACTTATCATTCTTAGGCCTTCTACTGTTCCCACTGTTGGGACTCGTGCCTCTTTTAAGGTCAGGCTAATGATGGCCAAGTGGTGTGGCAGATGACAAAATGGAATAAATGATTGAGAGAGAACTGGATGTTTCCAAATAATACATAATTTCGTTCTATATAAATAATACGTTAAGTTTGAGGAGTTTGGTTCAATTCCTGGCAAAAATATCTCCTTTAATATTTGATGGCTTATTGCCTTAATTCATTTTTTTTAACTAATGAAAATTGATGATACTTCATTTCTCCTTACTAAGTAGAATTTTCGTCTATTGAAAAAAAAAAATGTTTATTTTTTTTCATTTTTCTAAACTACATTTTCAGTCGACACTGTACGTCATTTAGATATTTTTTTTAAGAAGTTTCAAAGGTCCGAGTTGTTATATACTCGTCGTGAGTTCGAGTCCAGCTCGTGTCATATTTAAGCCTAACATGTATATAAAACATTGTTACAAAGAGCAAAATGATACAAAAATAAAAATGTCATTCGAATCGTTTATTAATAAAAGTAACAATTTTATAAAAAATAATTATTTCTTAGTCTATAACAATATGGCATTCAAAAGAACTTACATTACTCTTCATAAGCACTGTTTGTTGCTTTCGTTGGTCCAATACCAATAATGTAGGTTCGATTCCCACTGAGGCCAGCGTTTTGGAACATCGAAATTCCATCCGGAACCACAGTAAAAGCCATTTGAAATAGATTAGATGTAAAATGGCTGGAGAATTTCACCTTAATTTAAACATATTTTAACGGTTTTAAACGCAAAAGATTGGTAAAATAACTAAGACACGATGTTTCGGATGCTTTGCTGTTTGAACCAGCCGCGATTACGGTGAATACCGTTGATAAGTTTACTTCGCGTTTGAAACCGTTCAAACGTGTTTTATTTATTGTATACGTATCGCGTTAAATATAGACAATATTACTTCTGTCCTAAAACAACTTTTTTATATAATTTGGAACAATTTTTTTTTCTTACTTACCTAATATTAGCGATTTCGTTGATATTCGTAAAATATTTAAAGCTTCACTTAGCGATATCTTCATAGTTAGTAGAATTTAAATAACGGTTTAAAACGCGCAAAATATTAATTAACTTTTTCTAACTACCTAATTTTTACTGGGGAGTCGTCAAAAATAAGCTAATTATAGTATTTCGCCTTTTAAACCGTGAAAATAGGTTTTATTTAAGTAAATTCTAATTGCGTACTTATTGTATAATTCTCCAGAAAGCTTACTCCCTTTATATCAAATAATTAATTTTGTGTTAACTATATAATATATTCTTATTAAAAAATACTCAAAATTGTTCAAATTCAGTCAGTCAAGAACACTTCGCCTATCACAGTTGAAAATCCCATCAAATTCAATACAGCCCTATCGATCGGATTTCTCCGCGAGCGGCTCTACCGTCTCCCGATAGATGGCGTTGTTTGACAGTGGCAACATTTTCTCTCCCTCCTCCTGTGACGTCACTTGCGGTTTGCGATCTAAAAGGAATTTAATATTAGCAATCAAGTCATATTTTAGTGAGGGTAGATTTTTGTTTTTTTATCTCCCAAAACTACTAAACAGATATTGATGAAATTTTAAATGGACTTTAGCCTCCAAATCGGCTATTTTTTTTATTTAATACCAAATAACAAGTAATACTTATTTAAGGAAACAACCAAACAAAAATAATTATTGAAAAAAGGATTTTGACTCCTAGGTTATGTTCAAAAGCCTCCAAGCATCAATGACATACACGTACGTAAAAGTCTCGGGTTCAAATCCTGGAGAATAACACTTATAAATACGGCAGACTTATGCCATGTGATGTTAAATGAAACGTAGAACGGTTAAAAACGCGAAATATATTATCCTTAACTATGCCCGACAGACATTTACTAAAGAAATATTTCGCGTTTTAAACCATTAAACTCGTTTTATAAGTGTGCTACTCCCGTAACATCTTGCCTTGAAATGAAAATGCCTGAGAAACAGACTCCGAAATATATCTGTCCTGTTTAAATAAAACACTTTAACGGTTTAAAACGCGATATATTAGTCCACGTCCCCCCGTGACCACGGCTGCTGCAAAGCATCCGAAACGTCGGGCCGAAGTTAACAATAATTTCCAAATAAGTTTAACTAAGATATCGCGTTTTAAACCGTTAAAGTGTTTTATTTAAATGTGTACTACTCGCGTAAACTATAGACAGTATATTATAACTATGGACTTCGACTGGAAATCTGCATATTAGATAGGTGGTGGTGAAGTGTATCGCGTTTCGGTTTAAACTGTGTCCTGAGACAATATAAGTCGATAGCGCATCTTGTTTAGGTGTTACATGGCTTTAAAAATCGTTTGCCAGGAGTTATGTCGGCTTATCTGCGACCGGACGCGATAACCATTACGATGGTGTCGGATGACAAGAATGGCAGAGCTACGCTCTCTACGATGGGAACCATCGCCATCAAGGGGGAAAACCCCCCCCCTTAAAACCAAAACAAAAAAAAAAAGCGGAAGAGTTTATTTGTGTGAACGCGTTAATCTCAGAAACTACTTTGGAATGATTTTTTTTTGAAAAAAAACACTTTAACGGTTTCAAACGCGATATATTAGTTAATCTTATTTGAAAATGATTGTTAACTTCGAGAGTTGTGAGTCTCCCCGTGACCACGGCTGCTGCAATGCATCCCAAACGTAGGACCTACCTTAACTAATATATCGCGTTTTAAACGGTTTAAGTGTGTATTTAAATGTGTGCTACTCGCGTAAACTATGGATAGTATTAAATTCTTTTTTTGGTTAGAACTTGTGGAAAATCGTGGAAACAATGGGGAAAATTAATCATCTTTCTCGGTTTCCGATGTGTACGCTGCGAAAACGGTCCCAGATACCCAAATAATGTGTATAAAAGAATGATTCCTCTTTAAAAAAAAGTGAAAACCCCGTTCCCCTCGGGGGGCACGGGGCGAACACATTTCTGAGTCCGTTACACCGATCCGTTCTTTTAACGGGCAAGTAACTGATCAGACTTCCGTGCCCTGCCCGACCGAAACAATTTTGTTTCCCTGGAATTCGAACCAAGGACCTCTCGCATTGGGCAATGCTAGACAATAAGTTTAACCATTTGGCTACAGAGGCGTCAATGGTTCCAAAAAGCTTTTCTATCTTTTAACATTAACTTGAAGAGGAGGTTTGCCCAAACAAATTTGGACCAAAAAAAAAACCATTCTACGCGAACGAAGTCGCCGACGCAGCTAGTTATAAATCTAATTCAGTTTAAGTTATACATATATATTTTTAAAGCCATAACTCCCAAGTTAGCTGGGTTCTGAAGGCTTGTAGCTTTCCGCAGGTTGCTCACCTGTATCGTTTCTTGTCAGCCATGCGAATAGAACCGCATGCAGGCCCGACGCTAACAAAGCCACTCCCGCCAGAATACGAAAGGAGCCCCTGCCCCCAGCCCGACTATACAGCTGCCCCCCCACCAGGGATCCAAGGGCGAAGCCTAAAAAAATATGTTTTGACTAATTAATACTGTCTGTACACACAAATTTAAATAAAACATTAATTGATTAATATGCCATGGTTTAATTAAAACACTTTAACGATTTAAAACGCGATATATTTTTAGTTAGTTAAAAATAATTTTCAAATAAGTTTGAATAATATATCGCGTTTTAAACCGTTAAAGTGTTTTATTTAAATGTGTACTACTCGCGTAAACTATAGAAGTCACTATTCCACGCGGACGAAGTCGCGGGCACAGTTAGTACTTTTATATATTCTCTAACCAATTATAGTTTGAGCGGTAACCATAGCAACGCGCTTTAAAATGAGTAAGCCAATTCAGGTCAACTATTTTCGTTAAACACAAAAAGGATGTAATTAATATAACAGTTTATCCAAAAGGAAAGATAGATTCACTAAAATTACTAATCTTTGATACTACAACGAGCAAAGTAGTTTTTCTGTATGATCCAAACTAGGCTTGAAGCACGAGAGATCCTGTGTAACTAATCCAGAACCCCTCATTCAATTTGCCCCACATTCTTCGCGCCCCACGTTCCCCATGGGGCATCCAAATAAAGGAACTCATCTCAATAGTCTTTTAATTACAAGGAATACCGCCTGGGGTATGGGTTTTTATAGAATAAGAGTAATAAATATGAGATATACAGAAACGCGTTGGCGAACCCTGGTTCCAGGAAACTATAGCTTCTTAACTTGACCACGACTTGGATCCGTATCTGCCCCTGCCTCTGCCCAATAGGAGGAAATTAGGGTTGTCTAGGATATGCTCACTCTTGTCCAGCCCCAAGGGAATTAGGTTTTCCAGGATATGCTTACCTACTCCGTCGTCCATTCCAGCGACGATGCCCTGGACGGTGGCAGAATAACCTTCGGGAGCTACATGAGCCGCGTACCCAACGATTGTAGAATAGCACAGTGCGTATGTTGGACCTTGCATTATACTCTATAAACATAGACAATACAGAAGTCCTTTAAATATTGTCTGTAGTTTTACTAGCACGACAAAAAAAAACAGTTTTAACGATTTAGAACAGGAAGTTTTTAATTAAAAAATACGATTCTCACTTAAATATTTATACTTAGTTACTTTAATGAAGAATCACAGTTTATGATTCTTTTGTGCCTTACCCGACCGAAACAATTTATTTTCCCCGGGGGTTTGAACCCAGTAACTCTCGCTACAAAGGTGATCTTAATTATATATTTATATTGACGGGCTTGTTGGTATAATGGTTTCAATGAATGTCAACTTTTCGGAAACACGTTAGGCTTCATCTGGAAATCTCTCAAGGTGTAAGAGCCGTCAAGTTGGTTCCGAATATCCAATGTTGTCGACTGTTTTTCCCCGGACAACGTGGCCGGCTAGGAGACACGATTGTTGGACGTCCCAAAGTGTCGCCCGCGAGTTTTGACGAGAGGAATTTTGCCTCACTCAACGCTCTCCTCAAATTAAGACCCGAATGTGACGCACTACGCAATGTCATCAGATAAAAAATTGTCCGCCTTTGAAGTTAATCTCAATTAATCTGTAATAACCTATTTTTAATTCGTTAATGTTCAAATATCTGTGTTCCAATTAATGTAACGGTCTACTGCCGTTTTTTCTTGTTCTCTATGACCATGATCATTTTTTTCCAAACTATGTAGTACATAGTTTTCGATTTTTTTCAACCTGGATTCAAACTACTCACCTCAATAAAGACCAGATGCCACGGATGCTGTATGAGAGAGATGCAAATCATGCGCACGCCATAGCAGAACAGAGAAAAGGTCAGCGTAGTGCCGTAGCCCCATCGCTTTATTATTTTACCTGAAACGAAGACCATGTTTTACTATATTCTAGGTTGGAAATTATTGTATACTTTTAAATGAAACACTTAAACCGTTTAAAATGCGATATATTTTAGTTGATCTTGTTTGGAAATTTAATATAACACTTAAACTTTACCGATATATTTTATTAAATTGTTGGAAATTATCGAACTACCGAGATTTCGTATGCTTTGCAGCAGCCGTGGTCACGGGGAGACGTCGGGCCGTAGTTAAAAATGATTTTCAAACAAGTTTATAACTAAAATATATCGCGTTTTAAACAGTTTAAGTGTTTTATTTGAATACTTTTAACATATAATATTGACTGATTCCGTTGGTCAATCGTTAAAAAATCCAAGTTCGACTCCCAGGAAGTATTTCTATTTGGATGGGCCATGTCTGTCCGATTAGATGCTATGGGTTAAACGGACTCATAAATGTGTCCATACCATTGAGTGAACAACGGATTTCAGATTTTGTGATTATAACTATAATAATATAAATAATAAATTTTGTGTTTTTTTAATCTATATTTTTTATGATAGAGAATGAATTCCTTCTCTATCAATGGGATCCGTTGATGGTAGGTAAAACACCCCAACAATTGCGCTGTCGACCTTTTTGATCGATCATTCGGAATTCCACAGACTAAAACCAAAACGCAATTAAACTTCGTGGCTTTTTATCTGTAAACATTGGTTCGTGAAAACGAAACTGCGCAATTCCCACCTACATTTAACATCCAGATTTCCAGACGATCTTCCAACATGTTTACGAAAAAATATAATTACATTAGACACATGTCAGACTCGATTGGGATCGTACCCACCAACCCTTAATAGTCTAATGCGTGCTACCATTTAAATAAAACACTTTAACGGTTTAAAACGCGATGTGTTAAACTTATTTGAACTCTGGAGTCCCAATCGAAACAGCAGGTATCTCGCCAAACTCGCCAATTTAGACAGTCGTTAGTCTATTGCAATATGGACCCGGCAGCAGTTTCGCCAAATAACTAACTTCGAGCGGAAAGAGTGGTTGTCTCGCTAGCGTAGCGCTTTTGCGTCCTTTGACGTCAGAGCTCGACCACATGACCCACTGCAAAGCGAGTGCGTAACGTGGCGGGCCGAGGGGAAACATTATTTTCAAACAAGCCACACTAATGTATCGCGTTTAACCGTTAGAGTGTGGATCGGCCATCTACATTGCTACCATTGCTATAGTCAATTACCTGAAAAGAAGAAGAACAGCAGTTCCCCAACGAAGCTCTGTCCCGCTACAATCGTTCCTTCTATTAACTTTATACTTGACGTCGTGCCAGTCACCTCTGACAATTCTTCCAAGAACCTAGATGAATAATAAATCATCTTTATATTGCTCTGATAAAATAAAGCATGGTTTCGCAAACACAGTTAAATTACATCTATACTAATATATAAAGCTGAAGAGTTTGTTTGTTTGAACGCGCAATCTCAAGAACTAGTGGATCGAATTGATTTTTTTGTGTTGGTTAGAGCATTTATCGGGGCTATAAGGTGATTAAATCGCGCTGTGACTAATAGCAGTGAAGGAACAGCGGGAAATGTGGAGAAAACGGGAAAGATTCATCATTATGGGTTTCCAAGGCCTACGCCGCTAGAACGGTTCAAGATATCCAAAAAATATATAAGAAAGAATGATTCCTCTTCAAATGATGTAAAAAAAGGTCCGCGACGCCATATGTCTTTCTTTTAAGATTAACTTGCAAGAACGACGGGAAGGGACGCGGCCGAAGTCGTGGGGCACAGCTAGTACTTAATAAATTTTACTAATGAAGCCGTCAGATAAATGTCTGGGCCATAGAGTCAGGGCCGGATTCAGGGAAGGGCAACCGGGGCAGCCCTCCGCAAAAGAGGGGCACTAAACATGTTTTGGCGTATAAGCTGTGTTGGAGTTATGTGCCGGCCCTAAGCTGCACTCTATTAGGCGACAGCCCTAAGCTGTGCCACTACGGGGAAAGCGCTGATAGAGCGCGTATTCGATACCCGTGCGATCGGTATGCGACGCTACTGTTGCCGTACCCATTTTAGTATAAGAAATAGATTAGAATCATTGTAAGCGTCGACCTGATGCATCGTGTACAGGGAGACAAGTAGGATAGTAAATTATTAAGTAAATGAGTTTTTTTGCAACCACCGGTGGCGACTAACATGATTAGTGTTATGTACTTCCGTTGATAGTCAACTTAGTAATTAAAAATATATTTCGCGAATTAAACCGTCGAAAGGACTTATTATTCTGATGAATTGTAAAAATTTAATATTTAATTTTAATTTTTATGTCTGTATATTTTGATTCGCACATATTGCAAATCTCGTTTCTCCGTAATTTTTTTCTTCTTTCATCCTGGGTTGCCTAGAAGAGATCGCTTTTAATAAGGCCATTGCACTTCATATTTTTAGTATATAAGTCTCGTTTGCATCTTTTTCTTGTTTTTTGTGGAATAAAATGTTAATAATTAAAAATAACTCACCAAAACATATAATAAATAATGAAACTGTCAAAGAAACCAGCGACGACCGCGAATATAATAAACACAACTACCCGCGGTATTTTCAAGATGTCCCTTAGGGCTTTACCCGAGTCTGTGGGGCTCGACAGTGAGGGTAGCTGGAAAATATTTCACTTTTTACACAATCATTAAGACTTATCATTAGCAAATTATGACAATTAAATGAAACTGTTTTAACGGATTAAGACGCAGAAATAATTAAGTTTTAATGAATTTTTTATCCTTAACTTTTCCCCGTGATTTTTTAAAAAAGCTAAAAGTATTATCTAACATTGCATTTTAAGCACGAGTGGTCCCGAGTTCGAACCCCGGGGGAACGAAACTTATTTCGATCGGGCAGAACAATTAATCAACAAGTGTGATTGACATAGATTTGATCTTTGTTGTTCGTCTGTTTGTATCAACCTCTGAAAGTACTGTTTAAGTTTATATTAAAAAAATATATATGAGATTTAATCGCATTTTACCGTCAAAGCTCTACAGCTAGCTAAATCGATACAAGTAGCGACTATCGCTATAAGGAACGCCGGGGTGAAGTCCTTGTACGTCCCAGACACCATATCTATTAACCAACCACCCAAGAAGGCAGTGAGGCCGTAACCGGCTGTGCCCCAAGCGCGCTGGGCCCCATATTTTGAGCCCCGTTCGGGTCCTAGAAGAAACACAGAATAACAGAAAATGTTCATAGTGTAGTACAATATAGCTTCTGGTAAACTCGGCAAAATCTAAGCAAATTCCAACCGATTTAAATGAAATTTGTTACACAGATATATGTTAAGGATTGAAAAGGGGGATGAAAGTTTGTATGGAAATTCGTGATTTTTAAAGCTAGAATAATGAAATTTTCTTCTTTATCTTTTTGGGAATGGGAGTGGGAGTGATGTAAGGGTGGGAGTGTTGCAAAGTAGCACTTACAACACAGATTGGCTGCCTTGAATGCGCCTTTTTCGATGGCATGCATCGTAATTATTTTTTATAGAACTTGCTAATATTATAAATGCGAACGTAACTATAAAACTCATATAAGCAAATAAAAATGCATTATGCCATGGGCACAGCTAGTTTATCATAATTTGTTAAGTTGTGTAATATTAATTTTCATATAATTATTAATAAAAAAACAAATGTAGACAAATAAATACTCTTTAAAAAAATAATTAAAAAGATACTAAAGAGGAACACGACAATTCTATCTGCTTGGTTACCTCCTATCTGTTATTTTAAAACTAAGTTTCATCAAAGTAAATCCAGCGGTTTAGGCGTAAACAAACGCATGTCCGTTGTTGCAAAAAATCGCATTTATAATATAAAAAAATCATAAATACCGACTGTAGTTTATGTGAGTAGTACACATTAACAAAAAAAACACTTCGACGGTTTAAAACGCGATAATATTGGTTCAAAATATTTGGAAATAATTTTAACGGTCATGAGGAGACCAAGCCTCCTGTGAAACGTCGGGCCGTAGTCAAAATAATGTCCAAATTAGTTTAACCAATATACATCGCGTTTTAAACGGTTAAAATATTTTTTTTAAATCTTACCTAATACGTCAAAGCAAACGGCGTCGCCAATGCAATTTGCAACATTAAAAGCGACCGTCCCGACGCACATCAGCACGACGAATGCCCAAAAAGTCGCTGTCACATAAAAACTACCCTCATTCTCGTCCGCCGTTGCATCCGTTTTACTCGAAACGTTTACATTCAAATTCGCTTCATAGCACATCAAGTTACAATTTTGCTTGGGAGCACATGCTATCTCTCTCTCTCGGATATCTAGCTCCATGTGTAAGAGCGAGCAAGATACATTGCTGGCAGCGCCCTCCACATACATAGTGTTTATGTACGTCGCGTTTGACAGGTAAACGTCAAATTTATCGTCTGTGGAGCAGTTCCAGTGACAGCTGTACTTGTCGAGGAGGTCGGCGTCGTCGTAAGGTTTTATATAAATCGTTTCGTTCAAATTGTAGACGGATTCTAAGATTTTCTCTTGATCTTCGGGCACTGGTAGGAACCACAGACAACAATACGAGCCAGACATTGTCAATATTAGTAGCATGAAGACTAATTTTCTTTTGTTCTAAAAAAAATAATTGTCATAATAAACTAGTTACTTTTTTTACCAAACATTTTTAACGGTTCAAAAGACAAATCATAACTAAACTAAAACGATAGTACGGTCTGTGTTTGGAATTAGATGTCGCAAGAACGTTAAGACATCGGTCCCGGTTGTAACATTTAAGTCCACCAACCAGCACTGGAATGGCGTGGTGGGTCAAAGTCCTTAACCTCTCCTATGAGGAGGAAAACCTGTGTTCAGTTGCGGGACAGGTTGAAACAAATTCGTTTTTAACACACTCACCGGCCAAAAGTCGACGACATATCCGAACAGGGGTTTCGCAGCGGCCCATAGGAGCGGCAAAACGGCTGTAACCATTCCCATGACCGCTGCAGAGACGCCAAGCTGCCGACCGAATACATTTATCTGTGGTAGTAGAGGCCCTAGTGCTGTGAAGATAAAAAAAAATGTTAATGACTCTAGCGGGTGCAAAGCCGGTCGAAATATATTTCTATATTTTCGAATTTCATAGTAAATAACAAAGTAGAAATGTTTGTTTAAACGCGCTAATCTCAGGGACTATCCGTTCGAATTAAAAAAAAGACGATTTGTCGAGGAAGGCTATAAACATTAGGTCGAAAAAACTGGGAACTATTCTATTATCTTTGAAGGCTTTGTATGAAGGAATAATTTCTCTTTAAATAATTAAAAAAAATGTTTCCGATGGTTTATGTCTATTATTTAAGACTAGCTGCGCCCGCGACTTCGTCCGCGTGGAATAGTGACTTGGGGCAGAATTTTAACTATTTAGGCTGTTTATTAAATTATGTAAGGGCGCATTTAAGGCAAGCGGCAAAGGAGCGCTTACCAATGATTTATGGTAAGTGCTACTTTGCCGAAACTCTCTCACCTCACATACCTCCTACTCTCATGCCTACACTCTTTCCCACCCCCAATCCTATTCCCACTCCCACTTCTTTTCCAAAAAAGTCAAAGAAGAAAGTTCCATTATTTTAGCTTCAAAAACCACGAATTTCCATTCCCTTTTTCAGCCCTTATTTGGCATTAAAAAGTAGCCTATAACCTTCCTCGATAAATGCTCTAATTACCACAAAAAATATATTTCAATTCGAACTTGTACTCCTGAGATTAGCGCGTTCAAACAAACAAACAAACTCTTCAGCTTTATATCTATACTAATATATAAAGTAAAAAAATAAAAAATATATAAAAATACAGCGAGAAATGTGAATAAAACGGGGGAAATTTTTCATCTCTGTAGGCTTCAGGTGCGTACGCTGCGAAAACGTTTCAAAATACCTCCAAATTGTGTATGAAAGAATGATTCCTTTTTAAATTATCTAAAAAAAAGTCCGCGACGCTATATGTCTATCTTTTAAGATTAACTTGCAAGAACGACCCGAACGGCGGGACGCGTACGACGGCACACGAATATCGCGGGTAACAGCTATCTACACCAATACTATAAAGTCTAAAGATTTGTATTTTTGTATGTAGTATGAGTAAACTCAAAAAGTACTGCACCGACTTTCATAATTCTTTTTTCATTAGAAAGCTACATTATCACTGAGTAAAGTAGGCTATATTTAGTACTAGATTACGATAGAAATCTTTAGAATATTCTATGAAAACCAACGGGAGGTTTAAGAAAATTAGCCAAAAAATATCTTTATCGGTAGCTCAATTGGTAGAGCAACAGCACGGAACGCTGACGATGCCGGTTCAAGTCCTGCCCGAGTCGAACATTTTTTTAATTTATTTTCGATTCTTAAATTATACAGTGCCTTCATGTGTATAACACATATAACATGTAAAAAATAATAAAGTTTTCAAATCTTTACTAATATTATAAATGCGAAAGTAACTCTGTCTGTCTGTCCGGCTTTAACGACGAAACTACTGAACTGATTTTATTTATTTATTTACACAAATATATGCTGCCATTAAAGATATAATCCAATTCGACAGTAATACACAATATATAAAAAAAAATACATATGAAAACTAAGTAACTAAGTTTTAATAACTATTTAAATGATATATGGTACACAGATATTATAGAGCCTGAGAAAGGACATAGGCTACTTTTTAATGCCAAACAAGGGTTAAAATTCGTGGTTTTTGAAGGTAGAACAATGAAACTTTCTTCTTTGGCTTTTTGGGGAAAAGGAGTGGGAGTGGAAGTGAAAGTGGGAGTGGGAGTGAGAGTGAGAGTTAGTAGGAGTGATGTGAGGTGAGAGTGTTGCAGCAAAGTAGCACTTACAACATAGATTGGTTGCCTTAAATGCGCTCTTACATAAATTAATAAACAGCCTAAATAATCAAAAACTCTACCCCAAGTCACTATTCCACGCGGGCGAAGTCGCGGCCACAGCTAGTATTAGTATATAGATTAACTTGCAAGAACGACGGGACGCGGAAGATGTCGCGGGCACAGCTATGATTAAAAAAAAGGAGGAGGTTTGATTTTACGAGGACGAAGCCGCGGGCATAGCTAGTGCGATATAAAGAAGCGTTAAAATTTATTTTAAATCTGCACCAATAAGGAAAATGGTAGAGAAAACACGAAGATGTCAACGTCCTTGAAATCAATTTTCTTTCAAATACTATGTTGAAAGAAAATGTTTTTCTTTATCTTAGATGCATCCACAGATTTTAATATATATAGCACTAATGAACATATTTTTAAATGAAACTTGTAGAGAACTCCCCCCGTGACCACTGCTGCAAAGCATCTGAAGCGTCTGGTTGTAGTTGAAAATAAAAAACAAGTTAAAATAATATACATTCACGTTTTAAACCGATAAAAAGATTTTATTAAAACTTGCTGATCCGGCAAACTTTGTATTGCCATATAAATAATTTCTAAAACTTTTTTATGATAGGGCATGGACGTTAACTTGATGGTAGGAAATACTGCAAGCATATACCATGTGAGAAGATGCGCTGTCGATCTGTTTGGGCTTTGGACATTTGGAAATCAACAGACTGATACCGAAACGCGAATAAACTTCACGGCTTTTCCATCTGTAAACATTGGTTCGTGCCTCCATTTCCAGACAAAATCCAACTTGTTTCAAAAAATTATAAATCGCCAACGTTGGATTGATATATAAATAATTCGTACAGAATATTTTTGTCATGATTACGTACATTTAAATAAAACACTTTAACAGTTTAAAACGCGATATATATTATTTAAACTTATTTGAACATTATTTTTACCACGGCCCAACGTTTGGGATGCCACAAAGCGTGGACGTGGTCACCGGCTGCTGGTACTCATTTCAAACAAGTTTAACTAATGTATATCGCGTTTTAAACCGTTAAACTGTTTTATTTAAATGTGTACTTGAATTGGATAATTAGGTACAACATAGCAGTGTTTATGATAAAATTAAAGTGTTTGTCTAGACAACTTGTCACGCGGTGCATTCGTGGTTGAAACATTATCTACCAGATACAATTAAATCGTAAACGGATTGTTGTCTCTCGTAAATTAATTGACGTCTAACGACAACTTAATGCGAGGTAATTTAAAAAACAATCCCTCTTCAAATGATCTTAAAAAATGTCCACGATATGTGTCTTTGTGGTAATCGTATATCTTGTACTAGCTGCGTCAGCGACTTCGTGCGCGTAATATATGTATATAGTATACGTATAATGTAAATGTTAGCATGCAAGTTAGATTTACAAAACTTTCATCTTTATAAACGTCCCTTCCCGTTGTTCTTGCAAGTTAATCTCAAAAGATAGATATATAATTACATATGTTTTGAGTATTTTGGACCGTTTTTGCAGCGTACGCCTCGGAAACCCATAATGATGTACATTTTTTCCCAAGTTTTTTCACATTCCTCGCTCTATCTGCGCTCGCATTAGTCACAGAGCGATGTTTTATACCTTCCTCGATAAATGTTCTACCCAACACAAGTATTTTTCAATTCAAACCAGTAATTCCTGAGATTAGCGCGTTCAAACGTACAAACAAACTCTTCAGCTTTACATATTAGTATAGATGTAATAAACTTGTTCGCCTCGGAACGCCTAAAGTAAGTTTTAACTTAAAACTCGTTCACCATTGATGTCTCTATTTCATATAAATACTGTATCGTCGTAACGCGTTACGTAACGCAATGCTTCATTATTCTACAAGATACTTATTAAACTGAGGAGGTTGGTACGGGCTCGTTGGTGCATTGGTAACAATGTGTGCCTACAACGGGTTCCAAATTCCGTCCGGGTCACGAACCACCGCCCGCAGATGAAAAAGCCGTGAGGTTTAATCGCGTTTCGGTTGCAGTCTGTGGATATCGGAATATCCGAAGCCAAAATAGGGCGACAGCGACCTACCATCACGTGACACCTATTCTTACCTATCCTTCTTTAGCATTAAAAAATGTTGCCCTGAAAATGACTTTTTCACGCGAACGAAGTCGCAGGCACAGCTAGTATAATGTAAATAAAAAATGTCTGTCCGTTTATCTCATGACAACAGACGCGGTGTTTGCATTTTATATCCTATTCGATAAGATACAATAAAGTTTTATTTTGTTATCATAGTGTTGATAACAATGATGGCTAATTCCCTCATACGTATTTATCTCTTACAGTGGTTTCGCCTGCGGTTTTACCTGCATTTACAAATACAAGAATATTACGTAATGAGGCTGCTAGAGCCAGAGTGGCCTAATAACATAAAACATGATCTTCCATATGGAGGAAAATAGAAATGCGCAATCAAGTTAGGCCAAAATGAATTTGTACTATTATATGTGTCTGAATTATGTTCACAATTGTCGGTGACTGTGCTTCTTGTAGATACATTTTGAGACTATGAAAGTATCAAATAATAATGATAATTAGGTCTAGTGGTTAGAGACAATACTAACAGTCTCTAAGACCCCCGGGTTCTGACACCTAGGCGTCTCGGAAAGAACGTAAAGGTGTCCGCCTCGGTCGGACTCACTAATTTCGTTTAAGCTTTTGAAACCCGCTCATCAGTGGCGTAGATCGTAAGACCGGGTGGTGGAGTGGAAACCAATGTGTAATAGGGTAGTGACTGTCAATTTGTGGAAAATGTTAGACTTCGTCTGGATACGTAGGTAGGAATATCGGATTACGTTCCAATGTCCATAGTAGAAATAGCCGTAAAGTGTAATCGCTTATCGGTTTCCGTCTGTGGATTTCCAAATATCCAAAGCTATAATAAGATCAAGTGATGCGTCTATCTCTATTATAAAACTGTACCCATCAAGTACTTAGTAGACACCACTATTATAAAACTTTTACTTTAATATGTCAGTAAAACGGACACAGAACTGTGTCTGTTGTGTGTTAGGTTCACGGGAAATAATATAAGCTGTTTTAGTCTGTGGAGTGTCGTTTGAACCCGCATGTCCGCAAACGGAAATTATAATTTAGGGGCCTTGAACCTGATAAACTGCGATCTCGTGAGAAGTATTCAACACCTAACGTAAAGGTGATCTAGAAAATCATAAGGTTCGGAGTTTGATACCCAGTCGTGCAACAGATCTATTTATCTTTGTATTCAGACGGTTATACTCTAACCCCGACTATTCTCTTCTATTCGATCCCGATTATAAAGTACAGTTTTATAAATAAAACACTTTTAATAGTTTTAAACGCGAGTATATATTAATTTATTTATGTTACAATTTTAACTCACAAAATCCCCCAAGACCACAGCTGCTACAAAGCATACGAAACTTCGGGCTGTACTTAAAAGAGGTAAATTGTAATAACGAATACATTTCGCGTTTCAAACAGTTAAAAGCTGTTTAATTAAATGTGTACTTGTGTAAACTACAGACAAGCCCCAGTTTTTCAGTTCTCAATATTCATTTCATACCTACTACGATATACTCGGTTTTACGCCAAGTCCTGCCTTCGAGTCCCGATAAAAAAAACATATGATCACATCCTTAACTAACAGTGAAATTTATCACAAAGATTTTTTAATAAATCTTAGAATCTAACATAAGCATCTTCTAACATGAATTTGGGTAGTATTTAATATAATGGCCCGTGTCCCAGCAGTGGGAACTTCTAATCATAACATTATAACTATTTATATACTTAAGTATAGAAATAGTCCCAACCGAGACGTAATAAATTTAAACGTTTATCGAACTCACTGAGTCACAATTAATAAATAATTAATGAGATTGGCATTACCATAAGTAGCCATTAAATATTTTAATTTTATAATATTTTTAACTCGGCGTTGTCACTAAAGTCACAACTAATAACTTAATTTCCACTTACCAGCGAAAAAGAAGAAGAAGTGTATCTTTATCGGCAATAAACTTTTGTCCACCTTAAGCTTCATGTTTATATATAAGATTAATAAATTGTAAACAAAGGCACTTGAGATTAACTTTAAACTGGAAACTCTATCATGTTATCCTCACGCTGAGACGACCATTGTCTAAACGCGCGTCGTTAAAATATGCCCGCCGAAACCATCGGGCACTAACATAAAAAAGTTAATGTTTTTTATTTAATGTTTACACAACCAACGCATCCGTTTACTAACAAATACTACCACAGATGACAGAGAGCTGTGTCATCTGCCAATTGGTTTCGTGTCAAGTGTCACATTGACAGTTTACATTTTAAACAGATAAAAATGTGTTATTTGCACAGATGCAAATCCTTTTTACGAGGTATTGAAGAATATAGTAAGTACCAAGTCGTAGTTGGTTAAATTGGCTGATCCTCCTATATAGCGATACGTTCTTTAAAATATTGTTTTTTAAGTATAATATTTTAATCTATGAATTTTTTTATAAGTTGGAGAATCAATGAAATCCCGTTTCTCCCTGTATGCCATACTTTCGCACATCGAGAGATTTTGTTTAGGGGCAAATAGTAGTCCCTTGCCCGACTAAAATAATTTATCGTTTGCCGGCGTTCGAGTCTAGGTTTTCTTGTGTGTTCCTACCAGGAAACGTGTAGCAATTAGCTTGGAAGGCGAAAGAAGGAACTCGTAGAATACTCGTAGAACTAAATCTTTATTCGGTTATCAAATGAAACTTCAACATTTTATAATGTTTTACTTTAATAGAATTGTACATTTAGGTTTTTAATAATTAGGTGTCTCGTACATATAATCCGTCACACATTTACACACACACAATATTTAACCATAAAACCATCTTAAAACTATTAATCTCTCTTCTTTTTACTCGATTTTTTTGGCTCTTCTTTTGTTAAAACATTAATGGCTCTCCTAAGAACGGAGTATACAATATACAGAACCACGATGAGAAGTAAAGCTTGGTCCAGCATTAAGTACTCGTACCATTTATAGTATTTTACTATAGACCGAAGGTGGAGTGCCCCTGGAATCAAACCATTGAAGACATTAATTGTCAGCTCTTATATTAAAATTATCTTGACGTCCATACTTTGACGATAATTACTTATGGCTTTTGTATAATATTTTCTAGTGATGGGCCGAGTACTCGATTAATACTCGGTACTACGGCGGGTTTTTTTGATACTCATACTCGGCAAGTTTTAAGCTATACGTGTTAATAAAAGCTATATATTTAGGTAAATATAATTTAAACTATGGTGTTAATTGAAAAGTATTTATTAGTAATTCAGAAATTATTTGAAAATCTCTATTAATAAAATCAAATCAAAAATAATGAATTGACAGGCGCGAACCTATTCGTACTTGTTTACGCGCGCGAAAGAGGAATTTTATTTAACCGAGTCGAGTAAAACTCGGTATTCGTTACTCGGCAAGCATCTCTTATATTTTCATACATTCAAAACGTCAAAGTAAATAAAATCCCTTATGATTAGTACTTTTCTTCAAATATGCAAGCACTTTACTTTTTTAACAGTGTAAATTGTAAAATAGACATTTTTAATTCGCGGGGAAAAAATCGATTGGATTTTATGCAACCCACTCTCATTTAAATAAAACACTTCAACGCGATATATATTAGTTTGCAGCACGGCTGCTGCACTACCGAAATAATTCTGTTCCCTGGGACTCACCCGAGACCTATCGCGCTTAAAGCAATGCTAGGCAATACGTTTAACCGTTTGGCTACAGAGGCAGCCATCCGAAACGTCAGGCTGTAGTTAAAATAATTTTCAAATAACTTAAACTAATATATATCACGTTTTAAACCATTAGTGTTTTATTTAAATATATACTACCCACGAGAGAGACTACTCACTCTCATGAGGTGTCACATGTCATCATCAGGCGTGTGCTTGGTTTTAAAAAAAAAAAAATTGTTACTTTAAAAATCTAAAATAAATTGAAAAAATTTTCGACTCGGGCAGGACTTGAACCGGCATCGTCAGCGTTCCGTGCTGTTGCTCTGACGATGCCGGTTCAAGTCCTGCCCGAGTCCAAAATTTTTTAAATTTATTTTCGATTTTTAAATTATATAGTGCCTTCATGTGCAATAACATGTAAAAAATAATAAAGTTTTCAAAATTGTTCCTTGTGCGAGTTTTTAGTCAGGAGTACCTAATTTCCTTACCTTTTGTTTCGATCGCCAATTCGATATAATGTGTGATCAATTCGGACGGTTTGTTCAGACGATTCTTGAATAGTTTGGATAAATACTTCGCTTTCTTGCTGTAGCTGAGAAAGAGAAGAGAGAGAAAATCTATAACTAAAACATAATTATGTAATTAAAAAGAAAGAACAAAAGAATTATTACTATTAAGCTACAAAGAAATAGAGATTAGGTTTTTTGCCTGGGTCGAACCATTGTAAGGTGAATGAAAATGTATGTCGATGTCGTTGCTGTATTTATTAACGATTTTACTGAGTCTGACAACAGGTGAATTTGACCCAAATACTGTTTTGCGAAAAGGAGGAAGAAATGGTGTTATAGTACCTGGTGGAAGTCTAATAGGAACCCGAATATTGAAGGATTATAAAAGAGCAGGGCTGTCTATTTTGTTATTGTGTAATTTAGATACTAATTATAAATCTATTAACTCTCTTCGGGTTCCAAGAGATGAAATATTAAAATAATCCATTTCGGCTTGTTCCGCCGCCGTGAGCGAGAAGGGGTTCTCGACGTTTCGCCATCAGGAGCGGACGGCATCTCCAGGAGATGTTTGATGATTGCTTGAAGTACTCTATGCGATTGAAAATAAGATCAAATCGATACAAAATTAAAATCTCTATTGTATATGTAAATATTATAATGTAGTCTCCCCGTGACCACGGTTGCTGCAAAGCATCCGAAACGTGGAACCGAAGTTAAAAATCATATTCAAATAAGTTTAAATAAAATATTGCGTTTTAAACCGTTAAAGTGTTTCATTTAAATGTTTACTACTCGCGTAAACTATAGACAGTATTTAAAACTCCAAGGTTTAAATTTATATACATTTACAATATAGGCTACAGCAGCCGTGGTCACAGGGGGACTGTAAATCATTCGAAATCGGGCCGTTGGTACTATTTTAACAAGTGAACTTATATACTACGCTGCCTTATAAACCGTTAATAGTGTTTTATTCAGTACTACTCGCGATAACCAGATAAAAGACATATAAAGTTTTTAATAACATGTATCTAATTAAGTAACGTATGTAGTTTACTTGTGAATAAAACACTTTTAACGGCTTAAAACGCGAAATGTAATAGTTTGTTAAAACATATTTGCGATTTATTTTAACTGAAGAGTCTCCCCGTGACCACGGCAGCCGTTAAAGTGTTTTACTTAAAAGAGACAAAGAGAAATCGTTCTCTTATATTTTTTACGTATCTTGAACCGTGAAACGATAAATAATTTTCCCCGTTTTTCACATTTCCCGGTATTTCTTCTCTCCTATTATTCACAAAACGTGTTATAGTCTATACCTTCCACGATAAATTTTCTAACTAACACAAAAATATTTTTTAATTTGAACCAGTAGTTCTTGAGATTAGCGCGTTTAAACAAACAAACAAACAAGTCTTCAGCTTTATATATTAGTATAGATAACTAACATTCTTCAATTAATTTCTCCCTACTTGATTCCTAATTTACCTGTCGTTCCTCAAGAGTTCAAACAACGCTTCTTTGACCTTCGGGGCCATGTCTGGAGAGTACTGGACTTGAACTGCCTGACCGGTCTGGACACTCCTTGCTGCATTGTGGGGCTGGTCAGCAAACACTGGTATTGCCAGCAGCGGTACTCCGTATTGCAGAGATTCTAGGGTACTGAGAAGACCTCCATGCGTGATGAAGACCTTCACGTTAGGATGAGCTGGAAATAAAGTATTCTTTCATGTTTTATTCCGTAAAGATGTGTGACTGAAATTTTTCTCTTTAAACTTTTAAAAATTATGTAGATTCTTAAAAAAAAAGACTGTTTGTCTGTCTGGTTGTCTGTGTGAATGTTTGTCTGCCTGTTCGTCGTGATTCTACAGAGTGTTCAAAAGAGCAACATGATCGAAAAGAACACCCAAGGAACTCAGTCTGGCTTTTTTTAACATGTCTAGATTAATAAATTTTTGTGAATTGATTCTTGATAAATATATACATTAAATTAAATGATTGTTTTTTTTCTACACATAATTATGAATCAAAAAATTAGACTCGGAACAGTATACGGTTTTTGATAACTTTGATAAAATTTTCATATGTTATTGCACTTGATGGCACTATATAAATGAAAAATCGATTATCTATAATACATTTTTTTTTAATAGTGTTGTAGATTTTATTTAATTAAAGCTATTGAAAAAAAAATATTTCCCTGCCTGTGTCGTATATTTTTATAATCTATTATCGATTTTCTTAATCGTCGGGTTGTTGTGAATAAAACGACATTTCTTTCATTACAACTGTCTAAGAGACTCCGTAGTTAGATTAAAAATACCGCGGTTTAAAACGCGAAATAAATCACTCGGTCAAAATGTCAAAGCTGTAGTTAAAATAAAGAAAACTAATTACTATATTTCGCGTTTTAAGTCGTTTAAATTGTTTCATTTAAATGTGTACTATTTGGATCAAGGATCCCCATGAGTCTTTAGAATCTGTGGACTCCGGTTTAAGTCCCACACGGTCGTAAAGATTTTAAATCTAAGTACATTTTTAATCTTTGGACGGTATCCCTAATGTCAATGTCAAATCTGCTACGCTAGTGCCATCTAGTTTAGATTTTTTTAACTCACCTAAAATACTAGATTGGGGCATCCACGATCTAACATGTATATTCTTCGGAAGGTTCTCGAAAGTCTCATCGAACTTCCACAGAACCGTCTGCTTCAGACTTCCGAAGACCTCGATTAGTTCCTTTCGGGTTTTCTCCTTCAACGCAGTGGCCTTCAGTACGGACCCCATGCTGAAGTAGATCACACCATGAGTAGAAGAATCCAAAATGTCTTGTAGATCCTGGAACGAGGGTATTGGTTATATGAAGAAAAACTGTCGAATCTATCGTATAGCTGATAATTGGGCGATGCAAGGAAGTAAAACTTTTGGGCTCGTCGCCCTAATGGTAGCTTTGGTTAATGATCGTGAGTTTGACTCCCGGCGATACTAATATATTTCACATAATAAAGTTGAAGAGTTGGTTTGTTTGTATGTTGGAACGCGCTAATCTAAACTCATTCACCGCTGCTGACTCTATTTTATATAAACACTCTATCGTCGTAACGCATTACGTAACGCAATGATTAATCATTTTGGAAGATACCATCTATCACATAGTAGTATCTCCGTACCTTTGGTAGATCTGGAATATTCGCGTCAATATGATATCCAGCAATTTCGATGACATTCGGCGGTTTGCTTATAGCTGGTGAGAAAGAGGGATGGCTGTCTGAGAGTACGATAGACACATTTCTGTGGACGTCTTCGAAGGGTGGAAGTGGAACCCCGCGGGCTGCCGCTATAGCGCCAAAGTGCTTCTCATATTCTGCTTTGAATACGCTGTATGACCTCCTGCAAATGTGTTAAAGATATATATGTGTCAGTTTCAAATCAAGTGTATATGTACTGTATACACTTGCAGTAGTGCAATGTATGGCTAATAAGCAACGGGTAGGCGATCCCCACTGGGTCTAACGCGTTTCTAATCAAATTATATTTTAAATACTGTCTATAGTTTACGCGAGTAGTACACATTTAAATAAAACACTTTAACGGTTTAAAACGCGATATATTAGTTAAACTTATTTGAAAATGATTTTTAACGTCGGTCAGGCGTTTCGGATGTTTCGCAGCAGCCGTGGTCTCGGGGAGACATCTGCAGGCCGATTCTACTAATTCAATGACGTTTCGATCAAGTTGAGTGACTGCGATCAAGTTTCGATTAAGGTCGGGTATTCTCCTAATTTTAAAACTTCGCGTCAACTGCACGTAACTGTGCTCTCTGTATCAGGGAAACAATGAACTGTGACTCAAGGAAAAACCTAATTATCAAATATTTTTTATAGAAATGTGGTATATTAATAATATTTTTTAAATTTCAATCTTATAAAATTTTAAACATCTCTTGGTTTGTAACTTTTTTGATAAATTTAAGATATTTTGAAATTATATTGGACGGACCTTAGACAATTGTCAAGAATAAATTTGGTGAAAATGCCGAATTATTTTTAAACTGACTTTATAGGTCTTTAAAAAGTCCAGAAGTTAAATTTGTTTAGAGCCAAGAATTATTATTTTATGATAAATCTTAGTTAACTAATTCCTATAAAAAATTTTCAGTTATAGTTACGGAAAAAAAGAAAATGTGTAATATTAAAGCTTAGTAACTGCTATTGCCCTCGATAAGTGATTGAAAAAGATGTTATCCCACTAGTGTTTGATAAGACCCAGTGGCAAAAAGGCTATATAGGCTAATGAGGAACAAAAAAGTGGAGAGGTAAAATCAATAGATTTATTTATCTGAAATACGACCACGAGTCAGAATTCCGCGCTACTCGAAGGTCTTTAGACTCCGACAAAACATTTACATCATCTGTCTCTCTATCTGTTTGATCCAGCTGTCCTACCTATTAAAAAAGTTTATATTTATGGCTTCCCATGAACTTGACCTTCTTCCTACGCCGTCTCCTTTCTATCCTACTCATCATCTAAAGTTACGGGGTAGTATTTGATATAGTAACATCTTTCCCATCTGGTTTTATATTTTTGTTATACTCTTAAGGATAGTTGCAAACTCATTTTAACAAAAATTATTCACAATCGCCCTTTACTTAAAGAAGTGAACAATATTGAATATTTTACTTTAGCTTCGTTCAATAAATTAATTGAGTTTTATTGTAATTAAAAGAATAGATTCGATCAAATCGCGTTAGAGTGACGCACGGTAACGGAATACGGAATATCTCCGAACTTGACCGAACGTTTTGACTTAACAGAATACCAAACAACAAAACTCTGCAACTGGCTGCTCTTAACTTATATTAATACGAGAATCGGCCTGCAGGCCGGAATTTAAAATCATAATTGTCCAATAAGTTTAACTAATATATCGCGTTTTAAACCGTTAAAGTGTTTTATTTTAATGTGTACTACTCGCGTATACTATAGACAGTATCTTAAGGAGAAACTATTTACTTTTTTTTGTAAACATTTTGTCTATTATCATTGTATTATGTCATTTTGTCTAAAAATAATATCCAAATAAGTTTAAGTAAGTACTATATCGCGTTTTAAACCGTTACAATGTTTTATTTGGAAGTGTCTCTTTTGACATGTAGGTACACAAATAATATATAAAATAGTGTAATTTGGTTTTTTAGGTATCTAGTAAATGTTTAAATGACAGTCAAAAAGCTTCAATATTCTTAACATGATTTTGCATTATATAAAATGAGGCTGCTAGAGGCATAGTGGCCTAATAAAAAAAACACAATTTTTCATAGGGAGGAAAATAACAATGCGCAATCAAGTTAGGCCAAAATGCATTGGTACTATTATTTGTGTAAGAATTATGTTAACAGTTTTCGTTGTGCTCTTATAGATTAACATTTTCAGACTATAAACTAACGGCCTCACTGAAAACTGTATTTCAAAAAAATTCAGGACACGGGCGGGTCTTGAACCGGCATCTACTTCCCCCGAGACCATAACTTCACGTTTTATAAAAATAAACTCGTTGTAAGTTACTAAGGCATATTTTAATAATTAGATAAAGGGAAAACTTACCACTCATCAAAGGACATAAGGCAGTAGAAAAGCGTGTTCTGTACTCTCTGCCAGAAGGTCAACGGCAACTGGTTACGTGAATGTATCCCGGGTAAGATTGGCAGGGACCTCACTGCGTCCACGATTTGTTCAACTTGCGAGTGGTAGACGTTGCCAGAGAGGAGGATCCAGGGAACGCCCTGAACGGCTGCATATCTGGGAGAAGTTATTTTAATTTTATTTATCTATTTAGGCTATCTTGACAGGCCCATTAGTCCAAAGGTAACAATGTAATCAATGGGTTCGATGCCCACCGGTTCAACATATTTCTTATTCAATTTATAATTTACTAGCTGGTGCTCGCGACTTCGTTTACGCAGGATTAGTATTTGGAGTAGCTTATATGTAACTAACGTTTGTGCCAGAATAGCTCGCAGAAAGGTAGATTTTTTCCTAGTAGACATTTAATGTCATATTTTGGACAGCTCACACAATATCTTTATAAATTGTAGCCTATGTGTTATTCTGATAAGCTATATTATTGGAAAGTTTAATTGGAATCCATTCAGTAGTTTTTGCGTGAAAGAGTAACAAACATCCACTCACACATACAAACTTTCACGTTTATAATATTAGTAGGATCTGAAACACTTGGACTCCGTCTGGAAATCTGGATATAAAATGGGTGGTAGGAATATAAAAAATCAGTCCGGGTCACGAATCACCGATGATGAAAATCCGTGAAGCTTAATCGCGTTTCGGTTTCAGTCTGTGGATTTCCGAATATCCAAAGCCAAAATAGGGTGACAGCGAATCTTGTTGCTATAGTATACCACCTATGACCAAGTGAAGTGAAGCTTTTCTGTCCTTCTTCATCACTAAAGTAATTAAATAAATGCGAAGCTAAAATGTGTAACGAATGAATTGTTACACTTATTTATAAAATAATTTTAATTTGCGGTCGATGGTTTGGGAGCCGGGTGGAATTTCATTTTTCCTACCTCCCCGGAACCCGATGAGGTCAAAACCGCGACCCGTATTAAGATCGGTACCATTTTTGGTCCCACCATCCGTGACTCCCCGGGACCACGGCTGCTGCATAAAATCCGAAATGTGGGACGGTAATAAAAATTAATTGTAAATAAGTTAACTAATACATTTTTCATTTTAAATATTCAGCGTTTGAATTAATCAATGTACTACTCGCGTAAGCTACAAACTATGTATAAACAATAAAAAAAAAATCTATTTAAAGTGTGTTTTTTCTAACTTGGCAAAAGATCACAACAAATATGGCCGTTTTCAACCCATAGAAAACTGTAATGTAGTAAGTAAGTGATGACCTTTTATATAGTGAAGTTGTTACTATAAATGACACACGGATAAAATAACGTCTATTATATGAACCAAACGATCTTAATATTCAAAATCACTTTTATGGCGAACTTTTTTTGTGTCATTATTATTTACTGAATCTGAGGTAGTTTCATTAGTGTCTTAAAGAGTTTTTAGTGTAAATCAATGTAACTTTGTGAGAAAATCACGATTTTATATAAATTGTGTGTTTATCTACAAAAAATGCCAAGTTAGAAAAAATATACTACCGTTGTTTAAGTTAGACATTTGGTTTGCCCTGCTATGTCTGTGGGACATGGGGAATTAGGAATAAAAAATTAGACTAAGTTTATGCGTGATACGTACCCCGCTTCGATTTCCGTGAAAAACCATTCAGTGACAATAGCATCGAACTGTTCGTTCACCATCATATCTTGGACGGCGGGAGTTTGGACCAGCGACACTGACAGGTTGTAAGACAACATCTGGACATCTGTCATTGTGACTTTCGGATCTGACATGTCAATATCTGGAATAGAATTAAATTTATTAATATATTAAAACACGGCCTTTAACGTTGTTATTTAAATTAAATTTGTTTGTTTATGGAATAAGTTTTAATTATCGTTTGTATGTTGTTTATGAATAAACTATTATAATACATGACACTGGCCATTAGATCTTCTTACCATAAAAAAGAAAAAAAAATGTCACAACGTTGTATGTCAATGTTTTAATTCTTTTAGCGCTATTTAAATACGAGTGTATAATTTTTTTTAATATATACTTCTTTAAGTACCGTGATTTTTCTAAAGTCCAGTGATCGAAGAATAAAATAACAATAATAATTGATATCACGATTGACATAAACGGCACACGTTTCTCTACCGACTTAACTACTAAGGCAATATTCAAATAGGTTCTCGAAACGTATACATTATAACACAAGCAGACACATTACTATGTCCGTATTATAAATTAGTAGTGCTTGACCGAATATATATATATATAATTTTTAGGCGAACTTCAAAGGAAGGTTTATACGTACATTCTAAAAATTTCTTGTGATGACTCAAATCTACAACCCTGAGATTTTTACTCTTGTCCTTCACAGCTTCTGGAAAGACTGTAACGAATGTCACCTGAAATATTACAATATCGATTAAATTACGCAATAAAAACTTGCAACCGTTTAAAACGCGATATGTATTTGTTAGTCTCTAACGACGGCGCATCGAACGAGTGTCATCACGATGGCTATTGTAAAAAAAACTTAGGTTACTAATAAATATCGTGTTTTAAACCGTTAAATGGGTTTAATTTACAAGTAAGTTTCTCGCGTAGACTAAAGACATTATTTTTTTATATACACACAGAACTGAAAGACAATATCGAATTATCGGTTTCGTTATCAATGTGTAATTGATTTGAGCCAATACTGTTGGCCATTTTGTAGAACAAACAATAAGGGGTTGGTTATCTTCTATTTACACGAGTAGTACACATTTAAATAAAACACTAACAGTTTATTTGTTTTATTTAACTTAACAAGATGTTGTCGACCTATTTCGTCTTTGTACATTTAGGAATCCACGAAATGAAAACCAGAACTCGAATTTACACTTTTTTATGTCTTCTTGTGTGTTAGCGTTCAGAAGCTGTGTCAGCTTGATTTCGTAAACCTTCTCACTTTAAAATCTAAGCTGTTACTAGCAAGTTAATTTTAATATATACACATGTAACTGTCTCGGACATTTTCTTAGATCATTTAAAGAGGAATCATTCTTTCATACATATTTTACCTTAAACCGTTTTCGCAGTGTACGCAACGGAAACCCACAAAGATGAATAATTTTCCCCGTTTTTCCACATTTTCCAGGTGTTTCTTACTACTATTAGTCCCAGCGCGATGTTTTATAGCCTTCCTCGATAAATGCTCTAGCTAATAGAAATTTTTTTTCAATTCGAACCAGTCGTTACTGAGATTTGCGCGTTCAAACAAACAAACTGTTCAGCTTTAAATATTGGTATAGATTAAAAGTTTATTTTAAATATCTTTCTTACCTCATGACCAGCCTTCACCAACGGGTGAACGATTCCAGTGACCAAGTGGAAATGACTTTTGGAGGGAATCGGATGGAAGCAGAGGATTTTGTATCCTACAGCTGAGCACACCAGCACACAGAGGAGTAGAAGACACTTCATCTGTAAAAAAATACAAGTCATTGCATTGTCATGATGCCACTATATTAATAACAAATCGATTAAAGACTGAAAAAAAAATTACGACACGGAGAGGATATGACCACAGCGTTCCATGCTGTTGCTCTTACCAATAGTCCTACACGTCATCGTAGATTTTTTATGGTTATATATAATATGGCCGATCACAACCCGAAATAGAGACCTAGTGATGACCTTTTATAGAGAAATATTATTGCCAACGATGACATACGTGTAAAGAAATATCGATGATTTATGGAGAAAACGATTTTAATATTCCCTATCACTTTTATGACGATGTTCTTTTTAAATTGTTATGTCAATTAGAAAGAGATCAATAAATTATTGTCTGCCTTGTTTCATAGGAGTATTTACTGATCACCTCGTTCCGGAAGTTATCATTGTTCTAATATTAACAAGGTAATAGGCGGCGTCAGTGACTTCATTCGCGTGGAAGAGCGTCAACTTTGCCCGCGACCCACATCGTAGCTCGCGTCCCGTTCTTGCAAGTTAATCTTAAAACATAGGGATCCCTAGTGTAGTGGACATTTTCGAAGAAGAATAAATCATTCTTCAAGACATATTCTTTGGGCATCTTGAACCGTTTTCGCCAAGAACATCCACAAAGGTGATCCCCGTTTTCACCACATTTCCCGCTTTTTCTTTGCTTCTATTAGTCTCAGCGCAATGTTTTGTTTATAGCCTATAACGAACACAAAAATATTTTTTCAATTCCGACCAGTCGTTCCCGAGATTAGCGCGACCACACATACAAATAAAAAAACTCTTCAGCTTTATATCTTAGCATAGATATGCTAGCTAGTTATAAATAGTCTTCTAACCAAATCGCTAATCATCCGAATTGGTCTTACGTCTTATTAGAAGTAAGACCAATTTTGATATTTAAAACACTATGAGATCTAATAAACTGTTATTTGTTTGCAACACTCATATTATCTTTTTTGTTAATACAACCGTGGAGATCACTTGATGAAAGGTAAAATACCCGAGCCAAATATATCTTCTATCTATCTTATCTATATCTATCTTTTTTTGTCTTGTGGATATTTGAAACTCCACAGTCTGAAACCTAAACGCGGTAAAATTCGCGGCTTTGTTATCATTTACTCATTTAATATAGTTTGTTTCTACCACCCATCTAATACCAGATTTCCGTCGATTATTATTAGCCATGTTTTGCTACCAAGTCTGTCAAAGATCGCGTTCGTTAGATTTGGTTTAGTTCCCGATTGGTCTCGTTAAGCTGAGGCAGCTAGAGGCAGAGCAGCCTAACTGCAATTTAATGAGTTTTATATTTTCATAGACTAAAAATCTTAATCTACAAGAGCACAGTGACCGAAAATTGTTAACATATTTCTTACACATTCATTTTCGCCTTAGTCAATTGCGTTTATTTATTTTCTTTCTTATTAAAAAGTATGTTTTCCTGCCTCTAGCAGACTTAATTTAAACTTAACGATTGCCCATCGAAATAGTAGTCCGTGGATTGCGTGGACCAGCTGCCGTGTAGTCACGAACCATGGAGTAGGGAAGAGCTGATCGAGCGTGAAGTTCGTTAGTATGAACGAAAACCAATTTCTAAATTATCTCAAACATATGATTAACAATCTCGAGTACAGTCCTTAGGTCTGAATGTCGCAATGATAAAAAAATTCGAGTGGTAACAGCTCATAATATGTTATTAGTAGTTTTTAAGGCATTTAAATAAAACACTTTAACGGTTTAAAACGCGATATATTAGTTAAACTGTTTTAAATTAATTAAATCAGTTGAACTAATATATCGCGTTTTAAACCGTTAAAGTGTTTTATTTAAATGTGTACTACTCGCCTAAACTATAGAAAGTATTTAGTTTTTAAGGCAGTTAAATGGCAGCTGTCATTTTAATTCAAATTTTGCGAAAATTGTAGTATATGGGTGTCTTTATGAAAAGCTTAAATTTTATAATTAACACTAGCTGCCCCCGCGACTTCATCCGCACTGAGTAGTTACATTGGACGTGTAAATATGTACTTGCAAACCTTATGAAATAAATATAAAATATTCATTCCCTTACAATAAATAAATACAAACCAGAACTGTTCCACAATAATTACAATGGATTTAATTAGTCAAACGTATAAAAGTCTCCTGTCTCAATATAAGTTAGCTTATCTTCTAACGATAAACGATTGATGAATTGTCTGTGGCGGTAAATATATATTTTTTACATAATCATTTAGGTAGCTTAGTCATTTGTAATTCCCAAAAAATAATTAAAATTGCAAATTTTATGTATGAAAACTTTATGAATTATTACATGTTATTGCACATGAAGGCACTATATAATAAACCGAGTCCGGTAGCTCAATTGGTAGAGCAACAGCACGGAACGCTGACGACGCCGGTTCAAGTCCTGCCCGAGTCGAAAAATTTTTCAATTTATTTTCGATTTTCAAAATTTATGTATTATAAAAAATCATAAAAATACTTACCACTTAGCCATTTTAACTTTATTTAGATGTTTGTAATACTTATATGCAATAATATAATAAGCCTACGGCTGGTATAAGGAGTCGATTTTATTCTATGCTGTGGTTGTACTTGAATTTAATTGTCACTCTTTATCTGTGGCTATGCTATTGACACTTGACATTACGCACTTGACAGTTAACTTTTCGTGTACTTGTTGGTTGTTTATTGTTTATCTTATTGCAAGGATTATTTACAAGTGAAACCGGTTATTTGCGTGGTTATAACCCATATTTGAGCTGAAGATGGATGAAAAGCGCTGCGTGAATTGTGGTGGTCCAGTTACCGACAAGCCTATTGATAGAAAACCAGAAGAAAAAAGCACAATACACCAGGGAGTTGCCTTAAAGCAAGTAAATAAGATCCTGTAAAGTTGATCCCATTAATATTATTGAGAAAGTAAAAGATATTTGTTAGTCTTTCCCTCTTAAGACAGATTGGACAAATTTTGATGGATCGAGGCTGCTCGAGGCAGAGTGGCCTAATAACAAAAAAACAATATTCTAAAAGGAGGACCATAAGACTTTGCAATTAAATTAGCCGATAATGAATTTGTACTATTAATTGTGTGAAAATTATGTTAATAATTTTCAGTCCCTGTCCTCTTGTAGATTAACATTTTTAAATTATAATAAGTTAGGCTACTTTGCCTCTACCAGCCTCAAATCTTATATGAATCTTGATGGTATAAATAATAGTTAACTTTTTTTAGGAGCCAAGCAATGATCTAATATGTCATAACTGCCAAATAATAGTGACATATAGCCTTGAACCGCAACAGACTGATGAAGCGTTGTCTAAAAATAGTTGTATAAATTGTGGAAAGCCCCTTCTGCAGATAAGAAGCCATTTACTGAAGACTAATACGAAGCGAGAAAACCTTATTAAAAATATTATAATAGAATGGATTGCACCTCAAGAAGTAAGTTTGGTAACTCTATTGTATTTTATTCAACAAAATTTCTAATGATTATATCTGGCTATTAATCTGCTGGTTGCGGGTTTGATTTCTACCAAGTCCATTGGTACACAATGTTTATTTTCGCGTACTACCTCATTGTCGGTTAAACAATTGTGCTGAAACCAGTATGGCCTAGAACTAGAATTTTTAATGTGTCATGCTAAGGAGCAAATGATGATAACATCTCTACTAAAAAAACTGAAGTGTTTGTTTGAATGTTTGCTTATCTCAGAAACTACTGGTCTGAATTGAAAAATTATTTTTATTTTGTTTAGAACATTTTTGAGGAAGGCTTTAGGCTATATATGTCCAGTTAAAAATACCCAAAAAATATCTATTAAAGAATGATTCCTCTTTAAATGATTCGAAAAATGTCCGCGATACTTTATGTCTATCTATTTATCTTTTAAGATCAACTTGCAAACACGACGGGACCCGGCCGACATTTTGGTAACAACTATAGAACTATTTAAATAAAACACTTTAACGGTTTAAAACGCGATATATTAGTTAAACTTATTTGAAAATAATTTTTAACTTCGGCCCGACGTTTCGGATGCTTTGCAGTAGTAGTTTACGCGAGTAGTACACATTTAAATAATACATTTTAACGGTTTAAAACGTGATATATAATAGTTAAACTTATTTGCAATTTTTTTTAACTACGGCCCGACGTTTCACCGAAGTCTCCCCGTGACCAACACTGCTACAAAACATCCGAAATATATCGCGTTTTAAACCGTTAAAGTGTTAAATAAATAAGTATGTATATGTCGCTGCAGTTATGAGTTTGAGCTCCAATTGCGATATTTTTATCTGTTACCCTTTTTTTCTTAATGTTTAGGTGTCCCCATCAAGCCGTATATGCCATCCCTGCTGGCAGAAAGCAGATAGAGCTTCAGTACAGCGAACAACAGCACCTACGAAGGAATCAGAAATAATTCTACCAAATTACACAAGAGCCGGTAATTCCGAAAGACGCTGCATATTTCCTAAGTGCCAAGCGACAGAAAGAATACACGTGCCCACATCAATTCGTGTACGATTACTCTGTGATCTATCCTACTACGTCCCCCCCAAATGCAGGATCTGCAGATTCCACCTAAGAAGCCGCATGTGGAACAGTCTGATCACAAGAAAAGCAAACCGTGCATTCACAGCTGATCTCATTGAAGATTTACTATCTCTACTCAAGAACCAGATAGGCAATAATATAGACTTTGAGAACATTGAGGATAGCGATGAGGAATTAGTGTTTTACTGGCTTGGTATATCGAAGGATCAGTTTAGGCAAGTGTTGGAGGAGGTGCCTCGTCTGAAGAACAGTCATAGAGGTGCGACTGGACTCGCCGCTTGCTTAACCAAATTTAGGACTGGGGTGTCTGATCAGCAGCTGTCCGTCTTGTTTAAGCTACCTAGGAGTACTTTAGTGAGGCTGATGAGCAAGGCCAGGGAGGTTCTGTCTCAAGATTCGGTCGGACAACATTTGGGTCTACAGAGTGTAATAACCGACATGAATATTATAGCTGACTAGCCGAGTCAGCGGCTTCGTCCGCGAAGAATAGTCATGTTTAGTAACAAAATTGACTACATCGTTCTTGCAGGTTCATCTTAAATGACAGATCTAATACATAAAGCTGAGAAAGAGTTTCTTTGTACGCGTTAATCTCAGAAACTACAGTTTAGAGCATTTATCGAGAAAGGCCTAAGCCTAGGGTAGGATAGGCTATATCGCGCTGTGACTAACAGAGGCAGGAAATTTTTCATCTCTGTGGGTTTCAGATGCGTACGCTGCGAAAACGGCTCAAGACACCCAAAAAATATGTATGAAAGAATGATTCCTTTAAATAAAACACTTTAACGGTTTAAAACGCGATATATTAGTTAAACTGATTTTTAACTTCGGCCCGACGTTTCGGATGCTTTGCAGCAGCCGTGGTCACGGGGAGACCACCACGACTGCTGCCAAGCATCCGAAATGTCGGGCCGAAGTTAAAAATCATTTACAAATAAGTTTAACTAATATATCGCATTTTGAACCGTTAAAGTGTCTTATTTAAATGTGTACTCGCGTAAATTACAGACAGTATTTGTGAGTAGTTCCAGTCGGGTAACGAATTATTTGCCTGTATATAAAAGCGTTCGAAACCGATATTTGCGAAGCATACTCGCGCGCCTCTAGCGGCAACATTTAGAAAATGTCTAAGAACGACACACGACAAATGATGTAACTGGAGGTAAAGTAGATAAATGAAGCAGCATACGCGACGACACCGTAAGTCAATTCTGTAAGGATCCGGTCAGTTTCGACGGTTCATAAATACGACGGAACAGATGGCGCTAGCGTAGCAGGTTTTTATTTTGACATTAGAGACACCCTCCATCTTTAGTCTCCCCGTACCACGGCTGTTGCAAAGCATCCGAAATGTCGGGTCGTAGTTAAAATCATTTGTAAAGTTTAACTAATATATTTCGTGTTATAAACTGTTGTTTTATTTACATTTAGAATAAGTTTGAATATAATCAGATGAATCATTATTACATAAAGATTCGTGTTTAATAAAAGCAGAAACACAAAATTTGGTGCCGTCCTCAATGTATTACATACGGAGATAAGAGAACAAATGTTCATTAGTTTTCAAAAGCCAAAATTATATTAACTGCTTTACGGTTAGGCCACAGGGAATGTGTTTGTCAGATAAAGGGATAGTGCTATGGTTCCAGATTCTAGAAAGATACAAATCATTTCCTAAAATCGTATCATCTTAATAAATCAATTGAACGGTTTAAAACGCGCTATACATTAGTTTAGCTTATTTGAAATAAATTTAACAGACGTGGTCATGGGGAGTCTGCTGGAAAGCATCTTAAACGTCGGACCGTAGCTAAAGTAAGTCTAACTGATATATTCCGGGTTTAAAACCGTTAAAGTGTTTTATTTAAATGTGTACTACTCGCCTACATTACAGACAGTATTTCATCTTATCATCTGCAAATACTCATAAAAGAAGTTCTATCAGGTATAACCTATCTGGTTATTATCTTCTTCAACAAAAGAGATAGATCTTATTTATATTTTACAAATAGATTTTTCTATGAAGTAAATTGTATCGAAAACTTTCTGGTTGATTTCAACAACCCAATTTCAATTAAGACATGTGTCTACTGTCTGTAGTTAACGCGAGTAGTACACATTTAAATAAAACACTTTAACGGTTTTAAACCCGGAATATATTAGTTAAACTTACTTCAAAATTACTAAAACTACGACCAGACGTTTAGGATGCATGCAAATAGGTTTAACAAACTATATCGCGTTTTAAACCGTTTAAGTGTTTTATTTAACAGGCATGCGTCTGTCTCGTGTCAACACATATTCATAAGACTTACATAGTAACGACAAGTAAATTATTATCAATGTAATGATCCTAGTTACAATCTTAAGAAGATTAGATAGACGATACTCGTAAGATTATTAAATAACAATTATATCCGTTTGAGAATGTAGGTCTCGTCGTATCGGAGTTAATTATTTGCCAAGACAGTGGAGGGCGGTTTAGCACGGGGGGGGAAAGGTCCCCGAACTTGTGACATTAATAAAGATCTATAACGACAAGTCAAATACAGCATATCATTGTCTTTCGGGCTGTTTGGCCGACGTGAGCGAGAAGAGATTCTCGACGTTTCGCCATCACGAGCGGATATCATCAGGAGATGATAGCTCCTCGATTGCTCGAAGAACTAGTGGAGTATTTCTTCGCTCACGTTGGTCTCAGCGTAAATGGCTTCGTTGTTAAATGTTCTAACCAACACACAAAACTAATATTTCTATTCGGAATTCCTGAGATTAGCGCGTTCAAACAAACTTTATAATATCAGGATAGAATATAGATACAGTGCCATGTAAATAAAAGCGAGTTATATTCCGCGCTTTATACCGTTAAATTATTTTATTTAAATGTGTACTACGTACTCGCTTGAACTACAGATAATGATTGTGCGACCTATTGTTAATCAGTGTAAAAGCTAATTTGAGGCTCCTAGAGTCAGAGTGGCCTAATATCTAAAAACATGATTTTCAATAAGGAGGAAAGTTAAAATGCACAATAAACTTAGGCGAAAATGAATTTGTACCATCCTTTGTGTAAGAATAATATTAACAATTTTCGGTCACTGTGCTCGTAGATTTTTAGACTATGAAATATAAATAAGTCAAGTCATAAAATTGCAGTTAGGCTGCTTTGTCTCTAGCGGCCTGAATTTACCTGCAAGGTCAAGGAAAAGTTAGAAAATCTTCACAACAAAGTTACCCGAGAAAAGTCATTGATCAAGCATGTGATACGGAAGGATAAATATAATTAGATTCACATTATAGAATGCGTATGTATTAATGATAAATAATAAAAAAAAACGCAAGGAAACTTTGTAATGTAGATTAATTTTCCTTAAATACAAAGTAACGCCTATAGATTTAATTGAAAAACTTTTAACGGTTTAAAACGCGAAATTGATTAGTTAACTTATTTACTACGTCGACGTTTCGGATGCTTTGCAGCAGTGGTCACGGGGGAGATTGAATATGGAAGCCGAAACGTCGGGTTAAAATAAATTATGAATAAGTTAATACATTTCAAGTTCAGAACCTCTCTGCATATCTAATATATAATGCTGAAAAGTTTGTCTGTTTGAACGCGCTAATCTCAGGAACTACTGGTTCGAATTGAAATATTAGTTTTGTGTGTTGGTTAGAGCATTTATCGAGGAAGGAAGGCTATGAAATATCGCTGTGACTAATAGGAGCGAAGAAACAGCGGGAAATGTGGAAAAAACGGGGGAAATTATTCAAGATACCCCAAAAAATATATATGAACGAATGATTCATGTTTGAATAATTTAAAATAAAATATTTAGTCTAATTATCTGTCTATCTTTTAGGTTTAGCTTGCAAGAACGACGGGACGCGAACGACGTCATAGGTAACATTTTAAAGAAGCTAGCAGCTTAAATTTTAAGAAAAAACAAGTTTGGATGCCCGAAATAACTATTTCATGCGAATGAAGTCGCTGGCACAGCTAGTTTCTTTGTAATAGTGAATTAAAATTCATATTACGCAATGTTTGATATTTGCAACAGGCTTTAATAACACACAGTTGAACACATACATATTATATACAACAATAATTATGTAAATATTTTCCGCCGCCGCCATTATATGAAAAAAATACATAATTTCGTACTTTTGTTTAGGTATATTGTTTTTGCAGAAGTAGTAACTAAGAGGTAAGATTATTGACACTTCATTTATATATTGAATTGCACATCTGGTTTTCCAGCTTTCCTCTTTCATATTGGGTTGCCTGGAAGAGATCGCTCCTTAACGATGAGGCTGCTCATTGCAACTCCATATTTTTAGTATACATATAGGTCTCCTTAATATTTTTTTGCAATAAAGTGTAAATAAATAATTTATTTAAAAACTATTTATTTATTTATTATTGCTTTATTATTTATAAAACACACCACAGAAAACTATATTATTTTTTGATGTTATTGCACATGACGGCACTGCATAATTTAAAAATCGAAAATAAATTGAAAAAATTATCGACTCGGGCAGGCCTTGAACCGGCATCGTCAACGTTCCGTGCTGTTGCTCTACCAATGGAGCTACCGAGTCCCACATCTCATCGTTAAATTTTTTCAACTTATTGTAACGCGTTACCTAAGATGTTGTGCTAAGCCCTACAAGCCGAGTTGATGCCAGCCAAGCCAGCCATGCCAGCCAAGCAGCCAGCCAAGCCAGCCTGCCAGCCAAGCCAGCCATGCCAGCCAAGCCAGCCATGCCAGCCAAGCCAGCCAGCCAAGCCAGCCATGCCAGCCAAGCCAGCCAAGCCAGCCATGCCAGCCATGCCCAGCTATGCCCAGCTATGCCAGCCATGCCAGCCGCTAACCATCATGTTAGCAAACAGAGCCAATCACAAACCGAGCCGTAGACTGTGATATAGTCTGTGATGTGATACAGTCTGTGGTGTGATATAGTCTGTAGTGACAAAGATCGTTCACTCCCGAGATGACAGATCGTGCATTCACGTATCGGGAAAAGCGCGCGAAAGCCCTGCACGACATTTTGGTTAGGCATTCTAATTGTTGGACTAATCAAAGCGAAAGCTCTGTTAGGTCATAGTGGATAAAAATTAAAGTCTTTAATCTAATTTATTAAACTACTTATTATTGATACATGCACCATTTAAATTATATTTATTTATTTAAAAGATAGAGAAGGGCATACACTCCACAATACAAATAGTAGATGAAACACCCAAGGCATATAACAACTAAACAAGATATCAAACTATTTTGGCTTTGGATATTTAGAAATCCACCGACCAAACGCAATTAAACTTGACGGCTTCTTTGATATCTGGATGGCGTGTTACTCGGTACCACTTATTCAATTCAAAAAAATGTTGGAGCTGGTGGGCATCGAACCCACACATCGCTTAATATACACCAACAAACCCTCCTTTTAGTTTTTCATCTTTATGTATCTTATTTTTGTACATTTATTTACCAATAAATGGTTATTGACTAGGAACATACTTATTACGAACGCGTTCAAAAAATATATTCACTTACAAGCTAGACTCGTTAATGTTTTTCAATGAAAAATGCATTACAAATATCACCAGTCATTCGTTATACCAACATAATATTTTGCAAATAAAAAAACGACGTTCGCCGGATTAGCGTGTGGGAGAACTAACGTTATGAAGCTTAAGAGCTTAAACGTGCTAATCTTAAGCACTACTGCTTCGAATTGAAAAATTGTTTTGAACCATTTATCGAGAAAAGCTATAATTATAAATTATATCGATTATACTTGTTTAGAGCCTCCATTGCGTACGCTGTGAAAATGATTCAAAAAACCAAAAGAAATGATCGCAAGGACGTTTCCTCTCTAAACCTATATCTATACAAATATATAAAGCTGAAGAGTGTGTTTGTTACGCGATAATCTCATTTTGTGTTGGTTGGAGCATTTATTGAGGAAGGCTGTACGCTATAACACATTGCGCTGCGACTAATAGAAGCGAAGGTACAGCGGGAAATGTGAACAAAACGGGGGAAATTTTTCATGCTTGTGGGCTTTGGATGCGTACGCTGCAAAAACGGTTTAAGATAAAAAATATGTATAAGAGAATGATTCCTCTTTAAATGATCTAAAAAAAAGTCCGCGGCGCTATATGTTTATTTTTAAAGATTAACTTGCAAGAACGACAAGAAGGGACGATGACGGGGTTTGCAAAAACTAATTTTAATGCCCAAAATAACGATTCTCGCGGACGAAGTCGCTGGGACAGCTAGTGATATTAAAATGAATATCCTCGACAACATTTAACTATTACCATTAACTCGCAAGAATCGTTGTATTATTACCAGTTATTTGTTAGAAATGTATCAACATAATTATATTAATTGCAAACAACAGAATCACGTTCGCCGCATCTGCTAGTGTTTACTAAAATTAAAAAGGCAAAGGAAGCCACCCACCTTCCCCTGGTAAAGGTTCCAAGAAAGCTCAAAGCAATTGGAACAGGTTCTGAGTTTTTGTCTCATAGTTGCGTATATGAGGCCGTTAGGGGCAGAGTAGCCTAACTGCAATTTTATGTCTATATATATATTTCGTAGTCTAAAAGTGTTAATCTACAAGAGCGCAGTGACAAAAATTGTTAACATAATTCTAACACAAATAATAGTACAAATTCATTTTGGCCTAACTTAAATGCGCATTTTTATTTTCCTCCATATCGAAGATCGTGTTTTTTGTTATTAGGCCACTCTATCTCTAGCAGTGTCATATTTGCTGTTGATATCGACTAAGGCACGACAAATATTTACATACGCCTAGTGAAGAATACTATACCTTTTTATGTAAGTAAAAAAAAACCATACCGTAAACAATACTCGACTGCCTGGCTTCATATTTTAAGTCCTAACTTAAAATTTCGCGTTTAAAACTGTTAAAAAAGTTTAATTTTAATAGTAAAGTTTGTAATACACATTTAAGTAATAAGTACATCTTACAATAATCAATAAGTTGTTTTAATGTAATTTCTAACCGTTAAAAGTGTATTATTTAAACAACAAAGTTTGTAATATACATTTAAGCAACGAGATGATTTTGAGATTGTTAGTTAGTTATAATTAATAACAATTGATAAACTTGTGATCGTACATCGTTCAATTATCAATAAGTAGTATTAATTCTATTTTAAACCGTTAAAACCGTTTATTTAAATAATAAAGATTGCAATATGAAGTAACAAGATGATCTTGAGTTTATCTGTAGGATATCTTAAAGCCAATGTTTGTTTGTATCGATACACCTTGTTTAAAATAATCTATTTCGTTTATTTGTATAGATAAATATACAAATGATACAATAGAGGTCAACTAAAAGGTCACTCACCTTTTAAATTTCGAACACAATTTAAATTTAGAACAACGCGCGGGCGACGCGATTCGAACAATAAAAAAAACGGACGTTAATTTTAAATTTAGAACGCGTTCATCTCTCGCGCTCTTCTCGTCTCGACTACTTTGATTTGATATGATTATCTACTTATCGCAACTGTTTCACGCGATTCTAATCGTAGTGACTTGTACTTTTAGGGTTTTATAATTACGCAATGATTTCGTCATAATTTTTCGAAGTCATTCGTATCTATAATGACTTAGGACTTTTGCGATGCGTACTTTGAATACTAGTTGCGTACATTTTCGTAACGAGATTGTTCCAAATCTCGGTTTAACTACTAAATGGTAGTTCAAAACAGACGTTAGACCGTTGGTTGGTAGCAATGTGCGGCTAACAACCGACGGGTCGTAGGTTAGATTCCCATCGGTTCCAACATCTTTGTATTTCTGAAATATATTGGATATATGGCCAGCTTATCGTTGTTTTTCGGGCTCTTCGGGCGACGTGAGCGAGAAGAGGTTCTCGATATTTCACCACCAGCGGAGATGTTAGTTACTAGATTGCTCGAAAAATTAATTTTAATTCTTCGAGGCCTCGACTTCGTCGGCCGAACCGACCGAAAAACAATGATGTGCATGTTTCGTCTGAAAATCTAGATATTAAATAGGTCGTAGGAATATCGAAATTCCAAGCTGCTACAAGGCCGTGGTCACGGGGAGACTCTGCTGCTGCAAAGCATCCGAAACGTCGGGCCGAAGTTAAAAATCATTTTAAAATCAGTTTAACTAATATATCGCGTTTTAAACCGTTAAAGTGTTTTATTTAAAAGTAATACACTGTTAATATTGTAAAGATGTAATGAACAAATTAATTATTACTACTTATACAATACAATTACGATATTCAACATATTTACAAATTGGACTACATATTTTAAGTGTTTGTATGACTTATTAAAATGTGACTTTAAAATTAACAGCCTTCAAAAGAAAATTAATTGCACTTAGCTTAGCTTTATAACGCAAAAGTCCTGGATTCGAATCCTGAAACCGTCCTATTTTGGGCTAGTTGTCTGTAGTTCCTGGCCTTCACCTGGACAAGCAACCTTCAAACCGTCTTATCTTAGTCTAGGTGTCTCCAGTTTCTGGCCGTTGCCTGGTCAAAAATAGATATTCAAACCGCCCTATCTTGGGCTTAGTGTTTCCAGTTTCTGGCCTTCAATGTCCTATACTCCTAAGGCCTTAAGGTCCTGCTCGACGTCACTAACCAACGTAATCTTGGTCTGCCACATCTCCGTTTACTATCAGTGCTACCATCTTCAAGGTACTCCTCTTCCATTCAAAGCAGCCCAGCTCATCGTAGCCTATCTGCAGCTGCTACCTTGATGAGCTGGTACACAAAAAAATACGAAACCGACACTGATATGTATCCGCCTTTTGCGCCACAGGCGAAAACGGGCTTTTGAATTGAAAAGAGTTATAAGATGGATACGTATTTCTGAAAGACTTCCGAGTTTTCAGTGCGAGTGTCGATTTTGTACACTTCTATATCTCCCTCCATGTTGAGGAACGCCTGAAAATATGTAAAATAATAAATCATGCCTTTGCGGCCATGTTGGAACTGGTGGGAACGTAGAACTTGGTTAATAAGGCTGTAGGACCCTCGAGCCCCAATGAAAATACATATGATGGTAATGACGGGCACGTCAACGGTGTGTTCGATCCCCACCAGGTCAAAATTTTTCTAATTATTTAAATAAAACACTTTAACGGTTTAAAACGCGATATATTAGTTAAAAAATCATTTCCAAATAAGTTTAACTAATATATCGCGTTTTAAACCGTTACAGTGTTTTATTTAAATGTGTACTACTCGCGTAAACTATAGACAGTATTTTTCTAATTAGTTTATAATTTTTCTGAAACATTTCTTCGGACTTCAGACTTCGTCTGGCAATCTGCGGATTTTCAAATATCCGAAGCCAAAATAGATCTATAGATTAGCTGTTACATGGCTGGGGTATTTTACCTACCATCAAGTGTTTTAAAGAAAAATTTCATTGCGCATGCGCATCCAATAGATTGAAATTCGACAATGACGATAGTTACAGTAGCTCAATTGGTTAGAACAACAGCACGGAACGCTGTGTATCCCGGCCCGTGTCGTAATTTTTTTAAAAATATAAAATCGATTTTTTATATAAAATCCATCTAACCATATTACGTTCTTGTGAAACAATTCTCGTGGCGGCATTTTCGAACATCTTGTACGGGCGAATGTCGCTGTGGGTTAGCTTCCAAACATTTACCCTTCCATTCGTACCCACGACTATGTTGAACGGGTTGGAGTGGCACCAAGCTAGTGACGTCACAGCCAGCTGTTAAATTTAACGATACTTTAATAAAATGGCTAAGAGTGAAGAAACGGGAACTTTTAAAACTCGTAGTAAAGACTAGAGAGTTTATGTTTTACTTAGAGAACTGAAATGATGGTATTATAAAGATGTAGAACTTCGGCGAAAATTAATTTTTACTATTTTTTGTATAAGAATTATACTAACATTTTACTACGAAAATATATATAAGTCAAGTGCAATTGCAGTTAGGCTACTCTGCCTCTAGGGGCTTTTTATATAAATGTGTTCCTTAATATTTCCCTACTAGTGTAGGTTTCAACTTATTAGTATCCAATACCTTTAGTCTAAGCTAAACTAACCTTTGTTTCAAAACAATTTTCATCATAACTCTGTTTAACAGCTACGGAACCCAGATACCGTCCTTTGCTATCTGCTTGGCACTTCTCCGTCACCACCGTTGGAGTGTTGCTAGAATAAAAAAACACTCTTAACGGTGCAACGCGAAATATATGAGTCAACTTATTTAAATGAAACGGTTAAAAACACGATACACATTCGTTAAACTTATTTGGGAATTATTTAAACTACGACTCGATGGTTTATGCTTTGTAAAAAGCAAATCAGTTTAAGTAATATATATCGCGTTTTAAACCGTTAAAGCTTTTCAATTAAAGTTGTGCTACTCGCGTAAACTCCATACAGTATTTTAGTTCACTAATTTACAATTTATTTTAATTATGGCCCGACGTTTCGGCTGCTGTGCAGCAACCGTGGTCCAAATAAATTTAACTAATATATATAGCGTTTTAAACCGTTAAAGTGTTTCATTTAAATGTGTACTACTCGCGTAAACTACAGACAATATTTGAGTATTTCTTACCGACAATCCAATGTGAGCAAAACTCTTCTCTCTTGCAAGGAACACAAGTGTACCGTCCCCCCATTTGAACCAGCAAGAAAATACTGGGGATTATCTTTTGACACTTCCAATACAGTTATTGCCGAAGAATCCCCTAAAAACAATACATAAAAATAGTCATCTGCTATCATTTGCAAGAGTGGCATAAAATAAGACGGTTTAAAACAGGCACAATATCAGTTAATTAATTTTTACTACGAATGCGTACATTTCCATCAGTTCCACCAAAAACAACGGCTGTAAAGCATCCGAAATGTTGGAGCGTAGTTAAAAATTAATTAACTTAAAAAATCGGCGATCTATACCGTTAAAAATTGTTTGATTCAAAGCACTTAATATGTCTATAACATACACAACATAGCAAGTTATTAGCATTATTGTAATAGAAACTTTATGGAACGTAAACCATAACGTTACGTAACGCGCAATTTATAAGAGGCGGAGGCTTCTTTACGGAAGGTGAAATGGCTCAACCATATTAAATTTAAAAAATGTGCTGTCGGCCCATTTTGGCATTGGCAAGTTTAGAATCACTATAGTGAAACCGATTACAGGTTTTTTGTTCAGGTTTCCTATCTGAAGATAACCTGGTTACGGAATTCTCATAAAGATGATTAGTTATTCCTACCACCCGTTTAATATCCAGATATTCCAGAATCGAACCCACGACCCGACGATTATTAGACCAACGCACTCATCTAAAAATATACAAAGAATAAAGCTAGAGCATACATACCCGTTATATTTAATCTGACTATTCTCACTGTCCCGCCGACTTTTCTACAGTCCAAAACCTCCCCACAATTTTTCCCAATCAAATAACGATTGTAACCGTTAATGTTAACAATCTTCAACGTATTACAGATGATCCCAGTCTCCCATCCCGAAATATCGGCAAATCTTTTCAAGCTGGCAACACTGGACGGCTTGTCAACAGTAATGGCGGATTTTGGGCGGGAAAACGCTCTTACGTCCATAACACGACGTTTTAAAAGCAGCTTCTTCTTAGCTGTATCCAAGCTAAAATTAACTTCGCTTGTAATGTCGCTCGTTGGTATTATATAGTCGCTTAGAACTACCGTTTGGTGTTTTTCTAGTCTCATTTTCGACCAAAACGCCTTCCCTAAATCTGCGGTTATATTTTTGTTTTTCTCTTGAATTATCGAGTATGTTATAAGATATCCCCGCTTTAGTAATGTACAGATCTAAAAGTTTAAATAAGAAGTAAATTAACTGAAAAAATATATACTTTTTCTGCCAAGTGCGAGCCAATAGATATGCTATTGTGTATTAGCGAGTGAAAAATAAATTAAAATGCCGTTTGTTATAATATTAAATACTTATATTACTTTGTTTTATTGTTGCAACAACGGATATACATAATTTGAATTATTGCGATACTCGAGAAACGAAGTCATGGCTTAAAACACTAAACGGATTAAGAAGCATGGTCTCCAAAGATAACGGCTGCTGCAAAGCACCCAAACATCGGGTCGTAGTTAAAATCAATTGTAAGTTAAATGTTTCGCGTTTCAAACCGTTAAAAGGGTTTTATTTAAATATGTAGAACTTGCGTAAACTACTTAATCCCTTCGAGTACGGAACTTATATTACTAAAGCAGTTTAAAACTTAACTTTTTTGTTTTTCAGGTATTTCTAACAACAGTAACTAAAACGGGAAAGTCTTTGCACAATTATTTTTCAACAATATACTTCGTAAGGTACTGTATACTTAAATCTAAGCAAATTAAATGATTTTTTTATGACAGAGGAGTTCAGACAAGCCCATGCTTCATGCACGCTTTACTGATGAAAGGTGATATATTATCATAGATTATTATCATATACAATAATGTCGTACAATACAACACACAACGACAAAATATACCTGCCCAACAACTTTATTTCCGTTCTCCATAGTAACAGTGTTGCCAGTTACAAATTCTAAACCAACTATACTGTCCACATCCGTTACACCGTTCATATTTGACGCGCTGCTTGTAAACGCGCATGCGCGCAACATCTGTTCAGAACGTTCATTTTGGTCCTTAAGACCCGAGACATTAAGTTCATTTTCGTTTGGCACTTCCCTAGTGTCAAAGTCACTCACTGTCGGCTGTTCTGATAAGTCCCATAAATGTACTGTGCTGAAAGAATTTTAAATTAGTCAAGATAATAATTGCAGCCAACGAAAAGGTCCGCTTCCCTAGTTTAAAAAAGTATATTTTCTGCATTATATATGCCTGCCCATATAAAACGATTGTTATAGAAATCGGAACTTGTTTGTAAACAAGCCCCATGCCCCATGTCCCATGTCCACATTAAAAAAATTTGACTTTATTATTTCAAAAAGGATTCCAGTTAAAACATTTATATAGTTTTTAATTACAACTAAGACTTAACATTCTTCAACTAAGTACCTACGTTGCACTTCTGCAAGTTATATTAAACTAGCTGTGCCAGCGACTTCGTTCGAGTGAAATAGTTATTTTGGGCGTCCAAATTCGTTTTTACCCACGACGTCGGTCGCGTCCCTTCTCGTCGTTCTTGCAAATTAACCTTTAAATAAAGACATATATCGTCGCGGATTTTTTAATAATTTAACGAGAAATCATTGTTTCAACATATTTTCGGGTATCTCGTACCGTTTTTGCCGCGTACGCCCAACAAATATATTTTTTTCAATTTTGTTCTTTACATTTCTCGCAGTATCTATGCTTGTATTAGTCACAGGGCGATGTTTTATAGCCCTTCTCGATAAATGCTCTAACCAACACAAAAACAATTTTTCAAATCGTACTCGTAGTTCCTGAGATCAGCGCGTTTAAACAAACAAACAAACTCTTCAGCTTTTTATATTAGTATAGATAAGTAATTCAAATATATTACGGAAGTTCTGATAACGTAAAATTTATACATAAATAAACGGGTATGAAAATTAGTTTTTAAGCAGCTAAATGCTAAGCTAGCTTCAATGACCTCTAAAACATAAAAAAATATACAAAGAAAAATTAAATTTTTAACAGGAAGCTTTACAGCAATCATGGTTATTGACCCCATGTGTTAACTGTTTACTAAGTTACCTTATATATTTATAGTGTTATTCCGTGTAAAGTGTTTAATTGTACTACTCACGTGAGCTACAGACAATACTTATGAACTTTATTAATCTTACCCATCTTTCAAAGCTGCAACGAAAAATCCATCGACATCTCCCCTAAAAACTCCCCTCTCCACAACTTCCGTTGCAATCAACTTTTTTACTGGCTTCAATATGGCAACATTTAAATCCCACAGACATAAAATACACGCCTTTTCACCTGTCTTGCAATGTATTGTTAGTACTAAACTACTTTTCGTTTCCGAAAACACTACGCCTGTTATTTTTTTATGTTTTAAATAGTTCTGTTCTTGATTAGTTACATTTTTACTGGATATCGTTAAAAACTCCTTGCTAAAAGGATATTTTGACGTCGCCTTTAGGGATGTCACGAAGTAGCCAGCGTTTTCACTCAACGCGTTGCTTATTCTGTGGCCGACCTTTTTCAAGAATTTTCTCAATTTACCCGCGTTATACTCTGTTCGTTTCGTTTTCGATAAATACGTCTCAAATGGCAACATTCTATCACCACCAGCGCCATCTTTCTGCTCTAAATAAATTCGCAGTGGATTCGTTTTGTAGCTGTCATCTGTTCTGACATATCTCAATCGGTTGTCAAAATTGATGACATCATTTATCGTTTGTTCAATGTCATCGTTGTGTTTGCTATTACTGGCGTCAGTTACATAAATTGTTTCTTTTGAAAATTCTACGGGATGCTGCGTCCACTTACTGCCATATTCGATCTCTTCGGTTTGCACCTCAACAGTGATACCGTCGTCAAAAGTCTGCACTACAACTTGCGTGTAATTCGACCTACCAAATGTTGCCATATACAAATCGTAGGGTATCGGTTTCATTTCAAAGAGGGAGAATGACATTTCATGCAATGTTACCATGCTTAAAATATCGTTTGCCCGTTGTTTTAACTTTTCAAACACACGCCGCTTTCTTCTGTTTTCCTTCGACTTTGTAAAATCAATAAATAGAGGTCTGAAAAAAGTACATAATATAATAAATGTAACACAATTTGAAACGTAAAGTTGTACTTTATATTTTTTATATATATTTCTTTCTTTTCTAAAACAGTCCAGCGTGGACTTTGTCTGAAATCGAGGACATTAAGGGGGTGATAGAAATATCGATATTAAGTCCCGGTCACGGATAGCCGTCCAAAAATGATAAAGACGTGAAATTTGAATTGAAGATTTCAGTCTGTGAATTGCCAAAGCCAAAATAGATCGACAACACATCTTGTTTACATGGAAGGGTATTCCACCTTCGATTAAAAGAACCCCTGTCTTGTCAGCCCTCCTTTGTCATGAAAAAACAACTGAACATCAGACTCCAAGTTACCTCTCTAGAACTTCCACGTGCACTGTCTTCATGCTGGATACGGTGCTCGAACTCGACATATCCTGGAACCCTTCGTCTGTCAGAGATGTCTTCTTATCGCTGTCTTCTAGAATAAACTTCATTGGCTCAGCGCTCGTAGCTGAACGACCCCGCATTTCGAATGTTCCTAAAAAACATTCTGAATAAAGATACTTTGTATTGTCTGTAGTTAACGCAAGCAGTTGACATTAAAACAATACAGTTTTAACAGATTTAAACGCGATATTTATAAGGTAAACTAGCCGTGTTAGCGACTTCGCCCGCCTAGAATAGTTGGGAATCAATCATTAATTTTTTCTAGATTTAAGCTGTTGCCCACGACGTTCGTCGTTTTTCAAAGTTATTCTTAAAAGATAGACATATACTTTCTACATATTTTCTGGGTATTTTTTTTGATTGATCATTTTCCCCGTTTCCTGCCTGTATGTGATCAAAGAAATGTCCGCGACACTTATGTCTTGTCTGATTATCGTATGAGATGAACTCGCAAGAAGAACAGAACGCGATCGTGGGGGACATCTAAAATTTATAAAGGTGGGGAGCTTTGCAAAGATAAACTTTGATGTAACTTTGACATAATAACTGTTAGGCCTGCTAGAGGCAGAGTGGCCTAATAACAAGAAAAACATGATGATGATGATGATGATTATGATGATGATCAATAAGGAGGAAAATAAAAATTCGCAATTAACTTAGGCGAAAATGAATTTTTACTATTGTGTATATCGCGTTTTAAACCGTTAGAGTGTTTTTTTTAAATGTGTACTACTCGCGTAAACTATAGACATTATTTAAATATAAATAACTCAAGTCATAAGTATATGTAGGCATAACTAACCAGAATCAAGCATGTTCTCCTCTTTATAGATCTTCTCTTTCTCACTCTCTTGTTCCTCTGCGCTCTGTCCAGAACTGTGGTAAGAGTCGAAGTCCGATTCGTAACTCTCAAAATCGTCCTCATAACTTATGTCTTCGTCGCTGGTTTCCTTGTTTTGTTCCTGCGAAATATCGTATTTATACTAGAAATGAATTTTTTTGGACGAGTCCAATGGTAGTAATTTATGGCTTATAATTATTAATGCAACGGATAGTGTTAATATATTTTACATGTAATTGCACATGAAGGCACTATATAATTTAAAAATCGAAATTACACTCGGTAGCTCAATTGGTAGAGCAACAGCACGGAACGCTGACGATGCCGGTTCAAGTCCTGCCCGAGTTGAACATTTTTTCAATTTATTTTCGATTTTTAAACAACGGATAGTTGTTTGGTCGGATACCGAATACCGGATATTCGGCCTTACGACCGAATATTCGGCCGGCCAAACGATACCTATGTATATTTTAGTATGGCGGCGGGCGTGTCGTGCAGGTTTCAACCTGTTACGTATTGTTCTCTCCTTTTATTTATTTGGTAACACTTATTTTATTTAATTAAAAATTAACATACAATACGCTACGATTGGTTGAATGGATAGCTAACGCTGATCAGAGGATTTCTTAAATACTTCAAATTATGTTTTTTCATAAGTTAAAATTGTACGTTAAAAATTATAGACGAATATTGGTAATTAACAAAAAAATATTAAATTTCGTAGTATACGTACTAATTTACCATCTTTGAAGTTAAATAGTCAATCGAATCACTATTCGGTATCCGGCCGAATAGTGCGCAACTATCCGGTATTCGGCCGGATAGTAAAATAATGGCCGGATAGGCCGGATACCGGATAGCAACAGGATATCCGTCGCATCTCGACTTATAATAACTAACGCATCGTGCGCTCAACTGCGACCCGTCTCATACAATTTCTTTAATTGCCTAACAACACATAATACATATATGTTTTACGATTTAAAAATAATATTGACTTTTTTTTATTTTTATCGTCGGGTTTTAGTTAAAATAAATAACTATGTAATATTTAAATAAAACACTTTAACGGTTTAAAACGCGATATATTTTAGTTAAACTTCTTAGAAAATTATCTTTAACTACGGCCCGACGTTTCGGATGCTTCGCAGCAGCCGTGGTCACGGGGTCTGTCTGAGACCACTGCTTAATAATTTTCAAACAAGTTTAACTAAAATATCGCGTCTTAAACCGTTAAAGTGTTTTATTTAAATGTGTGCTACTCGCCTAAATTACGGACAGTAACCATGTAATATGTATTTTTGTGTTTTTAGTTTTATTTAAAAATTTAAATAACTTAGTTAGGCCAAATGGCCTAACTAAAGTTTCTAATAATCGTGTTGTAGTTAGATAGTTACTTCCGTTGCCACGATATCGTGATACCAAATTGGGGTTAGGCCAGAGATGCACAGACGCCACGGTCCGATACTGGTGGCACACCGACAACAAATATACTACTTAAATTAATAAATTCTCTTTCAATTTTAATACATTATTATCAATGTTTTATTATCTTTAATTACCTACACTTCTGGCGGTCATCAGTTCATAATTTGCCCATGAGTGGTATAGTCTTAATAAGTCTGTGCAACCCTACTTTAGACTAATTCTAGTGTGTAACGTTGAAATTAAAAGATTCCAATCGATTTTTTTGGTCTGCCGTCATCACACTTTGATCCATGGGTCCTTGGAAATAAATTCTGTCACATCAAAATCGCTATTTAAGCCACGAAGTTATGCGCGAACAAAAACAAAAAAAACCGATATTTTTCGGTTAATAAGAGAAATATAATAACTGGCCAGTAATAATTGACATAAAAAGTAAAAACTTTTATAGAATATAAAAAGGAAAACCCACCTTTGACTTTTCACCCTCAAGATCAACATAAAACGCTTTCGCCTGCGCAGAGAGCTTCTTAGACAAGTTCAGCATTCCCGTATTATTGTCTACGTTTTCAGGCGTCAAAACCTTAACTTCGCCCTCTTCTAGCGTTCTTGTATGTGTCCTTGGCCTTTCAGCCTTTTTTGTATTAACCTCCCTTTTTAAAACTTCCCTAGATTTAGAAACTTTACTTAAAACCTCTTTATTAGACACCTCTTTGGATGTCCTCGGAGTATTTACATAATCTGTGGTTAATTTTCTTTTTACAATCGGCGAGTTAACGGTTACGTTTGATACACTTTTTAAATTTCTCGGCGTTCTGGTATCCATCTTGTTTTTGAAAGGTGTTGGCGCCATTTTGTTACTTTTTAATTGCGTCACAGAGGGCGAAGTTTTTTGCAAATCCTTCATGGGAGATACGTTTGTTTTTAAAGACTGTGTAGATTTTTTTGGGGCTTTAAGTGCGCTGTTCTGTCTTGAATAAATATCAGCCGTGGTAGATTGTTGAAAAAAAGGGCGAGGTGTTGACACGCTATGGACTCTCTTTTTTAACTTTTCTTCTTGTTTTTTAGGTTGTAGATCGTCCTGCGATATTTCTTTGACGTTTCTCGTAACGGTTGCTCGTTTGTTTGAATGCATTGTTTATTAATTAAGTTCCTGCAATTATTTAAGTAATATTAATCATGTATCTATACTGATATATAAACCTGAGGAGTTTGTTTGTTTGAACGCGTTAATCTCAGGAACTACAGGTTCGAATTGAACCATTATTGTGTTGGTTAGAGCATTTATCGACTAAGACTAAAGGCTATAAATATAACACCGTGCCGTGACTAATAGAAGCGAAGACACAGCGGGAAATGTGAACAAAACGGAGGAAATTTTTCATCTCTGTGGGTTTCAGATGCGTACGTTGCGATAGCGGTTCAAGACACCCAAATGATATGTATGAAAGAATGATTCCTTTTTAAATGATTTTAAAAATGTCCACGGACACTACATGTCTATATTTTAAGATTAAATTGCAAGAACGATGGGACCGGTACGACGGGTCGCTAGTGTCGGGACGCGACCGATGTCGTAGGAGCTAAAGATGAAGGGATTTGCAAAAACAAATTTGGTAACTATTCTACGCGGACGAAGTCGCTGACATAGCTAGTGTAAATATAAATATGCAAGTACTACATATAACAGTTTGTTCACACACCCACAATTGTAGGTAAATAAAAAAACAGATTTGATTAGGGAATAGATATCGCACATTTTAAAATCTACGGAAATTAAAGGCTGCTTAGATTTAAGACACGTGTGTGTTTTATTTCTAATGATTACTAAATTCTTATTTATGAAAATTAAACGCTTTGTTTTGAGTAACAATAAACTATAAAACATACCCTTTCTTTCACAATTAATACATATTTATGTAACCGAAAACATGTTGAAACATTTCTTGCGTGTCTGATCCAGTTCATCGGTTTTGTTGTCATTTAGTTACCAGGGTAACACATCTAGTTCCCACATATTCAAGGTTAGATATACAATGTGTAACGTATAATTTATGGCAATAAGGGTGAAGATTGATAAAATAAATATTATGTATTGTCCTGAAGAAATCGCTTTTATTTTTAAGAAAGCGAATATTGGAAGTATTAATATAGTTAGACCATAGAATATAAATCGACAAGCGCGCTATTCTCTAAAGTTTAAGTATTTGCCTTACAGCCACAGAGAATACAATTTTTTCTGTTAATTGACTATAAAGCTTGACAGCTGACAGCGATGGTAAATGTCAAAATAATTAAAATTAGTAACAAACAGAGCGTTATCTGAAATCTAATAAATAAACGCTTTGTATAGGTTAAGTAAATACATTTTAAGTTTTAATGAATTCGCAATATTTATTATAAGTGAGACAGTTTTATTAATATTTCACCAAAAATGTCTGATGTTGAGGAACCTGCTGCAAAATTATCGAAGATGGAGGTAAGCTTTTAATTTATTTGCCGGGAATTCACTTGTATCGTACGTTATAGTCAGACATTAAATATATATAGTTATTATTTAGTAAACTGAAAATGTATCATTAATTATAATTCATATTATTCAATGTATTTAATTGACATTTTTTTTGTAAAACGATACACAAACATTCATTTATTAGCAAAGCTTGGCAAGTCACGTATTTTATAAAGTCAACGTTAATAATTTGGGTTTTAAATAGGGTTATTCAGTTAACCTTAGAGATATGGGTGTAGATAGAAATAGTAGTATAGAAGTAAAAGTAGTTCTAGTAGAAGAAAAAGTATAAGATAGTAACTTGTGTATATAATTGTTTAGACAGCCTCTCAAAACACAGAAGATGAATTAGATGAGGGACAAGAAGAATGGCTCAGTGAAGATATACTTACAGATGAAGATGGAAATAATTTGGTTAGTTTCTGCTTAAAATAAAAATTCTCTTTGCTTTTGGAAAAATTACTGTCATATCATTGAAACCAGAGTATTTTGTATAACCAACAAGGATACATACTACAGCCATATACAGGGTTGCTTAATTTAGCTTTGACTTAATGGGGGTGAAATCAACCACCTTGTAAACACCAGCTAGTACTAGAAATTTGCTTACAAAATACAAGATTCTGATATATCATTTCCCCCTACCTAGGGTACGAAACAGAGACTGTGATCTGCAGCCAAAAGCACTTATCACTAGATTAATGAGACAGTTTAATAACGAGATATTAGTTATATATATAGATTATTTATAGTAATTAAAACTTATCTTACAGCCTGATCAAAGAGACGATCAAGCCAATAACAGTGTAGACAGTGCAGTGTATAATGGAGAAAATGAGGAAGGTCCCAATAATGATGAAATAAATGATAATAACGCAAGTAATGATGAGATAACTGATATCAAAACACAGAATGAAACCGATGATATAGAGCAGGCTCTTGGTGATATGGAAAATTCTAATCAGGTTATTATTTAATAATGTTTTTTTTACAACACAGAAAGAACTGAAAATCCACTACAACACTGAAAACATAGTGGCTTAAACTCAGACATGGTAGCTGAACTGTTACAGCAGTGACATGGTCTATTTTATCTGGGGTTATAATTCTTAGGCCCTCATATGTTGCAACCCAACACGATCGATACTGGGGAATGGGGAATTTGTAGCTGAGTTCAGCAGTTAATGTGGACTAATCACCAAAAAAGAAAATCCTTATAATAAATGAATGAGGTTTTTAAATGAACTGTGATGCAGCTCATTTGTTATATTGCTGGCCGAGAAGAGTCTATCTGGTCTAGAGTTGTTTTAGAGTCAGTTAGATTATCAATACTTCTCTACAAAGGTAAAATGGGGATAACTAGGGTCCAATTCAGACCCTAACAGAAGTATGTAATAATTAGACCGGGCCACCTTATCTCATATCTTTTAAAAACACATTCACAAATTTTCGGAATATTTTAAGTTGTAGGGAGAAAATGGGTGAAATAGTCAATTGATAATGTGTACCTGATTATCCAGCTTCTATCAGTGTTCCTCATAGGAAATAATAATTAAATCCTTTTAATTTATTTCAGAATGATTTACCAGGAGTCCTAGGATCGTTCTTGACCAGAAAACCCAAAGAAATTAAGTATGAAAGCGATATTGATGAATCTGCAAAACAGTCGGAGGACGATGGACATTCCACTGATGAGCTATTGGTATGTTTACATTGTAAATCACGTGTGTGTGTATGTGTATGTGAGGGTGGACATATGAGTGTGTGTTTGTAATTGATTGTCACATAACAAGTCGATAGTACAGTGGTGTAACTTATAAGCCAATGATTGCATTGACCACAGGATATCCTGGGTGCAGAAGTCAGGCACATCGTCTTACCTGTAAATAGATTGAACCAGTGTAACAAATACCTAATTCTAATTATAAGTAAAAGTACTTAAAACAAGACATTTAAGAAAATATACTTATTTAAATAAAACACTAACGCTTTAAAACGCGATATATTAGTTAAACTTATTTGAATTTGTCCGATGTTTTGGATGCTTTGCAGCAGCCGTGGTCACGGGGAGATCCGTTAAAAATCATTTTCAAATAAGTTTAACTAATATATCGCGTTTTAAACCGTTAAAGTGTTTTATTTAAATGTGTACTACTCGCGTAAAACATAGACAGTATTTTAATATACTTATTTTATTTTAAAAATTATACCAACAACTGAATGATGAATTCTACACTACTACAACCAGAATGTCGCTTGATAACCATTCAAAACGTTTGGCCCTATTTAAACATGTTTACTTATTATATTTCGTGTTTTGAACTGTTTAATCTTCATTTCTTTTTTCTAATGTCTACTTCTCGCTTTAACTACAACTTAACTCTTACAAGATTGTAAGAAAATATTATCAATTATATTATAATGTAGTTTAATAAAATATGTGTATTTTCAGAGAATGCTGGGTGAAGATGATCAGAAAACGAAAAAAGAGTTGACCAAGAAACCCACGAAGAGCACTGGTGATGACGATGAAACGACGGATGATGAGGTATATAAGGTGAGTGATGATGCAAAAGACACACAAAATTGTCTGAAGAGATAAAACGATTATTTATAGAACATGATAACATTTGAGATTAAACAATATATTTTAGCGTTTTAAACCGTTAAAATTGTTTTATTTAATTTGTGTATCTATTACAGGTGAAGACGAATATTAAGAAAATTATTGTAAACAAACCCGTGCCCAAAGCTGAACCGGAACAAATAAGTGACGAAGACTGCGATATGGATGAAGTGAGTGAGATATACTATTTTATATTTACTAACTATTAAGCAGGTTTGAATGCCACTTGGGTTTCTCATGTTTTAATTTGTATGCATTAATATCAAAGATAGACATTTTTTTTAATCATTTAAAGAATTGAACAACATTTTTGTCATTTTCATATATTTATATTTCATATAGTGATTTTTTCAACTTGGCATTTTTGTTAAACAAACACACAATTTACATAAAATTATGATTTTCTCACAATGTCTACATTGATTTATACTAAAAACATTTTGAGACACTGTATTATACATTCAACTAGTGACAATACCTCAAATTCACTTAGTAAAAAGCACAATTTCATGCACAGGTTAAAATTTCCTTAGTTTGACATTTACATAGGGATGGAATACTGTCTATAGTTTACGCGAGTAGTACACATTTAAATAAAACACTTTTACGGCTTAAATCGCAATATATTAGTTAAACTTACTTGAAAATGATTTTTAAACTTCGGCCCGACGTTTCGGATCCTTGCTGCAGCCTTGGTCTCAGGGAGTCTCCCCGAATAGTTAGTGTTTTATTTGAACAAGGATGGAATGTAAACAAAGTCAACGACAATAGAAGTCTCATGCGCGATCGCCGAAAAAGGTTACATATGTCGAGTTAAATAATAATGACATAAAACAATGAAGATCTTCATAAATCTGATTTTGAATATTGCGGTCCATGTATAAACGATCTATCTTTATTCCTGTGTCATCTGTGGCAACAATTACAGACTATAAAACGTCTTCACTAGTTCTCTATGGTTTGAAATTGGCCATCTGTGTTTTAGTCTTGCCAAGTTAAAAAAAATACACTATACATATTGTTTGGAAGTTTTTCAACTAACTAACTTTGTAAATAGAGCAGTGAAACAGACATTAAAATGTGTCCGTCTGACATTATTTAACTTCCAGCCCACATACGAACCGACTAGAGTGAAACGTACCTTCAACGTGGGGCAGAGAAGACACTATGCTTCGAAGAGCACAACGCAGCCAAGCGTCATAAGACCGACCATCACAGTTACAAAGAAAGCGATGGTCTTCGATAAGACCAAAGGTAAAAGACCATTACATCATTGTGGGGCATGGAATGAGAAATTAAAACCGTGACACGAATTAAATTGTTTCGTATAGGCTTATATGAGGGGCTCGTTGGTAATGGATACTATAGGATGATTCTGGAGGGCTATTGTAAATGTTTGAAAATGGGGGGGAGCGAGGGGAGTTGAAGAGAAAAAAAAATATATAATAAAAGTTACAGTTAGGCAATAAATTATTTTCTATATTACTATATAGAACTGAAGACGATCAGCCGAGAGGTGAAGAGCGTGAGGCCGGACAGACCGGTCGCGGTGAAGAACGAGGTGAAGAGGATCGTGTCCGAGATGGGGAACATCAACAGGGTGAAGCCCACCTCGGAGGAGCTCTTCGACAGACTGGTGATGGAGGATGTTAAAAAGGTATGTCATTTTTTATGATAGAGGAGAATGGGCTAGCGTGGGGTTCTTGGTGAAATATTCTTCTCGGTGCTGTGGTAACGATGTGTGGCTAATCGACGGGTCGTAGGATCGTCCCCCATCGGGGTTATGTATCCCTATCCTGGATCTATGTATTTCTAAGTAATTTATACAGCGTTGATGGTTGGTGAGCCACTAAATGCGCTGTCTGTATTTTGGTTTTGGATATTCGTAAATCAATAGACTGAAAGCGAAACGCGATGGACGTTAGTTCGTGACCCGCCGTCTAACATGTTTCAGAAATATAAATTATTTAAAAAATGTTGGATCCGCTGGGGTTCGAACCCGCGCATTTATTATTAGTCATATATTGATAGCCCAATGCCTCAAGGTCAGGTTTATAATATTAGTATAGATATTATTATAATCGCTATTTTGTTTGTTTTCAGGTGTTGGTGAGTCCAGAGAAGCGAAGGCACCAGGACATCATGAAGCCGGAGGAAATGGATGAGGAGGTGCCTTCAGACGGCGAGTCCAATAACTCGGAAGACGATTCACTGTTTGACGTGAGTTTACTTTTGTGTGTGTACGCACACAGTGTGTGTGAGAGAGAGTGTGTGTGAAGTTATGTTTAAGTCTCCTCACGGTCTGGATACAGAAGTCTAATCCATTACTAGCCGTAAATAAAAATTAATCATTTTAATTAAAGCATTTTTAACGGTTTTAAACGCGGAATATATTAGTAAACATATTTACAATTTATTTTAACGACAGCCCGACGTTAAAACTCATTAAAGTGAACTTGGAAAACGATTCCCTTTTAAATAAAACAATTTAACGGTTTAAAATGCGATTTATAAGTTAAACTTATTTGAAAATGATTTTTAACTTCGGCCAGACGTTTCAGATGTGGTAACTGGGGGGTATTTGAAATAACTTGAAAATTAGGTTACTAATTTGTTTTTTAAACAGTTAAATGTGCTTTAATTTTATGTGTACTTCTTGCGTTTACTACACTCAATACATCATGGTCATGGGTCACTTGTGGGGTATGAGGGAACACATGTCTGTGCCCGATTCACTGATTTGTTCTTTTATAGGTAAGTAATTGATGAGACTTCTGTGCCCTACCCTACCGAAGCAATCTATTGTCTCCCCATTATGCCCCAGAGGGGGAAATGACTTACACTTTGATTTAAACATGGGTTTTCTCTCTTGTGGACATAATTGCAGGACTTTGCATCATCAGACTCGGAGGATGTGGAAGACTGGTTCACATTGGACATCAGGGAGGAGAGAGCTGGTGACTATATACCGCTTTTAGGTGAGTTTTGCCTTCAATGTTTCAATAATTGATGGTGGGAAATTCCGTCCGGGTCACGAACCACCGTCCACAGATGCAAAAGCCGTGCAAGTCAATCGCGTTTCGGTTTCAGTCTCAATTTCCGAATGTCTAAAGCCAATATAGGTCGATGGCGCATCTTGCTTAGATTTTCTACGGCTCGGGTGATTCACCTCACTCGTGCTGGTCTGTTCTTCATTATCGGAAATAAAAAAACAAAACTACAGCTTTATAATAACGCGTGACGTCATTTGTCTATTTCGCGCGAACTTCTTATATGACCATATATGACGTCACGCGTTTAAAGTATAAGTAGCTGAACGAATCCTGCGCAGAAGTCAAAAATAAGGTATCGGAGGGGCGGGAGCGGGCGCGGGCCGAGTGTACGTCGTGTGCGCTAGCGTCGATTGGTTCCCCAGTCGTGTTGTCTCTCTCGGACCAATACGGCGCTTCGCTTGCTTCTCGAGTACAGTCACGCTTTCCAATCTATTACGTGCGCGATCCCCTCTACACTTCGTTCAGCGCTACACATCCGTGTCGCGACCTATACTTCAAACTATAAATAAAAAAAACTTATTTTTGTCGTAATAAGTATTACTGTCTGTAGTTAACACGAGTTGTACATTTAGTAATAAAAGTTACATTAAAAAAAAACACTTTAACGGTTTCAAACGAAAATTTTCGTCGTCCGAAACGCCGCAGTTAAAATTGTAAATAGTTTAATATGTTTCGCGTTTTAAACCGTTAAAGTGTTTTACTTAGAACATTAATTTAGTATAGTAATACTATACTAATATATAAAGCTGAAGGGTTTATTTGTTTGTTTGAACGCGCTAATCTACCCACTGGTTCGAATTGAAAAAATCTTTTTGTATTGGTTAGAGCATTTATTGAAGATGGCTATAGGCCATAAAGTCTGTGACCAATAGGAGCGAAGAAGCAGCGGGAAATGTGAAAAAGGGAGAAAATTTTTAACACAATTTCACCTTTCCAGGTTCAAGTGCGCACGCACTCCTCGCGGAGGAGAAGGATAAGGTAGCATCCCGCCTCCTCACCTTGAAGGAGAGTTTATCAGCGCTGAACAGCAACGCGAGGCAGCAAGCTGAGCAGCTGAGAAAGGCGACCGCGACTCTAGCCGAATTGGACGCGAATTTGAAAACGTCTTGATTATATCGGAATTATTAATTTGGTTTTATTTTTAATACCTACCCTCGATCGATTATTTTAATTAGTCTTTAATCCCTACAGGACCGTAAGACGCATATAACACAATATTTTATCTATTTTGGGGGTAAAAAGAATATCACTAGAAATACGTAGCTGGTTGTATAGATTTCCTTAATTTCATCCGTTTTATTTTGACATTCATTAGAAAAATATCGATTCAATAATATGTAATTGAATAATCGATAACTATATTTTGTAAATGGGAAATATCTCCCTCGAGCGTGAAAGATTTAACGGTTTAAAACGCAAACTTAGTTACAATTATAACTGCGGCCCGACGTTTCTGATGCTATGCAGCAATGGTCATGCGCATATATAGCGGTGGAATTTGAATTTAATTTTTTACTGACATTTAGTAATTTCGATTTCGCAGCGCACACGGCGTAAGGCGTTTTTTTTACATCTTGGGTTACGTTACTACAGTTTTAGTGAGGGCCCTAATTTCTTTCTAGCATTAAAGGTGAATGTAGCTTGAAAATGGTGACAGAATCATTTTAAATACTATCTATAGTTTACGCGAGTAGTACACATTTAAATAAAACACTTTAACGGTTTAAAACGCGATATATTAGTTAAACTTATTTGAAAATGATTTTTAACTTCGGCCCGACGTTTCGGATGCTTTGCAGCAGCCGTGGTCTCCCCGTGACCACGGCTCAAATGCTCACGGGTTAAAGTGTTTTATTTAAAAGAATCATTTTTTTCGACACAGTCATTTTCGAGTTTATTCATTACAAAAATACAAATCTTTCATATTTATAATATTAGTAGACGGTGTTCACGTTTTTTTATACGTTCTCATCGTTTAAAGCCCTCCATGCCTATTGAAATAGAATTACGTTTAATCAGAAACAAAATTTAATCTGACGAACAATATCAAGGAGTACCTAATTACAAATTTATATAAGGAGCTGAGTGAGCGACTTCGTCCGCGTAGAATTCTTTTCGGGAACCAAATTAGTTTTTGCCAACCTCCCTCTTCTATATAAGTTTAAACTCGTATCCGACATCGAACGCGCTGTGTCGCGGACCTATTTTAGATAATTTAAAAAGGAGTCATTATTTAAATAAAACAATAAATCATTTTCAAATAAGTTTAACTAATATATCGCGTTTTAAACCGTTAAAGTGTTTTATTTAAATGTGTACTACTCGCGTAAACTATAGACAGTATTTAAGGAGTCATTATTTCATACATATTTCTTGGGTATCTAACCGTTTTCGCAACGTACGCATCGGAAACCCACAGAGATGAAAATGTTCCCCCGTTTTTTTTCGCATTTGACGCTGCCTCTTCGCTCCTATTAGTCTCGGCGCAATGTTAAAAATAAAATGACAAAATATTTTGAAAAAGGTTGTCATAGGAGTGATTTCTAAATATTGTGATCGTTTAGTCCCTACATTATCGATATTTAGTTATCCCTGTGTCATCTGTGGCAACAACTGTACTCTATAAAAGGTCATCACTAGTTCTGGTTTGAAATTGTTATCTTTTGCCAAGTTAGAAAAAAACACAGTATAAAAGTAATCTAATTAACTTCGGGTCTCCTAGCAACCGCTTTGTTTTATCAATTCAAAAAGAAATATGAAAGTTTACAATTAAAATGAGTGGCGATACTATTTACGAAGCTCCGCGGAGGCAAAATGTGGCCCAAATGCGGGTACATGATTATTTATATGGTAAGGAAATATAGTTATGCTTAAATTAAACACTTTAACGGTTTAAAACGCGAGTGTGTGCGTGAAACTCTCCGCAACCACAGCCGCTGCAAAGCATCCGAAACGTCGGGTCGTAGTTAAACATAATTTTCAAACAAGTTTAACTAAAACATATCGCGTTTTAAACCGTTAGTGTTGTATCTAAATGTGTACTACTCGCGTGAATACGGACAGGTTAATATTTGTTTTTTTTAGCAGTTTATTTTCTATAGTTAGATACTGAGTGCGCCAAAAGTGTCAGCCTTAATATCCCACAGCTGGGCATAACTTTTATAGGCCTTATGGTCGTAGAATCCACCATGCTGCTCTCCATCGGGATTGACTATCAATGTTTTTGTTTTATGATAAAGGCGAAGTACACACAAACACAATATTCATTTGTTGGAAGGTAAAACCCCAGCCACATAACATCTAAACGAGATGTACTGTCCTATTGTCTTTGGATTGTCAAAAACCCACACACTAAAACCGAAGCGTGTCTAAACTTCACGGCTTTGTCATCTGTGGACTGTCGGGATTCGAACGGAATTTGGTTTCTACCACTTATTTCATATCCAGTTTTCCAGAAGTCATAACGTATATGTATCAGAAAAATTTTAAATTGACTAGTCGACCTAAATACTGTCTATAGTTTACGCGAATAGTACACATTTAAATTAAACACTTTAACGGTTTAAAACGCGATATATTAGTTAAACTTATTGGGAAATGATTTTATCTTCGGCCCGACGTTTCGGATGTTTCGCTTCGTTAAAGTGTTTTATTTAGTTGACCTATTTTTATGGGTATCGTTTCCCTTCCCTGATAAATAGGTCATCAAAGAAATAATTAATTATTAAGAAAGGAATTTTCAATTCGAATCCAGTAGTTCCTGAGATAAGAGCGTTGGAGGAAACAAACTGTTCAGCTTTATATATTACTATAGATTAGAAAGGTAAGTTTCGCGAGTAGTACAAATTTAAATAAAACACTTTAACGGTTTAAAACGCGATATATTAATTAAGTAACTAATAATAATATAACTAATTTGAAAATGATGTTAAAAATCATTTTCAAATAAGTTTAACTAATATATCGCGTTTTAAACCGTTAAAGTTTATTTGATTAGAAAGATGTGGCACCCGGTGAGGATCCAAACGACCTGTCGACGACCCGTTGCTTATTAGCAATACAATTGCTACCATAAAAACAACGTCCCTTAAAAACTTGTAATTCGAAAGATTTCAACAAAAGTTTGGTTTAGATTCGGCCTTCATTGTCTCCGGAGCTCGAGATTACGCTCGTACAGCCTTCAAAGCAGCCATGGCGTCTGCACAAGTGGTGAGTCGATTTCAGAATGTTTGTTTTTTTGTTTCTTCACGCTTAAACCACTCAATCGTCGCAAAGTCGGTTTAACATGATAGAAACATAATTAAAAAAATACTCGGGGACAAACCAAAGACCAACGTTCGTTGCTCCTGCTGCGCCCATCACACGTCATTATCGAATTTTAGGAATCTAAATTATTTTTTTACTAACTATGAAATTCGTCTTTATTCAGAATTTATCAAATTACACGAGCACAAATTTAGATATAGTAATTGAATCTATACATATATATAAAGCTGAAGAGTTTGTTTGTTTGAACGTGCTAATCTCAAGAACTACGGGTTCGAATTAAAAAAAATATTTTTGTGTCGGTTAAAGCATGTATCGAGGAAGGCACATGGCTATAAAACATAGGCCTGTGACTAATACAAGCGAAGATACGGCGAGAAATGTGAAATGAAATGAAAATGGGTTTCCGAGGCGTACAATTCCTCTTTAAATGATATAAATAAAGTACGCGACGATATATGTCTATCTTTTAAGATTAAATTGTAAGACGACGGGACGGCTCGAGACCGACGTCGTGAGTAACGTTACGTTTATAAAGATGTGGAGAAGGTTTGCAAAAGCAAATTTAGATGTCCAAAATAATTATTCTGCGTGTGTGTGAATATGAACGTTCTTGTACATAGTATATAATATGTGTGTGTGAATTTCCGAATCCCCCAATGCGTGCTAACACATTTCTGTGTCTGTTTCATTATTTTGATTACAAGCAAATACCCCCCCAAAAAAAAAAAAAAAAAAAAAAAAAAAAAAAAAAAAAAAAAAAAAAAAAAAAAAAAAAAAAAAAAAAAAAAAAAAACCCCCCCCACGGGCGGGGGGGTTGGGGGGGGGGGGGGGGGGGGGGGGCCCCCCCCCCGGGAAAAAGGAAAAAAAAAAAAAAAAAAAAAAAAAAAAAAAAAAAAAAGGGGTTTTAAAAAAGAAAAGGTGTTTTATAAAAGGGGTACTACTCGCGAAAACTAAAGACAGTATTTACAAGCAAATAGTTGCTTAAGAAACTGTGCCCTGCCCGACCAAAACCAGAAATCGTAACGAAATACCTCTCAGGATCACTATCCCTCAGACTCTCTTTAGCATCTAATAACTGTTTAGGGTCTTTTGCATTTAATTATGAAATAATTAGGTGTGCCCGCGACTTCGCCCGCGTGGAATAGTGACTTGGGGTAGAATTTTTATTTATTTAGGCTGTTTATTAATTTATGTAATTGCGCATTTAAGGCAGCCAATGTTGTAAGTGCTATTTTGCCGCTACACTCTCACCTCACATCGCTCCTACTATAAATCCCACTTGCAATCCTACACCCACTCTAACTCCCACGCCTATTCCCAAAAAGCCAAAGAAGAAACTTTCACTGTTCTAGCTTCAAAAACCACGAATTTATATCATAAAATTTTTCATCCCCTTTTTCAACCCCTATCAACCCTTTTTGGCATTAAAAAGTATAAGTTCAGTAGTTTCGGAGTTAAAGCGGGACAGACAAACAGAGTTACTTTCGTATTTATAATATTAGTATAGATCAATTGTTATTTCAATTACTATAGGTCATTCAACCGGTGTACAAGACGATGTTTTCCGAGCTGCGAAAGTTTCCCAGGATGCAAGTGGGTAAGTGATAACAGTTCCCACAGTTGGAACATATGCGTAACCTCCTTGGTCCGCCATGTTGCGGTGTAGATCGTTACATTTTTAAATTTAATTTATTTTAGCCACTAAACACGACACATGATAAACAGAGGAGTTTCACACAACTATTGCCGGCCGCGCACGACCATGGTCAAAATAATGCCCAAATTTCCGAGCATGCTTGAAAAAATTAGTTATAACTTTTAGAAAATTGTTAAGAATGCACTTGGTTTCAATTTTTTTGTTGTCAGTCGTGTTCAATGTATCTGTTTGTCTCCTATTTGCAACAAAACAAGGATATTCCAAATAAAACACTTTAACGGTTTAAAATGCGATATATATTAGTTAAACTTTTTCGAAAATTATTTTAACTACGCCCCGTTGTTTGAACCTATTATAGACGCTGATATCGTGTTCTAAACTGTTACAAACATAAAATTATATATTTAAAAAAAAAACACTTTAACGGTTTAAAACGCGATATATTAGTTAAACTTATTTGGAAATGATTTTTAACTTCGGCCCGACGTTTCGGATGCTCTGCAGCAGCGTGGTCATGGGGAGTTAACTAATATATTGCGTTTTAAAACGTTAGTGTTTTATTTAAATGTGTACTACTCGCTTAAACTATAGACAGTATTTGAAAGATATGATGTTTAAAATTCTCCTGTCTCCAGTTTACCACCCGAACTGCCGACTCCCTCACCACGTAGACCGCTCGTACGGGGCGTACCTTCGGAAAGTGAGCGAAGCCAGAAATGTGCCAGCACCAGAACTGGCCGGCAAGGATAGGTTTAAATTCAGTGCTATGTAAGTATTATGATAAAAGGGAATAGAGAAGCATGGAGTTCACTCGATGACCCGAGCCATATAACATCTGAACAAGATGCGCTCGGAATTCCAACGACCTTGACTTGAAGTCTTTACATCTGTAGACGGTGGTTCGTGACCCGGACGAAATTTAGGCATGTCACCACCCATCTATACTAATATAAAAAGCTGAAGAGTTTGTATGTTTGTTTGAACGCGCTAATCTCGGGAAATACGGGTTCAAATTTGAAAAAGCCCAAAGAGTTCCTCAATAAATAGTCCAAGTAACACAAAGAATTTTTTTAATTCGAACCAGTAGTTCCTAAGATTAGCGCGGTGAAACATACAAACAAACGAACTCGTCAGCTTTATAATGTTAGTATGGATAACATTTATATGTTATTTCAGACCAAAGAAATTGATGGCTGTTCCTTGCGCGACTCCAGAGTTCCATCCACCCACTCCCACATACACTCCGGGCCCGACCAGACCGAGGAACAGAGGAACTCAAAGCCTGTACAGGTACGAACACATTCCGAAGCCGCACTTAAGCCGAACGTTCGGTTAAAACGAAAAAAATGGTGACGTTGCCGTAAAACCCGTAGCCGTAGATCACAAATACGAATCGCCCGGATGTTTTCTCTATATTCTCTATTAGAAGTCTTACCTCATATAAAATGAATGTTTTGAATAAAACATTATTGACGGTTTAAAACGCGAAATTTATGTACCTTATTTTCGTTTCGTTTAAACTACGCCCTTACCCCGTGAGACGGTTGATGCAAAGCATCCGTAATTAAATTAAATCGTAATTAAGTTAACGAATGTAGCTCAATTGGTTAGAGCAGCACGGAACGCCGTGGATGCCGGTTCGAGTCCCGCTCGTTTTGTAAATTGTTTCAATCAAATCATTTATTACACATACAAGAAAATAATATAAAATACAATATTAATTAAATAAATAAATAAAATAAAATATATGTCTGTGTAGGGTAACTACTCAACTCTTATTTTTTTTAATTTTACAAACTTTTAAATAAAACACTTTAACGGCTTATTAGTTATTAGAACGCGATATATTAGTTAACAGTTTAACTAATATATCGCATTTAAAGCCGTTAAAATGTTTTATTTAAATGTGCACTACTCGCGTAAACTATAGACAGTATTTACAAATTTATTTTTTACACAAAAGAACGTGAACAAACATATACCAGTTTTTCTATACGCCCTTGTTTCGTTACATAAATCTATACTAAATCAAATATGTCTGATAGTTTAGCGGAAAAAAAAAAAAAAAAAAAAAAAAAAAAAAGGTTAAAAACGCGAAATATTATTTAAACTTATTTGGAAATGATTTTTAACTTCGGCCCGACGTTTCGGATGCTTTGCAGCAGCCGTGACCACGGAAACGTCGGGCCGAAGTTAAAAATCATTTCCAAATAAGTTGTTAAACTAGTTAATATATCGCGTTTTAAACTAAAGTGTTTTATTAGTACTAAATCAATTTTATACTATTAATATAATAATTAGTTACTTAGAACAGTTTTAATTATAACTAAACTAGCTGTGTTAGCGACTTCGTCCGCGTAGAAGAGTTACCTTGGACATCAAATTTGTTTCAGCCAACCTCCTTCAACTCTATGAGTTTAAGCTGTTACTTTGACGCTGTTACCACGGCCCGTCGCTCTTGCAAGTTAATCTTAAAAGATAGGCATATAGTATCGCAGCCATGTTTTTTGATAATTTAAAGGGAAATCATTCCCCCATACATACTTTTTGGGTATCTCGAACCATTTTCGCGGCGTACGTACGCTGCGAAACCATAGAGATAAATAATTTTCCCCGTTTTCCCACATTTCCCGCTGTTTCTTCGCTCCTATTAGTCGCAGTGAGATGGTTTATAGCCCATGACCTACCTCGATAAATGTTCTAAGCAACACAAAATATAAGAATAATATGTTTTCCATTCCGAACAAGTAGTTCCTGAGACTAGCGCGTTCAAAGAAACAAACAAACTCTTCGCCTTTATATATTAGTGTAGATAATACGTAGTATAGCTGGCGTTGTTCGGTCAATGGCAGTAGATTTTAATTTAAATAATTTATACGGAAGGAAAACCCTTTGAAGGATTATCTAGTACATATATTTAAATAAAACACTTTAAGGTTTAAAACGCATATATATATCTTTTAAACCGTTAAAGTTTTATTTAAATGTGACACTCGCGAACTATAGACAGTATTTAGTACATATATATTTATCCATCCATCCACTTTTTTTAGAGAATCGTCTGCTCAAACGATCCCATGGCAGCCGGACGGGAAACCAGCGGACACTTGCGTGGAGACGCCGGAAATGCTCTTTCTGGAGAATTTACAATGGGGTAAGGATTCTGAATGCGAAATTGTAGGGCCAAAGGGAACATAGGCAGTAAATACTGTCCGTAGTGTCAGCTTTATTTAAATTATGAAATGTATGTTAAGATGTCAATCAACAGAGAAAGATGTATCAAATGTCTGACTGTGTGGCGGAAGTTGTGGTAGACTGTACGACATTTTAAATGTTGTTTTACTAAAGATGTAACTAGCTTGATTTACTACAGCTTACGTGGCGACTCTCAAATTAATTGTATAAATCGAAGCGTGGTTACAAGATCAGGGCACTTGGCTATCCCCAAAAGTGAAAAACGCATGTGTGAAGTGCATACGTGTATATTAGTCAAGAGAAAGTCTAAGTGTGTGTTTAACAGAGATTTACGCGAGACACTTTTTTAAAATACTATAACGGTTTAAAACGCGACATATATACTGGTTAAACTTATTATTTTCACTATGGCCCGACGCTTCGGATGCTTTGCACGGTTATGAGGAGACCACGACGGGCTATACAACGTTGTGCCAAAAATGCATAGTTCTTTATTATACACTGTCCTTTTTTTGCGAAGACAGCAGCTTATTAAAGATTTCGTTTTTATATTCCTCATTCAATAGCAAGTATTATTATGACAGGACAGACGAACCTGGGGCTCACTTGTCGGTAGGTAAAATAACCGTGCCATACCTATCTGTCGTCCTATCTCGGCTTTGGGTACAGGGAAAAAATACTGTGTCTGAGTTACAAATAATTAGGGAAGTATATTTCCAGGTCCAGGTAAGCCTTACAGGACAGGCGACCTACCCGCTGACTTCCATACGACAGAAATTATCAACAAGTAAGTACTTTAATACTGTCTATAGTTTACGCGTACTAGCTACACTGTACACATTTAAATAAAACAACTTTAACGGTTTAAAACGCGATATATTAATTAAACTTATTTGAAAATGATTTTTAGCTTCGGCCCGACGTTTCGGATGCTTGCTGCAGCCGTGGTCACGAGGAGGTCACGTTTTAAATAAAACACATTGAACGGTTTAATAAGTGGATAATACATAAATACGAGCTTTATGTACAGACAGACAGACTTTGCTGTCTGTGTGTACTTACAGTTAGACGGCAAAATCAGACAGTACACACTCTATTTTTTCTTTCTTCTCAAATTTTACAATATAATTTAAAAACAACATAAAATTAATATTTAAGGCTTTTTTGACAACCCCCATTTATTACCGATTTTTCCTTGATATATCATTTGATTTCGTATCAACAACTATTGATACGAAATTTGTAAATTTAAAATTGTCTATCCAACACAGTAAAATGTTCAATTCGAACTAGTACTTCGTGAGATCAGCGGCCTAAACAAATAGACTCAGCTTTATAATATGTATTAGTATAGATAGATAGGTAACTTATATCAGACCACGGCTGCTGCAAATCTTCCAAAACGTCGGATCGTTAGCAAGATAATATGGTAAGTAATATGGTTCCCATTTTAAACGGTTTAAAATGCTAGATTTTGTTTATGTATAGCTTACGCGAGTGGTTTTTTTAAACAAATAAAATATTTTTTTACACTTTAAAACGCGAAAGAATTTAACTTACTTAAAATTGATTGTAACTACGGCAGTCCCCCCCGTAACCACGTCTGCTGTGTAATATTGGTATAGATAGCTTTTTAAAGACAAAATAAACTACAGAATGCGACACGCGAGAAAGTGGACACACCTGGTCGAGAAGGGGCAGTTCCCAAGATGGATGAAGAAGCAGGACGCGATCATCACAGACATTGAGACGAAGGACTGGATTTTTAGGGAGGCTGTAAGTTTTTTTCCCTAGCCTGCCTCCTCCCCTCCATCTTTTAAGCTTTTAGC